TTATAAATACTAATTAGTTCTAATTATAATAGAATAGTCTTAATTTATAAAGATTTCATCTGAATATTATCTATGATAATTATATATTCTAGAAAATTAATCTAATAAGTACTGAAGTTATACTTTATAAGCTTAATATATAGTTCTATCTTATCTAAGATCTTTAATATACTTTGTATATACTCAGTATGTTCTTTCTTCTTTATAAAATATATTATCATATTATTCAGATATATTATTATAAAGATATTTAGATATATATAAAGTATTTTATTAATAAAAGACTGAAATACTGTAAAGATATTAATTAGATTAAAAGATATTACTAGATATTTAAATAATTTTAATATAGTTTTAAAGACAGTTTTTTATTTATTCTCAGACTGTATTTATAGTTATATATATATATTAATTATATTCAGTTATATGAATATAATAGCTTCTGTAAGATAATTAATTATATTCTTGATCAGAGATAGAGAGTAGTAACTCTTTATTATTTTAAAGTTTAAATTATAATAGTTTATATATAATCTGAGATCTTTATTCTTCTTTTTTATAAATATTACAGAGACTTTTATAGAGATCTGTAAAGATTAAATAAAGTTATTCTTCAGATTTTTCTTTATATAAGTCTGTAAAATCTCTATCTTATAATAAAAGAGCTTATAGATTAATTTTTAGAAGAGTTTCTATTCTTTTATTAAATCTATTATTAGATTTTTCTTATAATAAGAAAAAAGCTTAGTTATTTTTACTAAGCTGAATATCTCTATAAGATTTTAATATTTCTCTAATATCTGAAACTCAGTTTTTATAACTGTAAGATTCTCAGATATTTATAAAGTTATTATATAGATAAGCTTATCTTTTTTAATTAACTCTATAGTATTAACTGATTCTATCTCTATAAGTAAGTCTATTAATACTTTATTATTATTATTATTATTATTCTTTTATTATACTCATATACAAGCGGAGCTTATAATGAGTCCTTGCGTGATGTTAAATACAGGCCAAGTGTTGGTTATACAGGAGGAAATACAGGTGTTGAGATCACGCCAAGATAACAAGAACATAGGAAATACAAAGGAGTGACAATTAGATACATGCGATAATAACTTCCCAGCCCAGGAACATAGAGCGATTTATTGAAGCGATTTGTACACCTCTGTATTTATTAGAAACCTGAGGTGCTTGAGTTCCGGATTTAATGTATTCCCTGCGGGTTTCGAACCCACACGCCTTGGTTTCCCACGCCAAGGCGCTACCGGGTGGCCGCATTAACCATTCGGCCACCGGGGCAGTCTATTAATACTGATTAGAAGTATAGATCTGACTTATAAACAGCTATATATAAATTATATCTTTAAAGTTATATAAGTTTTAAGTATATATTATCTATAATATTTATAATAATCACAGTTTCTATAAATCTTCTTTAGATTTTAGAGAGATCTTATAATTTAAAAATAATTCTTATAAGTTTTTTAACTCTCAGATCTGAGTTTTTATACTCTACTTATTATAAGAGTAAATACTCAGTTTTCATTATTCAGCTTATTTACTCTATAAGCTTTAGAAATACTACAGTAATCTGAGATTCTGAGTTTATTAATATTTCTTATACTTATAGAGTAGTAGTACTGCAGTATAATCTCTTTCTATAAGTAAGTATTTTTATCAGAGAAGTAATAGATTCAGATATCAGTTTTAAAACTCTTAAAAAAACTATTACTAACTCTGTCTATAACTTCTTAAATTTCTATTTTAGTTTATTTAGATAGTTTACACAGAGATATTCTGATTTAAAATAGATAAAATAAAGTCTCTTTTTCTTAGTCTTTCTATTATATACTCTATTTATAGAAGCTTATAAAGCTCTTTCTTTCTACTTAGTAGTTAGATATAAATCTCTTTATATCTTATTATCTTTTTCTGATAAATCTATTTTCTGTTATTCTAACTCTTATAGAGTTAGTTAGTAATCTATTCTTTATAAATTTATAACTCTCACAGTAATTTATAAATAGTAAATAAAAGTTATCAGTTTCTTTAAAGTTAAGAACTTAGAGTCTTATTTAATAAGTTTATTCTATATATCTTTATTCAGCTTCTTTATAAATATTATTATTCAGATTTTATTTCAGAATTTTATTTTCATAGATTTTAATTTATACTATAATTTTATAAAGTACTGTAAGTAGTTTTTATTAAATTTTTTATCTCTTTTTCTAATATTAATAATTATAGTTTAAATATTCTCTATTTAACTTATAAAGTTCTCTAACTTATTCTCTAGATAAATTTTAAGAATAAATTAGTAAAATCTTTTATAATTATTCTCTAAATAATTCAGTCAGTTCTTGATTTTAATATAATAAAGATCTGTTATTATATAGATAATAGCTTCTTTATCTTCTATATTATACAGCTAAGCTTATAAGTTAATTTTAAATATAAACTTATAAAAGCTTTTATAGATTATAATTTAATAAGTAATCTTAAGTAATTATAGCTTAAGAAAGTTTCTTTTCAGTTTATAGATATCTTTAAAGATTATATCTAGAGACTTAGTTTAAAACTATTTATAAACAGTAAATATTTCTTATAGAAAAATAACTCAGTCTTATAAAAAATACTTAAGAATATTTTTTACTAAGATTAATTTATTCATAAATTCAGAGAGTTTCTTTATTATAGATATAGAGAATAATATTTTATAAATAATTAATAAGTTCTCTAAGACTTCTTTTATAAAGATTATTTATAATTTAAGTGACTACTTCTGAGTATCTGTAGTAGAGTTTATAGAGATTAAAGTATACAAGTTTCTAGTTCTTTCAGTTATAATAGACAGTTGCTGACTGACTGAGCTTGAAATATAAGAATAAGTACTCACAGATGATTATTCAGATATTTACAGCTTAATATAATATATACTGTTAACTACTAGAAGTATTCATGATAGAAAGATAAAATATAGAGATTAAATGTATAATAGTATTCATGAACTCCAGTCTATATAGTTGTGTGTAGTCAAGAGCCGCTAACCCTATTGGTTACGCGAGAGATAGGAATAGGGGTAAAGAATCCGCGAGGAGCGGGATTTCTTACAGCACATCTAGCTCACAAGCTAGCCATGTTAATTGAAACATATTCACATATCATTAACTGATTCTGCTAATTCCTGCAGAACTGCTGACCTGGTCTACAATTTGTACAAGTTGTAGCAAAATTTATAGCTTGAGAAGTGTGTGTCAGAGCTGAGTCTCACATCTGCACAATGAAAATTCTATAGAGGTCTTGAATTTTTTTTTATTTTTTTCTCTCAAGAAATAAGGCGGTAACAGAAAGCGGGGGCTGGTTTCGTTCTTCTGAGCGAGAACACTGAGGTGGTCCATTCTTAGAAATAGACTCTTGAATACTACCCTTTTTCAAGTTGTTTCACAGTGATGATGAAGCTCGGTAAGGTTTATTATATTCGATCACCACCGTAAAAGATATCTAAGAGGCCTTGTGAATCATTCTCTCAGCACATTTCAACTGCTAGGTATACAATGTACAGGATGAATGGAATGGGGATTAAACCACTAATGTAAATTTCCCAATATCAGCCGGAATGCAGAAGAGGAGAAATTCTTTAGGGCAAGAGAGTGATAGTACATTACATGTCGGAATTGAAAAGCATTATCAAGGCTCTCTAAGCCATCTGGGCTATGTAGCTTGATGCCTTCTGAAACCCCATTAGGGGAACGTCATTTTCTGCCATCTCAACCGCATCATTAGCGACACGGCATCAGGGGGACCTCTATCTTCAGTCGAGCAATGGCGCAGACGCATTGTGATCTATCGCGGAGAGCGATGTAAAGAGGGTTTGAGGGTCAAATAGCATCTAGTTAAGCCATTCGAAACCGCGAGCCCTAGTCAAGTCAGGGAAGGCAAGTCGTAATTATTTTTTCTCCCCAAGCCCCGACAGGCAATGTATGGGTCAAATGACAGTTAACCGTGGAAAAGAGGTTCGATCATGCGCACTTGGTTATTGGCTTATATAGATCTGGAGGCAGACAGATGTTCATGCAATGTGATAGATATGAACTAGGACGTTTCTGGTGTGTAGAGCAGCACACCTTCTGTAACTGAAGTCCAAAACAAGCGCTCATGACAAGGGTTAAGTCAGTGTATCTTAGATGAAATCTAGGGCCCTCCAGTGGCTCTGCTGATTCGCTTGTCGGATTGAATATGATATCCGCTGGTGGCGGGGGATTGTATGTAAATGTGGATGAATAGAATAACTGAATTGACGCTGGTGAAATTGATGCTTCTTTCGACGTATAACTGAAAACGGCAAAAAGGAAGTGTTTCCCAGATACTGGGATATGAGACAGAATGCGGAGTGCGTACCTGAGGGGGGTGTGATCGTGTCACATCGCATCACCAAGATGTGTACGGTGCAGAGCTGGCGATGGAGAGATGAATATGGCACAACACGCAATGTAAGCAGCATCTCACATACAGCAGACGTTATATACCATTTCTTGGGCGATGGTTCAGGTTCACTTTGTACGGTCTTTTCCCGGTAACAGGGGCGCCGTGTGCAGCGAGCGACAATTGTCCGATCAACGCGATCGTAAAGCTCTAACTGACCCCAGATTGCAGTTTTTCTTTGTTGACAAACGCGACTTATTTTTCGTGGCACGGCAAGGACTGATTCCACGAGAGAGAGGATGCAATATGTAGGTACAGTGTGCCATGGCAGTAATCTCCATCTGCGGCAGCGTTCCTTGGATATTCTTCCTATCCCCTGGTCCCAAAATGCAGTGAAGGGGGGAATAGAGGTAAGTGTCGACTCCAATTACCAAATGATGGTTCCCAAGAATAATTAATACTATTCTGATGCTATTTGGTGGCTAGGAAGGAAATCAAGGAATTTCCAAGGATTTCTTTTTTCTTTTTTATTCTATTTTTTTAGAATCGTCATCGCTGTGGTCAAGTTGAAGAATAAAATACACAGTTAATTATAACTGCAAAATGTCCCTGATTATCTCAGTAGCCGGCTGAGGATCTGTTCTTATTCTAAATGGAGAGAAGAGAGTCTTCAACTTTGACAGGGACATGTTCATCAAAATACTTTCTTCAAAAGCAACCTCTCAGACTGTCACCGTGAGCAAGGGGCAAGACGCGAGCATCGAACCCGAATTTATGTACTCCTGGTGTGAGCAGATGGCACCACCACCCGGTTCCTTCAACAAAACCCCTCCAAGCCCCAATGGCGGTGCCTGGAAATATCTTGGCTGCTTGAGTCTAACTAACTGGCTTCAGTTAGCATCCATTCGCTGGTGGGAAACGGGATTTCATTTGACAGCAGACTCTGCTCGTTTTCAGTATGATGCCCCCTTGTGGCCCCGCACCGAACAAGGAACCAAGCCACTGCCAAAGCACCAGGAATAATACAACTGCACGCACTGCGGCTTTGCGTGTCAGAATTGTCCCCAGTTCCCGGTCAATTCTATCTTATCTCGCTTCTCTTTTTTTATTCATCCTGCTCAAGATAGTTAGAAGGATGAATTGATCCTTACCCCAAGCAGGCGGCTATTGTTATTGTTGCACCTATATTGAAAGTGCCCGCGATTCCCCTGATGCCCTCCTCTTCTTCTGATCAACCGCCGTCGCTAAGATACAGTCCTCTGTACTGCCAAGAGAATCTGGTTAACCTGGGGCTAAGAGCCGCGAGAGTCTATAATAAGAAACATCTTGTCAGAACCAAATCATGAAATTTGCTGCTTGGCTGGCCAATCGCGTTGTTCCTCTCCTCGTGTGGCCTTTTGGCCGGACGCGGTGGGTGTGGAGGAGAATGCAAGAAGTGCGGATTTTTTTGTCTGCTGGGCGAGATGCCTGGCGCTCTGCGGCTGTGGGTGGGGTGGACATGCAAGGAACATAAAGAGATCCTTCGGGGTTTTCGTTGGGCCAATCTGGGGGCTCTCCGTATTCAGGGTCGCAAAACTTCTTCTGAGGGAACGGTATGGCTGTCCCTTTGGCCCCGTCAGCTCGAATTGCAGCCATGTCATGGGCCGTATCGTGGGGGCTGAGAACCGAGCATGTCCCTGGCTCGAGCCAACATCCTGGCCGCCAACATGGAGGGCCAGAATAATTTCCCTAATGAGCTAAATGTGCAATACGATAATAACAGGAGCTAGACGGTGAACTGTGCTTTATTAGAGACGCACGCGATGCTCAGGTGTGGATTTGCTGCTGAGATTCGCCTATATAAACTTCCCCGACTACCCCCACCGAATCGGAATATCTATCACTCTAAACACCAACATTTCATAGTTCATTATCTGATCTGCATCTCGAAAGCTCCCCTGCCGATCTCTATAAATCCATTGTCTACGCCTCAAAAAAAATTTCTATCATACATCTTTGATACCCATTGGATGTGAACATATTTCAAGACTCGCTCGCGCCCCAAAAGTTCTCTCTCCAAACTTTTTTATATCTTTTCATATATATTTCATCATTAAATATCACCTTAACCATGCTCCTCAAATCGGTATGTCTTTTACCTCTCCAGAGCTCCCACTCCCTTAGTCGAAGTAGTGTTATTAACTCCCAGCTTTCTTAGATCCTCGCCCTCCAGGTCCTGGCATTGAGCCTGACTGCAGCCTCGCCAATTAATAAAGCTCCAGCTTGCCCAGGAGAGCGCAACGGGTACGAAACTGGAAAGTGCGCGCGTTCTCTGCCCCGGTATCAATCGCAGGCAGCCGGACCTGTATGCTACAAGGGCACGCAATTCCCAGCGGCTGAGGAATGGCTTTCATTCAATGAGCTATGGGCCATTAATAGCCCAGTCATGTCAAAGTTCAATAGCAAGTCTGAGATGAACGCGATTAAGAAATATATTGGCGAAGCTGCGGCGGCGGCGGGAATTGATAAGTATGTCTCAATTGATTAAAACACGTTCCCATTTGGCGTATTTACAACAAACCTGCCAGAGCAAAGCGCCAGACGGACACAGTAGCTAACATTCAAACCCCACTACAGAGGAATCTTCCTTACCATCATGATGCAAGAATCCAGAGGAAACGTCCGCACCGTCGCAGGCGACGGCGTGACGCCCGGCCTCATGCAGGCCCTGGGCAGCCCGAGCTGTCTCGGCACCCCCTTCGGCGGCTGCCCCGACTCAACAATTAGAGCCATGATCTTCGCCGGCGCACTAGGCACCGGCCAAACCGAGGGCCTGTCTACCTGCTTCAAGAAGAATCGCCGCCAGTACGGCCCCATGCTGCGCTGCTATAATAGCGGCAGCGTTGTTGACCCCCTGCGCTTGGAGATTGTCAACTTCGGAACCCCCAGCTATGTCAGCGACGTCGCCAACCGCCTGAGAGGGCTCGAGCCGCGCAGGGACTGCGGATTTGATGCTGCGACCCCATCGCCGGGCTATTGAGCACGGAGTGGTGGTTGAAATGTTTATATATGCATCTGGCGTTTACGGTTTGGGTTTTCTGTGGGCGCTTTTTTGGTTATACAAGCGCTGGTCGTGGTTTTAGCATTGCTGTTTTGTACAGCTTGCTATATTGTTGCATTTTCCTTTTCGTTTGTTTTTTCCTCTGAGATTGTTTTCTTGATATCCATATTTCCGTATGTTCTTGCATATAGATGGTCCACGAGATAGATTCTCATAGATTCTGTTATTTAAAACGATACCATACCTTTGGATATATACAAAATGTAACCCCTCAAATATCATTTGTGGGATGCAAGCCGTCTAAGAAAAGTCACTCCAAACTAAGTTCGAGAGCTCGAAGCTTTCATAGGGAGTGACAGGGGCATAGTTCAACTTTTTTTGTTTCTTTATTTATTCATTTATTTAATTCATTTATTTGTATATTTGTATATTTAAAATGAAAAAAGAAAAAAAAAATTTGCATGCTCCTTCTCCATGGTTGATGCAAGGGCAGAGCTCGCTGGCTAGTTGGCTGGTTGGTGGTATCAAAAAACGCGTAAAACGTTAGCCGAAATTTTCGGTTTAGATACAGAGTAATGTTATAGTTTTAAGTCAGGTTAATTTTACTAGTCTCTAGTAGAGCACAGCTGCATCCAGCACAGAAGTACTCTGTACAATGTGATTATTTCCGCCCGCTTCGCATTTTGACACAAACCGGAGGTCTCCAACGGTTAGATCTAGCGCGCTGACACTGATGCTGACATGATTATAAGCAAAGTGCTGATCACCGCGGTTCGTCCAGCGTTAAATACAACTGAACACATTTAAAATTTGCAATCTAACGTTAGATTAGGCGACCCCTTAACTAGGACAGCTGGTTATCTGCCTGACTCCCTGGCACAGGAGATGAGGGCTTGATACATTATTGGACTCCGTATCAAACAAAACGCAATAGCTGCTTTCTTGATCATGGTGAGAAATAATCTGCGTGTTTCTTTTCGCAGTTCCGTTCGCAGTCGTTCAATTCATTGGCCATGAGATTCCCCCAAGGTCTTATTATATATACCACTCTTAGACACACTCGGGCGCGTCGAGAACCCAAATAAACAAATGCGCCCAACACTACGCAGCTACCGCCAATATGTTTGCCCGTCCTTCGGCAGCGTCCCGATGGTACCTTCATGCAGCAGTACCTTGTTAGGGAGGTAAAAGTTCTCATGGCCCGTTATTCAATAATAAGATAAAGAATGGATTTTGTGTTCAAGCAGGAGGAAAATGAGCCTTTGAAGTCGAGTTCGCGTCTAAGTATGACTAGACGCGGGAAGCGCGAATCTCTTTCCTAGGTTCTGGTATGTTTTTTGAGAAGTTCTCCTGGCAGTATTATTGTTATTAGGATTATTATTATTGTTGTTGTTGTTGTTGTTGTTGTTGTTGTTGTTGTTGTTTTTACCTTTATTTTTATTATGTTTTCTTTAACACAACACAAGAGATGGGAGCGGAGAATTAGACTATAAGTCAACTATAAATATATATATATCAATATAAAGAGCAATCTATACATCATATCTAGGAGTAAAATGTACATATACATAGATCATCAAAGAAGGGAATGAAAGAAAATTAGCAAGCTCTGTACAGCAGCAACAAACTGCAAAATCAGCCACCCTTTCTTAACTCTCTCTTGTAAATAGCTGTAGCATTCCCAAGGAACCCTGTGAACACCTGCTCAGCAACATGAGGCACAATTGAATTTGGCAAGTTCTCACCCTTCTTGTTGCAGTTGTCCACAGTCTTCTACTTCATCTTCTCAATCCACTCCTGCACCACCTTGAACTCCCACTCCGCCCTCTTCTCCTCGCCCTTATCATGCGCGTCGACCATGTCAATCAGGTGCTCACAGGCCTTGACCCACTGGCTCGCAACCATCATCCAAGGTTCCATGTCTGTCGCAAACTCTTTCATGACCATGCGTGGCATGATCTTGAGCAGCTTGGAGAGGAGCTGCAGGCACTTGCAGAGCGGCTTGGAGCCATCATTGCTCTTGCCACAGTTGGACCAGCCGGCCCAGAAGGCCCCGATGTCCTTGTCGAGCATGGGCAAGTGCACCTCTGGAGTACAGTAGGGCCAGTTCTGGTTGAGATCGGAGAAGGCAACAAGGGCCTCATGGACTTGTTTGTTGTCACCAGAGAGTTCCTGCAGAATTGCGGCCATTGATTCATCGGCGTTGTAGGCGGGTTCATTCCACATGTAGTTGGCATAGTTGGTGAGAGTGGGTAGCGAGGGATAGGGCTCAATCATCATGTTGAAGGTGAAGCCCAGGAGGTACTTGTACAGAACAGCAGCACGGCCGGTGAGGGGGTTGAGAAAGAGGCAGTCATGCTTGCTGTCATTCACTGGGAAGTTGTCCCAGATGAACATTTTCTCGGTTATGTAGGTCATGAGAGTGCAATTGATGCTCTTGATGATGATCTTGTTGCTGAAGACTCCTTCGCCAGTCCACTGGACTCAGATTTTCTTGTCCAGGGTAGTACCAAACTTCTCCTTGTACAGATCAGGCTGGCTGCCAGTGTAGTTGGTGGGGACAGTCTCAAGGTTGAGGAGACCTAGGGGTTCAATGTATTCCTTCTGAAACATGGTTCAGATAGTAAGTCTGGGCTTCCGCCAGCCAGTGCCAACTACCCTTGTTCTCCCACTTTTGCTTATCCTCTTCGCAGTGGAATTGGAGGGGAATGTCATTAAGGGCAATGTAGAAGCTGTGGACACCAAGGTCACAGATCTGGTTGAACTTGGTGACAGTAATATTAAAGTCCTCTTCGGACGAGTAGCAGATGGAAGCACAGGGGGAAAGAGCATAGGTGAAGTCCACATGATTGACATTCGCAGTGGTTACGAGCTCCTTGAGCTGCTCAAGGGCGTCACCTTCGTAAAGATCGCGCCACTCATGGCGGAGTTTAAGGTCATCCTTGGTAGTGTAGATGTAGGTGTTGATTTTATGTCTCTCGTAGAACACGTAGTGGTCGAGGCGCGACTGATGCGACCAGGGAATGCCATAAAACCCCTCAATGGAGCCACGGATGGACATGAGCGGCCAGTCGCACACTTGGATACCGGGGACACGGTCGTCGCCATCGACAAGCTGGCGAAGGGTCTGTGCCGCGTAGTAAGTGCCGCGCTTATCCGCACCATTGAGAGCAATGCTCGGGCGGTAGCCATCGGCGTCAAGGCCATCCGCGTACTTAGTTAACTACCACCTAACTAGTGCCTTGGCGACGGCAGAGGGCGTCCGGGTTTTCTTTCTTGGTGCCGATGAAGATTTGGTAGCCATCGAAGGAGTCTGCGACTGAGGGAGTACCGCCAGCAGAGATGACAATCTGCTTCACTGCATCTATTGTGGCCTTGTCTTCGGCATCCCCAGTTACAATAGTGACGGGACCGCGGAGTGAGACCGCCCGGCCCAGCGGCGAGATCTATTGCGGAGGAGGCCAAACCTTGTTGACCTTTGGCGGCGGACGGCACTCGGGAGCCGCGTCGACTGGCCCAAGCCAAGAGCAAGGAGGGCGAGAACAAAGGCCCGGAGCCCGGATCGGTAATGGAAGTGCATGGTCAGCCTTTTTTGTAAGAAAAGGTTGAATGGCGGAGGAGGAAGCGCAACACACGAACTCAACGTCGGCCAGGGCACGGTTTATGTGTTAATTTGTTTCTTGCATCTGATCGTATATCGTCATTCGCCGGTGGAGACAGCATAGGAATGACCATGGCTATAACTGTTACCCATACTATAGTCATAACCAGAGCCCCGATGTGGACGGGGTCTGGGGAGTCCTATGGAGCCTCCCGGACGCAGTGTAGACAGAAGACATGATGGACCGGACCAGTATTATATTGTGGAGGCAGAGACACCGCGAACTGGCCGCTGCTGGGACGTGTACGCTGCAACCGTTACAGTTTGCCCAGTTCCCCGTCTGCAACGTTGGTGATGATCGGCGAACAAGGCGAGCGGCGTATTTACTCCGAGTCCGAGTTTTTTTATCAGGTTTCACGGAAGGTTGTTAGTTTGCCTTGAAGTTCACTTGGCTCCGAGAAGCAGACATTATTCTTCATTCCCAGTGGGGTTCATTCTCCTTGCCCTATAATAATGATATCCCAAGTGTTCGCGGGGTTGGCTTCCGCTTAAATAGTCCATGGCGAGCGAGTGCGCTAGAGTTACTGCTGTACCAAGGGACTCGCGCCTGGGACAGGGATGACTGTCAACGATTGATATGTTGATATGCTGATATGATGGATGATATGTGAATATTTCGGCCGAGCTCATCATTTTTCTTGCGGGAGATTGGGTGGATGAAGAAGAGTCAGTCCCTTATCTACAAGTTAGTTTATTTCTCCTTGATGTAACTACTCATATTGCCTGATATAGAGCTGTCAATACTGCTAAGAGGTTAACTCTGGCTCTGGCTCTGCCTCTACCTCAAATGATGTCTGCTTCCAGAAGTGACACAGTGGCGAGAGGAGCAATGTGGTGAGCTACAAAAGTTGTCTGAAAATAACCGGATCGATTCTCCAATTCCCCAACATATCCGGGAGAATATAACTAGAGTTCGACTTGAACTCACTGCACCTAACTACTGGAGCCACCAAATCGGTCAATCCCTAAAGGTGGGGGAATGCAAGCTGCAAGTCTGCTCCAGGTCAACCAACATCACCCCGCTATAAACACACTTATCAACGCCGAGCCAGAGATCGGCATTCCGCGCTATATTAAACTCGGGCTTAATAGTGGCGCCGATGGTGTTGCCGGCCTTATTTCTCAGAATCGAACCGGTGGACGGCGTGAGACACTGAGCACTTAGGTCAACAACACAACACTCGCCGAGGACGTCCGGGCTCGGATCTGATACCTACTACTACTGTGTAGTCATGCACTCACTCCATACATGCGTCTATTTGCAAGAGGCGCCGTGCAGAATCATATCCCATCCATTCAGGCTGCCCAGCGCTCCACCCTCGATATCAAATCAACCCCATATAACCGCTCGTTTGGTACCTCCAAAAGCCTTATCTAGATACCGACCTGGGCTTGCCGTTCTCCTCCGGGCCCTGGTTGAATGGCCGAGCAACTAGCTTGAAAGTCGTTCTGTCTGCCGCAACTGGTGCTTGAGCTGCACCACGGTTGCTCCCCAGCGTACCACTCATGGGAGATGATTTCTTCACAGGTGATTGCAACGTGATGAATCTGATGCGTCTATGGCACACAGAGAAAAAGAGACTCATGAGTGGAAGCAGAAAAATGGCTAAACACGGAGATACTATTTGAAGGGAGGGAGGACATGTCTTTTAATTCCAAGCACAGATCGCGCTCCTTCAATCCCGTTTCTAACTGAAAAAAAAAGCCCATGAGTGACGGACATTTTGGAGAGAAGAGAGCGCTTTCCAAGCTTTATATTCTTGTATTCTATTGCCTATATCCTATTTCTCCCGGAAAACAAATCTCCTGGTGGTCACGAAGCGCTGTGCGGCTAGGAAAGTTATGGGTTTCGGCCCGAGGCACTTTAACCTACCCCCCAAAGTGGTGTGTGCGCCGATGAAGGCCAGAAAAGCCTTGTGAACCCAATTGAGCCACAGCCTCAAAGGATATATGGAACCCTCCACCTCATACTTTCCTGCTGTGATGTCGCTGTTCCCTTCCTTGGCTCTGTGGAGAGCAGACAGGCTATTTTACATGGTTCCCCTCACAGTTCTTAAGAAAGCTATGTAGAGGAGAAATCCGGTTGGATGGATCAAGGGTCCAGTGTTTGCGGAGAACTGCAATCGAAGCCCTGATTATTACAGTTCGCCGCTACAGACTCGCCGAAGGGTAGGCATCCTGCACCCCCAGAGCGCTCAGGCTCTCACGAACGCAGTACGACCCCAGATCACCCTTTTTTCCAAGCGCAACTGTATCCCCTATCCTATACAGCGTCCCAAGCCCTATGTCGGACGTGGTCATAGGTGTGAGTGGAATGACAAGTGAGTAAACGCAAGCGAAGTCAATCTGAGACAAGATGATATGGTATCCGAACCCGTGAGGCCGTGAGGTGCTATTTTGGCCTTGCTTTGAAATTTATTCTACCATCGTGGAACCTGTGTAGTGGGGAAAAAGGGGACCGGTCTGTGGTGAAAAAAAAAAAAAAAGCCCAACTGTCTTATCAAGTATTTGGTGAGTTTGAGAGATAGAGGAAAAAGCTCTGCTGGCATTGAAGCCTAACAGCTTCTAAGGATTGTTTCAGCATTGATGCCAGGCGGCAACCTGACAGAATGGTTCAGAACCTGCAGTATTCTTCCGGCTCGGGTGCATATCAGCGCCCTTCAATCCTGGGGGAGGGGGTAGTGGAAGCAAACATTGACAGAAGCACGTATCAGAAGTTCGAAGGAAGGGTGATACCAGGGGGCGCAATGCGACGAGCGCTTTTTGATGCTATGCCACACATGGAGGGAGAGGAGGCTAGGCTAGGAGTTCAGCGTCATAGTGGACATGGCTGCCTCGGTGAGAGTATTAGAAGCTACGCATTTCAATGTCACAATGACCAAGGCTGGGTAGTGCAGCTTTCTCCGCTTGTCCTATCCGGGTGAGGATGCTTCAACACAGAGTGTAATCGACGCTGAAGAAGCAGTGAGTGGTGTAACGGAGGCTGGTTGAACACCTGTTCCTTTAGAGTGTGATCTGTTTCTCAGAGTACTCCAGAGGCCATGATAGTCTTGATAGGAATTATAGTGTTCAATAATAGATATGAGACTGGATGCTTTGAGGTAGCGCAGATTAGCACTGGTCATATCTTCCTTCTCCTCTATTCCCTGGTTGTTGTAGCGCTGAGTGCAGGCCACTTGGTTCAGCTGCCAGACAGTATACGGGATGAGAGATTCTGCTCAAACTAACTTACAATTCTGATCTTTTACATTAGTTACTGACATAGTTGCAAAATTAGGTAATTGTATAATTCTTGAAAGAGAGGTGAATTAGAAATATGACCTTATGTTACTATTAATGAGCTTTGGTTAGTTACCTGTCAATTAACCAGAGTAAAAACTATGTCAACATGTAATATATTGATTAAGAACATTCAACAACTGATGATAGATAGTTAAATAGTGCTCATACTCTTAGTTTGATCTACTGCTAACTGTTAATGTTCTTGACACAGAGTTGTATAGAGGTAGGTAGTGTTGAAACCTCATCATTTCTAAGGATGAATGTGTCCTCTCTCACCCAATTGTGCCCTTCACTTTTCCACACACCATCTACTTATTTACTGGTGCTGCTGCCAGAGAAAAAAGTCTCAGTTTCACGGCTTAAAATTACTCATTCAGAATCCTCAAAACAAGAAGCCAGGCTGCAGATGTGTGAAACCTGCCCTGGAGGGTCATTCACAGACAAGGACAAACTCTTCAAGAATGTCCATCTTCACAATTGCTGCCTGGTGAGTGATGATGATATTGTGGCGGACATATTACTTGTGAAAACAGAATTTTCCCAGCCCCCCCTGAAAATTAGTAGCAAAACACCACCAAAAAATCAAAATATCCGCATTTCTCTAGAATCATTCAATATCATCCAATACGCGTCTTTTTCAATCAAATATCATCCAAATATATGTCTTTCTTACCTTTATCATCAATATGTCACCTCAACTCTGTGATTTCATCATCAACAAGATTGTACATCTTCTTAAGAATGATTATATATCTGCTGAGATCATGTGAAGCATTGATTATCATCTGTGTATATTGAATTCAATGAAATCTTCACTGTTTTGAAACTGCTAGAGAATGTCAAAGATCATATCAGATATCTCTTCAATTCTGAAGAGATTTGATAAAGATTTTGAAGCTTTTTTGCATCATACAGTTGAGAACTTCATAAGAGAAAAAGATATAAAAGAATATTTCAGATCTACTTATATAGAATAGTATTATAATAATTAGAAAGATTCAGATTACAATTCATTATAATATAAATTTAGAAGTGAAAGCAGTATGAGATCTGTTCTCATCACTATAAATAGTGAATAAAGATGATTTGAATTTCTGCAATTTTGTCTGTTATAATGGACTTTTTAACTCATCTCTTATAATTTGAAATATACTCTTGTCAATATTCATATGAAGCAACTGTTCCCTTGTCAATCAATTGAAGTATTCATCAAATTGAGGTATTGGACTGCTTTGAATTGGAGATGGAACAGCGGATTCGATGGAAGATTCAATGGCGGATTCGATGGAAGATTTCAACGGCGGATTCGATGAAAGATTTCAACAGTGTATTCGATGGAAGATTTCAACGGCGGATTCGATGGAAGATTCAACGGCGGATTCGATGGAAGATTTCAACAGTGTATTCGATGGAAGATTCAACGGCGGATTCGATGGAAGATTTCAACAGTGTATTCGATGGAAGATTCAACGGCGGATTCGATGGAAGATTTCAACGGCGGATTCGATGGAAGATTCAACGGTGGATTCGATGGAAGATTCAACAGTGTATTCGATGGAAGATTTCAACAGTGTATTCGATGGAAGATTCAACGGTGGATTCGATGGAAGATTTCAACAGTGTATTCGATGGAAGATTCAACGGCGGATTCGATGGAAGATTCAACGGTGGATTCGATGGAAGATTCAACGGCGGATTCGATGGAAGATTTCAACAGTGTATTCGATGGAAGATTCAACGGCGGATTCGATGGAAGATTCAACGGTGGATTCGATGGAAGATTTCAATGGCGGATTCGATGGAAGATTCAACGGTGGATTCGATGGAAGATTTCAACAGTGTATTCGATGGAAGATTCAACGGTGGATTCGATGGAAGATTCAACGGTGGATTCGATGGAAGATTTCAACAGTGTATTCGATGGAAGATTCAACGGTGGATTCGATGGAAGATTTCAACAGTGTATTCGATGGAAGATTCAACGGTGGATTTGATGGAAGATTTCAACAGTATATTCGATGGAAGATTCAACGGCGGATTCGACGGAAGATTTCAATGGCGGATTCGATGGAAGATTTCAATGGCGGATTCGATGGAAGATTCAACGGTGGATTCGATGGAAGATTTCAACAGTGTATTCGATGGAAGATTCAACGGTGGATTCGATGGAAGATTCAACGGTGGATTCGATGGAAGATTTCAACAGTGTATTCGATGGAAGATTCAACGGTGGATTCGATGGAAGATTTCAACAGTGTATTCGATGGAAGATTCAACGGTGGATTTGATGGAAGATTGAACAGCAGATCTGAATGTGGATGATAATGAGATTGTGAATTCAGTTCTTCTATTCCTTTCATCATATATTTCATCATCATCACATTGATTATCTCACTTGAGAATGCCATATTGAATGAAGTTGAAGCTGCCAGAGCTGAAGGAGGGAATATAATCACTGACATTTGAGAGATCTGTATAGAAGAATTGATTATAGAAATTATAGATTCATTCTTCTGATTCTTCTTCTTCTTTCTACTCATTAATCATTTTGTCATCTCTCTTATTCTTTATCTCATTGATAATCACCCATTCATACAATCTGTATGAGATGTCAGACTCAGATGTAGGGATTCACGGATATCAAGGATTCTCAGACTGAGTCTCTATATTCTTCTCATTCATCTGCTCCTCTATCTCATCATTGACTGGATTCTCTCCATTATCCAGAACTTCTGGAACAGGTAGTTTGGAGAGACTGAGACGCAGGATAGAAGTCTTTATACAGGCTTGCAAAGCAGCAGGACAGCAGGTGTTGTGAGGCATATTGAAAAAAGGGTTGATTGATATATGTGGATTTGATGATAAAGGTAAGAAAGACGCGTATTTGGATGATATTTGATTGAAAAAGACGTGTATTGGATGATATTGAATGATTCTAGAGAAATGCGGATATTTTGATTTTTTGGTGGTGTTTTGCTACTAATTTTCAGGGGGGCTGGGAAAATTCTGTTTTCGCAAGTAATATGTCCGCCACAATATGCGCACCCTGATGAAAGTGGGCTATATTCAACACGTCAGGATGCTCGGTGGTGTCTTTTTGTAGTGTGTAGTTATAGTTATACTAACTATTTTAAAGATAGAACCAATGTCATTAGTTAGCGTCGGCGATAGTTATCGAACCCGCGAGTCTTCGCAGTCGATCTGGTCGTTGATCATTCATTTAAATATTGTTCACACTCCTTCATAACAAATCTTAGATGAAATGTCACATCTCATATTCAGTATATTTTCCCCTGGACACCAATATCCTCACTATGGCCACGCCACGGGCCCTAGTACGCCAACGCTCCTCGGCTTGCCCCCTGAGATCCGCAGGCTCATTTTTACCTGCTATTTTCGATCCGTCCGGATACGCCAGAAGCTCACATACCCATATGAAGCCGTAGAAGATCAATTGGCTATTCTGCGGGTCTGCCATCAACTCTACCACGAGTCTGAGCCACTCGTGCTTCCAAATGTACAGCTCTTCTGCTATAAAAACACAGATGTGATAAATACTCTTACCAAGATGAGCTCTGAACAAGTCTCACAGCTTCGGCACATGGTAGTCCACCATTGCCCCGTGGGATTCAATTTATCTTCGAAGGAAAAGTCTACCGGCGTTTCATCTGATCGGAAGCACGACACCAACGACGACAACGACGACGACAACGTCGGTGAGGATCCTGTCAGATACTTCCATCTTGGTGCGATTCTTGGCCTATTCCCGGGACTGCAGCTTGACATCCTCGAGGTCTTTTGCGAGGTACGCGGAGGACCCTACACGGATTTTCAAACCACGGACTGCTTCGGGTCCCTCCTTGGAGCTGATGGTTACCGGCAGCTTTGGATGCGTGCAAGCGAGGGCGACGGAGGGGCGTGGGTTGATACTCCAAGTTCTTTTGAATGGAAGGACTACATAGCGACCAAGTTCAAGCCGTATAATGGATGGGTCCGGATGAGGCTGCCACGACATGAATGGAGAGATGTGGGCAGAGATACCCCACAGGGAGAATTTTGGCACAGAGCTCAAGAGGCCGGGTTCACGCTCGTTAAAAAAATCGACTCTCCAAACGATTCTGATGAGGATGGGCAAAGTATGTATGGACACAGGAGCGAGGATGTAGCCGATATCGTTGTGGATAGAGGCGATGCGGACTTCGCTGTCAAGAAGGATGGCGATCAAGTGCTGAGATGCATTGAGCGAGATTATTTGCTGGGAGAGACTCCCGCGTTCTTTAAAAGCACTTCGGACGCCCTACGGAAGCTTTTCAAAGACCATAGCTTGGAGACCATCTGGGCCATGGATGGATTTGATGATGGCACTCTTAATTATTGGGACTTAGGGGATAATGCGTATTCGAGAAGGTATTAACTAGCCATGGATGATGTTTATATATATGTACATACATATGTACACATTTTGCCAGAATTCTGGATCCGGGGAAAGGCATAGGGAGTTATGAAATATTCTTCTAGCAATGTTGAATGTATGATGAGCGCATAAATAGAAGAGAAAAGCAGATTGTAAACCACCACAGCCGTTGTCTGTACCTATTTTCTATTATTGATATACTGATATACCCTGCTGTGTTATTTCTTTTCTTTTCTTTTCTTTTCTTTTCTTTTCTTTTCTTTTTCTTTTTCTTTTTCTTTTTCTTTTTCTTTTTTTTTGCAATCAATTTGGTTTAACAATATAAATAAATAACTAGGGAACTCACTCATTCTAGCAACATGTTGGTTATATATTTGAAACTGAAGATTCTGTCAATCACCACTTCATCATTCATCATCACTCAAGTAAATAACTTAGTTATCTGCAATGTATTATTCTTGAGTATTTCTAACTCCCTAACTCTATCAGAACCCAACAGCTCCAGCCCCCAGTTAGTTATGTAACCAGTTGGCTAACTTTTACTGAGACTTGGTTACTTTGTTTCTTTGTCCATCTCCTGCATAAATTTTCTTCATGCAACAACTACTCACTGCAACAACCCAGCCCCAATTCCCAATTCCCAATTCCCAATTCTATTGGTACTGTTGGCCATACAAGCAGAGCTGCTCGCCTGGGATAACACACACACACACATATATATATATATTTATATATATATATATCTATTTGCCGCGAACCAAACTTGAAACATTCCAAATGTCCGAGGGTGTGACTTTGTCCCATAGTTTCGGTGGTGAGGGAGATATTCAAATCGGGGCACATTCTCTGGGGGATATATCTTATCCATCTCTATACACCAACATGCACCTGTTATAGTATGCAGGTGAATGCTGAGCGACTTCATCCGGAATTCCAGTGCATCTATCTCCCTAAGCGCTCCCCAGCCGAGCATTTCGTTGCTGCTAACTTACCGAAAAACGAGAGAGCCATACATAAGCTGAGGAAGAAGCCCCTTTATCTTATGGCATTCAGGCGGCTTTTGCGCAGATGAGCTGACCTTCCCAGATACATTTAGAGCGCGTAGCTCTGGCGGAGTTGGTCTCTCTTTCAAGGACAGTGGTATCATACAGGTGTTAATCAAAGAAGATATTCCTCCGACTTTCAACCAACCTCAAATGCGTCCATCCATCCAACACACTTGCGGTTAGAGTCGTACCAACAGGTCCATAAAAAAAACAGAAAAAAGAAGAAAAAAAAAAAAAAAAGAAAAAGAAAAAGAAAAAGAAAAGAAAAAAGAAAAGAAAAAAAAGAAAAAGAATGAATAGAACTTCGCGCCCATGGGGCCCCTTATACCGCGTCTCATGCAGTATGTTCTTTATAAACTATCGTTCTAGACCTCAGAAGGCTCTTCATGCATCATGCACCGCGAATATTCGTTTGGTTATATTCTCGTCCTGTTTTGTTGGGATAACAGGGCCCAAACCCCCATATTGCGTCTATCAACAAACAAGGCTCCTTTCCAGGGAAGGAATTCTTCCCGATGGGAGAATGATATATTATAAATAACAAAGCACACCCCCCCTGTCTATAATACCCTGCTTCTACAGCTTTGATTATCTTTTAATCCAGGCTCATCGTCGTCGGTTAATGGGCGGTCTTCCATTGACTTGACAGGGTACTATCAATTATAGTATTTATACTTTGATCGCTTTGCACCGAGTTTGACCAAGGGAGACAAAGGAAAACCGCTCCCACGCCGGTCCCCTCGCAACCATCAACCATGACGCGCTCATTACTCATCGCCATCCTTTCCCTATCACTTCCTCTGGCGCTCGCGACGGATGACTGCGGTAGCGGAGGCGTTGATTGTCCTGCAGCCTCACTAGACAGGACTCCCCGGCCGCTCTCGACTGCATATAGCCATATCACAGTTACAGTTAAAACTATAACCCCGAGGGGTGCACCCAAAGAAACTTTCCCATCGGCAGCTCTGGGGCCCCCTCTAGCCGCATCAGAACCCCCCGCGGCCGCGTCTCCTCGAGCCACTGCCACCCCCCTGAAGACTGCGCCGGCGGCGCCTGCATATCCCGCAAAGCCCCCGAAGCCCGGAGCGGGCGAAAGTGTCAAGAAGCCTAAAACCGCCCGTCCAGCAGCCCCAAAACCAGAGCCAGAGTACGAAGCTCCATCACAGAAGAAATCCCCGCCTCAACGTCAGTCTCCGCCAGACTACGAGGCCCCACCGAAGAAAAAATCCCCGCCACAACGTCAGTCTCCTCCAGACTACGAGGCTCCACCGAAGAAAAAATCCCCTGCCCCGAAGAAAGAATCTCCTCCTCCAAAGAAAGAATCCCCACCAGACTATCAAGCTCCGTCGCAGAAGGTATCCCCGCCGCAGCGTGAATCTCCGCCAAACTACGAGCCCCCCCCGAAAAGAAAATCTCCTCCGCCGAAGAAAGAAACCCCTCCTCCAAAGAAAGAATCCCCACCAGACTACCAAGCCCCATCACAGCAGAGACCGCCACCAAAACAGCCCGAGCCCGAACCAGACTACGAAACTGGGCCGGAATACCGACGCCGAGCTATCCGGACGCCTAGACGTGTTCGTCGAGCCAGGGATGCCATTTATTACTAACGTGGGTAATAGGCCTTGGTTGGTATCTATATTCTCTCTGTTATTGTTGTTGTTTCGGAAAAAAGGGTTCCCATCTCTTCTATGGCGCTGGGTGCATGATCCAGGGCCCCCGTCCTTTGACGTTGTGAGTTTGGAGTTTGGGATTTTAGATAACTGAGGAGATAGAAAGGGGGTGGCAAGGGGATGATCACCCGATTTTTAAATCCCCTTTTCCAATATTTTTCAAAAAAAAAAAGTTGTTTTGGCGACATAGAGCGGGATAGACTAATCCAATAATTAATCCACTTAATCTTAACATCTGTTTACTTCTTTGGTTCTCCATTTGAGATGTCTGTTCTTTCTTTCGCATATTTTTAAGTGTGGTGCATGCGCGAGATGTCAACCCTGTAGCAACACTTAATCCTAAATGCATTACTAGATATGGACGCAGAGGAGTGATATTGACAGAAAAGAACATACCAATTTACAGGCCAGTAGTAACCCCGAATACAATTCCATTCCCACTTCCAGTTCCGTTAACAACTGACTCTTTGTGTGTTTCTAATCCATCTATCTACGTGAGTTATTCTTTTGTAAAGACAAAAACAAAATAAAAAAGTCTGTTCCATTCAATAACCCCATCCCATTTCCCATATACAACATAACCCATCCATCCACATCCTCATACCCCACCATATCACTCTATCCCAGTCGACCTACTCACAACCGACTCCGCCCAACCCCAACTCCCTCCCCCGCAGCCCTGAGAATAAACCCCGCCACCTTCCCCGGCCGACTAATCATGGGCGAATGGCCGGCGTCCTCCAGCACCTCGATACGGTCCCGCGCAATCCCTGCACCAAAGGCCATGCGCGTCTGCACCTTGAAGGGGACGGCGCCGTCGTGTTTGCTCATCAGATAGGAGCAGGGGTAGTGGCGGTAGGCGGGGTAGGTGAGCGGGGAGAAGAAGACGCTGGTGGGTTTTGGGTTAGTGAGCTGTGGGGTTGGGTTTTGGAGAGAGGTATTATATATATATATATGTATGTATGTATGTATGTATGTATGTATGTATGTATGTATGGAGGGGACCTTACGGGAGTGGTTGGAGTTTCAGCTTTGAGGACCAGTAGTGCTGGGCGAGGGGAGGCAGGTCGTTGTAGAAGCGGGCAGGGCCGTCGAGGATGCGGATTTGTTCGTTCTGGGGATTTGTTTATTTAGTTATAGTGTTGGTCATGGGAAGATGTGAAGACATGGATGTAGAAAGAGATGTATAAATGAGAAGTCAAATAAATACCTTCAGCTCAAAACCCTTTAGCTCTGTGCGCTCTGGTGTCCACAGGCCTTTTCCAACAGGCAGAACCATGCCAACAATGAATGCCAGATGCACAATTCGGCCGCGGCGAGGGATGTATTGAGCTAGTCCTGTATCATCTCCAGCACACATCGCCTTTGCATCTGTCTCCTTCTTCACAGCACTGGAAACCTCCTCTTCTCTCTCCTTCTCGCCATCTCCATCCATCCCCTTTCCTCCAACCTCTTCACCATCCTGAGAATAGCCCTTCATCTCCCCATGAAACGCCTTCAACGCCTCGCACCCCGCCACAGCCGCGTACGAGTGCATCACCACAACCACATCCTTTCCACAGTCCAGCACGGCCTCGATGCCGCTCTGGATGGCATCCACGTCGCAGGAGAAGTCGGGCGCGGCGGGCACCATACCAGGCGACTTGAGGGCCACTGGGTAGACGGAGTAGCCGGCCTTCTCGAGCAGAGGCGTCACGAAGGTCCAGACGGCGGGGGATTGCCAGCCGCCGTGGACCAGGAGGATGGTTGGTTTCGACATCGCTTGGGTTGACACGGTTGGGGTGGTTTGATGTGCTAGGGAGTGTTTGATATGAGAGTAAGGATTCAGTAATATGAGACTGGTTGTGAGTAGAGCTCCCTGCAATATTTTTTTTGAATAATATGCACTTCTTTGACTCGATGAGCGGGTATATCGGTATTATTTAAGATATCAAAAAGAGATTGCGTTTATAAAAACCGCGGACAGAAATCCCTTCGGTGGATTTGTGGGAATGATATGAGACACACAACACAACACGCGCACAATGTGTCCGACGAATAACACAAACGACATCTATTGAAGTGGGAAATTCTAGGAGATTCCTCTCCGAGCAGAACAATAACAATAACAACAACAACAACGGCTCTTGGGCCCGTTGCTCATATGGAAACCCGGCTTCATCCTTCACCCTTTGGCCAACCACCAGCCAGCGAGAAGAAAGGAAAATAGATGCATAACACACACACACACACACACAAACGAGGAAAATAGAGAGCAGGAGTACATATTATCAGCCTATACCACAGGGCTTGCTGAGCTAGGGACACCGGGACCAGGTAATTTCGCGCTTTGCAACACTGGGCTTCTATGCTGCGACAGCCTGGAGAGAAAAAAAAGATGGATGAGTAGGAGGGGATCTCAAACGCTGCTCGCTTTGTCTAACCGTCCCTTTTTTTTTTCTGGCTATCCTTGTTCCGCCATTCCTTGGTCGGCACAAGACAAGGATAATTTGTGGGAGAAATAGAAAAAGAAAGAAAAAACCGTTGAGAAATGATCAAGGCGCTGGTGGCGGAGATCATCTTCGTAGCAGTAGTTATTTATTTATACACATAAACCTGGGAATATATATATATATAGGACTATATACAATAGTTACAGCATTGGGATTAATGAAGATTAACCCAGTTTGGGTTGGAAATAATAAGCTCCTGGTCGTTGGAAGAGTCAAGAAGAGCGCACCGTCATCGCAGCTGTATAATCAGATATAGTTATTATTGATCACACAATGGAATGTTGTGCTGCGTTTGCCATGTTTCCGAGTTGTAGAAATGCAGAAATATTAGTTATATATTTAGAGGAACAAAGGAAACTGAAACAAGAGTATTTAGCTAAATAATAAATAATTATTATGGATTGCGTTGGTTGTTCAAACAAATAAATATCCGAGAAAAAATATATCAACTATTTATTTATTTATTTAGTTAAATATTTAAATATTTAACTAAATAATATTGAACCGGCCCAACTTGAAATCTTAATTATTTAAATAAATATTATTATATTTAGCCCCTGAATCCCGACCAAACACAATCTTCCAAACATCCGCTGTGTAACCTCCTCCACAACGAACGACCACCACAATATCAGCACAACAGCCTGATCTCATCTCCCTCCATGATATCTCCTCTATCCCTCCAAAACCCGCGCCTCCCTCATCTCCCCCACCAGCCAACACTTCTTGCCGCCATCTAAACCGTCAAAATGCCCCTCCCCTTCAACCTCCGCCCTCCCAAACTGCCTCACTCCCGCCACAACCGCCAAACCCTCCGCAACCAACCCCTATCCGAACTCTCCGGCGCCCTCGGCGACCTGGGCACCTTCCTCCCCCTCCTCACCGCCCTCGCCATCAACAACACCGTCTCCCTCCCAGCAACCCTCCTCTTCTCCGGCCTCTACAACATCCTTACCGGCCTCTTCTTCGGTATCCCCCTGCCCGTCCAGCCCATGAAAGCCATCGCCGCCGTCGCCATCGCGAAGCATTTCACACCGGGCCAGATCGCCGCCGCCGGCATCTTCGTCGGCGCCTGCATCCTCCTCTTCAGCGTCACGGGCTTGCTGACATGGTTTGCGCGCGTCGTGCCCACCCCCGTCGTCAAGGGGATCCAGGTGGGCGCGGGCCTGTCGCTAGTCATATCTGCGGGTGCGTCTCTGAAGAGCCAGCTGGGCTGGTCGGGGCCGAGCTGGGGGGATAATTATATCTGGATGCTTGTGGCGTTTGTGGCGCTGGCGCTGACGGGCATCTATCGGCGCGTGCCGTATGGGCTGGTGGTGTTTGTGGTCGGGCTTGGGTTTGCGTTTGTGCTGCTGGGGACGTCGCCGGATCAGAGGCTGCCGTCCTTTGGCGTTTGGAGGCCCGGTGTTTTTACCCCTGTCGGGGATGAGTGGAGGGTGGGTATCGTTGACGCGGGCATTGGGCAGATCCCGCTGACCACGCTCAATTCTATCGTGGCCGTTGTGTATCTGGCTGGTGATCTGTTACCGGAGGTGCAGACGCCGTCGACTACGGCCATTGGGCTTAGCGTTGCTGGTATGAATCTACTGGGTTGCTGGTTTGGTGCCATGCCGGTGTGTCATGGCTCTGGCGGCCTGGCGGCGCAATATCGATTCGGCGCTCGGAGCGGGGCGAGCATCATCCTCCTCGGTGCCTTCAAGCTAATTATTGGTCTGTTTTTCGGAAACACGCTTGTTGGTCTGCTGCAGCGGTTTCCCAAATCATTCCTGGGCGTTATGGTGATTGCAGCTGGGCTGGAGCTGGCGAGTGTGGGCGAGAGCTTGAATACGTCCCGCGCATGGGATATGGTCAAACACCCAGGCTCTGGGAATGCGTCTGGGTTACGACTGCCTGGGAGCGGTCTGAACGAGGCGGAGAAGAAGCAGAGGTGGACTGTCATGATGGTCACGGTGGGCATGCTGGTTGCGTTTAAGAACGATGGGATTGGCTTCCTCGCTGGGATGGTTTGTCATTGGACGTACAAGCTTCCGGCATTGATTGAGGAGATCCAGAGGAGATATGGAGAGGGGAGGATTAGACTACCCGGTAGTGGTCGTGGACGTGGGAGTTTTTGATATGGATATGATATGTGGAGGATATGGAAGTAGAACGGTTGAACGCCCCCCCCCCCCCCCTCCCTCCCTTGAATAATGATTAACGATGGAATGAAGTACGATTTCTCTTCCGGGATCGAAGGTAAATTATCTTGCGGATTTAACATTTCCCCCTCTTAATGATGGAATGAATGTGCTATGCAAATTAACTATCGTCCGGGTTTACTTTTCTCTTCTATGATGACCCCCTATTTTTGAGGGAACTGGTTTATTTTCGGTCTACCTTCTCTATGGTTGGATTTTAGCAGATTTTGGATTTCGGGATACCATACCCCTACCCTAGATTTAGTTCAGGGAAGAGTAAACAGCATTTTGTCACCATATATAGTAACAGAATCTACGTCTATCTATCTCTATCTCTATCTCATCTCATCCGTACTTGCTCCCTGCCCTTCCGCTCTCCAGATATTATTAATACACCTTGGATCAGATTAGATAAGATCCTAGCCCTAACTTCTCTCCCCGCATTTGGAGATATATTTCAGGCTCCAAACTTCCGCATCGACCTCAAAAAACATCACGAAGCTCATATCTACATAACTCACCATCTTTGCCCTGCGGCTATATGAGCTAGCACTATTCCTCGCATACTTCCGAAACCCACAGCAACGAGGCCCGTCCCCCCGCCATCATCCACCATGTCCGCTGCAACCCTTTCCCCTCCCCCTCCGCCGCCCCCCTCCTCCATCCCCGGCCTCACTCCAGCCCAACTGGCCTCATTCCGCGAAAACGGCTACCTAGTAATCCCCAACTTCCTCAGCAGCGACGAAGTCTCCTCCCTCCTCCAGACCACCCACACCCTCCTGAACGACTTCCCGCTCGACTCGCACCCGCTCACCTGCTTCACAACCGGCGACGAATCCGACGACGACGCAGACCACTGTAGCACCAACAACGCCAAAGCAAAACACATCGGCGACCAATACTTCCTCACCTCCGGTAACAAGATCCACTTCTTCTTCGAGCCGGACGCGTTTATCCCCAACTCCAGCCCGCCGCAGCTCCGCAAGTCCAAAACCCTCTCCATCAATAAAATCGGGCACGCCCTACATGTCCTCTCCCCGCCCTTTGCACAGGCTACCATCCCCGCACCACCACCACACACGTCCATATCTACATCTCCATGTCCATCCACCGGTGCCCGCAACGCCGCCATCGCCCGCGACCTCGGCTTCCGCGACCCGCGCGTCCTGCAGTCCATGGTCATCTGCAAGCAGCCCGGCATCGGCGCGGCCGTGCACCCGCACAAGGATAGCGAGTTTCTGTACACGGACCCGCCGAGCGCCGTGGGGTGGTGGATCGCGTTGCAGGATGCCGGGGCGCGGAATGGGACGCTGGGGGTGTGGAAGGGCAGTCATCGGCGCGGGTATATTCGGCGCAGGCTTGTGAGGTGTGTTGGTGGTGGGGCGGATGGGGGCACGGAGTTTGTGCAGTGGGATGGGACTGGGCTGGCGGGGGAGTTGGTCGATAGTAATGATGATGGGAATGGGAGAGGGGAAGAAGAGGAGCCCTATGTACCTCGCGACGAGGATTTTGAGTTATTGGAGGTCCCTGCGGGGTCGTTGGTGCTCATTCATGGGAACGTGCTGCATCAGAGTGAGCGGAATACCAGCGACATCAGCCGGTTTGCGTATACGTTTCATGTCATTGAGGGGGCGGAAGGGTGGAAGTATGATGAGCGGAACTGGTTGCAGCCGGAGCCTGGGGAGGGGTTTACGAGGTTGTATGCTCAGGGTTATTAAGTGGGGAATCTACGGTAAAATTGCCCCATGTCTGTGTGGACTGTTGATGGTAGAAGAAGCTGGCGTGATTTATGGGTGAGTGGCGACGTGTATGATTTTCATTTCTCGATGATTTTGTCGTGGATATATATCCCTTTGTTGTTTCAGACCCTCCTTTACAACACTTTGATGCGGATATTTTAAAGCCTTTTGGATGGGAATGGGGGATACAGGACATAGACTATTGCCGTCCATCCGTCGGTAGCAGTTGAGCGGGAAGCTAGCATTGATGGATACGTATGATTTTCATTTCTCGATGTCTTCTTCTCATATATATCTGTCTCGGCCCTCCTTTCTAGGGCCTTGAGGTGGATGTTTTTTGAATCAATTATTATGATGACTCTTGGCTTCACATAGGCCGGGGATGCTATTTCAGAACAGAATCTATATTATGAACACTGTTGCTTTTTCTCCTCCTTTTCATCCAGCAGAATTCGCTAAAAACGGAAACAGAAACATAAATCTATGCACTATGCACTCGAGTATGTAGTGGGAGGGAAATAAAAAACGGGGGATCCAAAACTCCCAAACAGCCATCCGATAAAATATAATGAGATATCCCAACAGCACGTACAAAAGAAACCAAAATCAACATTTCAAGAAACACTCAACATCCCCAACATCCCCTTCGTCATCCACGCCTGCTGTGCCCGATCCACCTCCTCCCGCACCCGCGCATGTAACCTCTCAACCATCCCATCAATAATGGCCGACTGGCCCAAATTCCCCGAGTAGATGTCCAGTATATTCATCGCAACCTCCACACACATATCCACAACCCTGGGGTCCGTGATGGATTTATACACCCACTTCAACACGGGTTGCAGCGTGACTTCATCGCGCCCGCTGAGCGCTGCGCGGAGGGCGGAGCGGTGCCGCAGCGCCGTGAGGAGGGTTAGGGTGTTCAGTTTGCTATTCGCCGCGGTGCTCTTATTATTATTATTATTGCTATTGTTGCTATTGGCGGAGGCCAGGACGGCGTCGAGAGCAGCGGCGTAGCGGCCTTTGCGCAGGTCGAGTTCCCAGGGCTGTTCCCGCTTACGCTTCCGGGTCGAGGCCGCCGGGCCCTGCGCGTCAATGACGATATCAATCCCTTCCCCGACAAAATCCATACCGCGCAGGCGCTTCTCCCACCCCTTTCCGCGCTTTTTCTGCTGCTTCGCCACGCGTTTGTCGTGCTCGTCTAATTTCCCGTCGAGGAGCGCCTGCATCTCTCTCTGCCGCTCGCGCTCGCGCACCTTCTGCTCACCCGATAACCGCGTGCGGATGGATAGCAGACCAGACTGCATGCCGACGGCGATGTGCTTGTCCTCCCTATCCGACCCCGTGGCAATGACGCCCAACGACAAAATCGGCGAGGGATATTTGCTCCCGCCCACCACATTCCACCCCGTGGTCTCAAACACCTTCATATGCCCATCCAGCGCGCCACTGACAACCCTCCTCCCGCCCGACGCTAGCGACAGCGCCGTGACCGTCTTCTGATGACTCTTGATAACATGCAATGGCTTCCCCGCAACGACATCCAACACCGCAATCTTATTTTCCGCCGCAGCAAGCATCGTCGTCCCCGCCGTCAACGGCAACACACTCTCCACCGGCCCCCGCATCTTAAACGTCATCACACTCCTCCCTCCCGGGCCCGCCCGCGAATCCCAGACCTTCACCAGCCCATCATATCCACCCGAGTAGAGCAAATCCGTCCCCCTGCCCCCACCAGCCGCAGGCATAAACCCCACGCACCGCACATAATCCTCATGACCCAGCAGAGTCCGCACGCTACTCTCGCTCGGCAGATCCCACAGGCGCACGGTGCGGTCGTCGCTCGCGCTGAGCAGCGCAGTGGGATCCGCGGGCGAGAACTGCACGGCCCAGACGGGCTGTTTGTGCTCGCGCCAGGTCTTGAGGATGGCGCGCGAGTGGATGTCGAAGACCTGGATGGTGCCGCTGTCGTCGGAGGCGGCGAGGATGCGGCCGTCGGCGCGCACGGAGGCGCAGCGGGTGATATCGTCGAAGCGGGTTATGGTTTTTAGGAGCTTGCGGGTGCGGATTGAGTAGAGTTGGACGCGGGCGCCGGTTGCGACGGTAAAGAGGTCTGGGGGTGCTGCTGTTGGCTTCTGGGTCGAGGAGGTGATCGAGGAGGCGAAGGGTTGGGAGATGTGGTTTATGGGGCTATTGGAGGGGGAGGGGAGGAGAAGAGGGTTCTTAAAAGAGCGCCAGTATTGTTGTTCGGGGGTTAGGCGGGTAGAAGGGATAGAGGGGAGTTTCGTTTGGGGGAGAGGGAGGACGGGGGCCGCCATGGTTGCGGTGAGGTGAGGTGGGTGGTTGGAGCTGGGGAATCAATGATTGGGGGAGTCGTGGAGTTTTAAGTAAGATTTAACAGGTAGGTATACGATACATTGCGCTACTGAGGTTCCCGGCTCGTAGTAGTTCGCAGGCCAATTGCATAGAAATAGATATTAGTGTTGGTGTTGTCTGATAAACAATTGCGGCTTCAACTATTTTTTATTTTTTTTGAAGCTCGGGAGAAATTTCGCCGGGGCGGGATAATGTTGATCCGACTCCACAACTTGCGGAGGTTCGTATATACAATAAATACATTGACATAAACAGGAGGCAGGATATAAAGAAATGGTTATCATTCTCATGGCACTGCAGGAGGTTTACAGGAGGTGTCAGTTGATATTTGGTTAAACACTCTGAGTCAAGGACACATCCGGCACAAGATGGAAACCAACCACAAGTCATCAAACAGACTCATTCTCAATATTAAAATGCTGACTCAATATCTACAGTAACTAACAGATATTCACAAATAGAAAAAGATATAGATAATAAGAAATATGAAAATATTTAAAAGGAAATCACACAACAAATACAGGAGGTGGAAAATAGACTAGTGCGAGAATAGTTAAAAAGAGAGCTGAAGATCAAAACCGAAAGAGATCTACATAAAATCAGTTTTCTATAAGAATTTCTCTCCCGTCTTCCATCTCCCAGACGTAGGAAGGTAGTCTGGTCAAAACCCGCCATCCATCCACCCGATGCAACAAAATTCCAGCCCAAAATGTTAAATCCGGTTGGGAATTGGGGATATATGTAATCGAGAAGACAAAGAAGGAACAAACAGAGAGGAATAGACACAAATAATAATAAATTAAAAAAAAAAAAAAAAAAAAAAAAAAAAAAAAATGAAAATTGAGAAAGAAATGCCGGCCGAATATGTTTTTGTCATATACCAACCACACCACCCTCAGTCTATAGAAAAGGGGGAAAATTAAGAAAAAGACACCATGTCACACAATGCGTTCCAATCATCCACTCATCTCTTCATTTCCGCTCGTATATACCAAAATAAGTCCAAAAAATCAAATAAAGAATGAGGTTCCTTGCCGATCAAAGTCAGTGCCTGGGGGTTCCTTACCAAACAACAATGAACCCCAACCAACCCAATCCAGCCACACACATTACCCCCCATACCCCGGCCCCGGACCACCACTCCCGACATACGACATTCTCCCCCTCCCCCTCCTCGCCGCATTCCCAACTCCACCAACTCCAATATCAATCCGCCGTATCTCCTCACTTAACGCGTCTAGCTCCCCTACATCGCCACCGCCACCGCTGCTGCTGTGCACAGGGACTTTCGCGGGGATAGGCGGCCCGGTGGATATCGAGCTTGATGTTGGAGAATGAGAATGGTAGTGGCCGTGTGAATGAGAGTGTGAATGGGAGTGAGGATGGCGGGTAAGTTGTTGGCTTGAGGGCGAGTGAGAATGGTGGGATACTGGGATAGGGGCGGTGGAGATGGAGTTGTGTGGGCTGTGGTTCGGGCTGTGGTTGGCGTATTGCGGGGTGCCTGCGCTAGTATTACCGTTATACCCGTACGGATCTCGCTCCCGGAGGGGGAGGGCGTTGTTAGGTCGTTGGCTGGTGGTATGATTATGGCTGTGAGTATAGATGAGGTCTTTGCCACTGGCTCTGCCACTGCTGGAGTTATTCGTGGGTTGTATATATGAGTGTGGGCGGGACGTTTGTTGGAGGCGGGCGCGGGCTTGTGGAGTGGTAGAGGAGTTGATGGTTTGTTGGTGGAGAGGTATGGTCGCAGGTGCCTGCGAATATGATTGGACGGGGGTCACGGAGTGTGGTCGTGCTTTCATAACCAGTGCGGAGGAGGAAGAAGAGGTCGATGAAGATTTAGTTGGTGGCGACGCAGCTGATTCACGCGGTGAGAACCGCGTCGAGCTCTGTGGTGCATGCTTGAATCGGACGACTATTTCTGGTTTCCGCGATTTACGTTCTGGCTCCGGCGCCCAAGTATCCGTGGGTAGATGGTCGGAAGGGTCAATGACCCGACCATCATTGCCGATTATGGGCCCTAGTTCCCGAAGTTTCTCCACTTCCCGCTGTCGGGCAGCTTCCATGGCGCCCTCGGGCGTTTCGTAAGCAGGAGCGGCCTGTTGAAGGGCGGCGGCGTTTGCGGTGCGCGGGTCCAGAATGTCATAACAGTCTGGCGAGAAAGGCATTCCACTTGGAACACTGAGCTCCTTCGGGGGAGGTGGATGTGGGCTGACAGATTTGCGGGGAGGAACATGTCGGAGGTCAGGACTTGTTCGTGGAGGCCGTTCAAGCATCGAACTTGGAGATGCGCGCACGAGCTGAGAAGGAGGCGTGGGCTGTGGTGGTGGCGGGACATGGTTTTGATGACGTTCGAGCTGGCCATTATACAAGTTTCTGTCTAGCTCATCTGCAACAGATGCTTCGTAGCCGGGTACCAAAGCCGAGGGGACAATCTCCCCGTTTGACGTGCTAGGACGATCCTGGGAACGTCCCCTATCATGCCCATAAATACTATTATACGAAGGTGTCGGGGAAGCTGAATAAATTGGCTCCCTTTCTGCAGATGAGAAACTCTGGTTCTGGTAATTTGGAGAGTAGGGGATGTATTTCACTTGATCGTCGACTGGCATTGGTGAGGTCCTGCCTGCGCCCAGATTGAGAGGCTCCGGCATTGGTATGGGTGCCATCTCGTTTTGAGAGTACTCCACTGGCGGCGGTGGTGGTGATGGTGGTGCGTGCTGCTGCTGATGCTGTTGTTGTTGCTGCTGCTGGTGTTGTTGTTGGAAGACCTGGCGATGTACTGGGGGCGGAGGGGGCGGTCCTTCCTCATCTTCGTCATGAACGTGCGGCTGCATGCATTCATGGCGAGGGCGGCGGTCTGTTTGGTTGACAGAGTGGCGTAGCGGGCTATCACGGAACACGTCGTTGTTGGGCTGAGAGGGGCTATATTGGTGGTAGTGGTTATGGCGATCACTAGGCCCAGTCATGACTAGAGATTGTGAGGGAGGCTCTGGAGGTTGTGTGCGCATTTCTGCAGCGCCGTAAGGAGAACCGCGAGAAGGAGGTGGATATGATGGTGAGCCGCCACTGTAATGTTCTGGTACTGGCATAATGTAGTTATTTTGCCGTGGAAGTGTCTGGTAAGAATCGCGGGAATGGGTGATGGGTGAGGGGTGATGTTCATATCCGTTTTGCTCGATTGAGTGCTGATGGCCATGGTCAAGCGACTGGTGGTGGTTATTGTGAACATTGTGGCTATATTCTGGTTCTTGAAAATAGACTTGTTCCCGAGGCAAAGGCATCGGGGGTTGAGATCGGCGATCGTACTGATCGGCTGGTAGCTCTTCAGCCTCCCGAGGCGGCGTATGTTGATAAGCTTGGCGTATCGGAGTAGAGTATTTCGACGCAGCGTTAGGGGGCGGAGGCCCCCATGAACGATTGAAATCATCAGGAGTTTCGTATGTCCGTGGATTTTGCGTCGGGGGGGCTGGCTGCGGATGTAGCTGCGGTTGTGGCTGTGCCTGGGCTAGTGGTTGGGACTGGGGCGGCTCTGGTATTGGTTGTCGCGTTGGAATTGGGTGATTCTCTCGAGATGGAGGAGGAGCGACGCGATCGGATGAAGATGGGCGGGCCGGAGACGAGCCAGTAGGGTCAGCGGGCAGAGGTCTTCTCTTTGACGGTTTGGCTTGACGAGGACCCGAAACGCCTGATTGTGCCGCCTCTGTCTTTGCCTCGACTTTATCTGCTTCCTTTCTCCGCTCGATAACCGTTTCATCCTTAGGGCGGGTGTCGTAGAAGGTCAACTCGATCCTAATATCCCCCGCATATTTCCCTTTGTACTGCAATGCATGCCAAAAGTCATTCTGCCCACCACCTGGGATAATCACGTTTTTAATATCAATCCATGTTTCACCGATGAGGTCTGTCTTCTTATCGTCATTGAAGACGGAGACTTTTAACTGTGTGTAATCGGGTGAGTCGTGTACCGTAAACCGTAACTCTTGATCCCTAAACAAGGTAGAAAAAGGGAAAGCCATTTGTTAGAAATATGATCTAGTCCACCAAAAAAAACAAAACAAAAGAGAACCTGGTAAAGTGAATCTCCGTCCACTAACCATTTTGGGGTCTGGCCGCCTCTCATATCAGTTTCCGTCTTCTTCGCCTCCTTCCCCAGCCGCGCGGCACAGTAAGGATTCTGCTTGCCCATTGTTTTCCTGTTGGGCAAATTTTTGGCGCGGTCGATGATAGCGACCAGCGTCCCTATCCGGGGGCCATCCACAGACATATCTGCAAAGATGCCAGCAGTATGCTGAGGCGCCTGCGCTGGTTTTGACAGTTTGGAAACCATGATGATGTGCGGCGGGGAAATTTCATGTACAGTACCAGTTGCCCTGTCTATTTTGTTGTTGATTGACTTTCCTGGTGTTCCAAAGCATCCAAAAGTAAACAGATATTAAAAAAACGAAAGAACGTATTCATTAATTTTTTTTCAACCTCAAATGTCGGTCAACGAGAAAAATTAGAGAAATAAGCAATAAATACGACAAGCCCGGTGCTGTCCGTTGTTGTCGTATGCAGCTTTCGACCGGAAAAGGACGAAGCAGGCGGAGGTGAAATAAGAGTATTTTCAAGTGAGAGAGAGTACACAGCCGGGGGGCCAATGACGACAGAGAAGACGAATCAGTCCCGACCAGGACCAATTGATCAGGTAGGATAAATATAGCCTAGCCAGTCAGAGCGCTAGAGGGACGCGGTTGGCGAAGACCAGTTAAAGAGAGCGAGAATAAGGTCGTAGTGTAGGCCGTCCGTGGTTAAAAGAGTGAGGGGACAATAGCCCAGAACAGCCAGGCAATAGAGAGGAGGAGAGAGGAAGAGAGAGGATTCCTGTCCATGAATTGGAGCAATGGTGGTGGAGGAGGTGGAGATATATGAATAATGAAGAATGACTCGCTGCCGGGATGTTTTGATATTGGCGTGGTTGGTGCCAGAAGTGGCTGGGAACAGCAGCTAACTAGTTATGTGAGGCCAGACCGGGCTCAAGAGGCCGGGGGCCAGCAGCGGATTGGCTGGGAAATACACAATAATCCTGGATTGTCCTTTACTATTCCCTGTTGCCGCCAGGCTTTTAGTAGTAGATGTGGTCTTCCCTGATCCTCATATCCGGTATCTGGCCGTTGTCTTGACGTTGGGAATGATTTACTTCGTGATGTTTTGTTGATGTTCAGATTCACCGTTCAAATGCCAAGCATATGTCCCCGTGACCGCAGCCTCCGGGCTATTATTTTTCCGCCACCGGGCCTAGTTTAGCGATCAAGCCCTGCAGCCACATCTTGGCAGTGCCACAGTCTAGCCCGCTTTGGAAAGGGTCTTGGCATCCATGGATCTTCTTCTTACTTCAACTTCAGATCAATCATTATTATTATTACATATATAACTACCAACCGTCATTACCGTCATCACCGTCAATGCCTGGTCACTAGGTCGCCACCGCAGCAATTCAACTAACTACTAGTAGTAGTTCACTACCTTCCCTATATTCATCATATATTCGTCTTGACTCTTTCATTCAACGAGAGTATTCCAGGGAATCTCTCCCAAATTCCCCCTCTTATTATACACCGATGTTTAGACAGGTTTACCTCCCATGACGGGCAGGCCGGGAGAATTGATTGACATATATTACTACCCCTAAGATCGCGCTTTTGCGCAACCGCTGGGGACACCGTCTAGCGTATAATAAGTTATTCAATACCTTGATTACCACATTATGGTAGGCTGTTATCCTCTTTCCGAGGAGCTTTGACATATAATTTCCCTCTCACGCAGGTTGTGTTTCGCCATAAAAAGCAACCGCTTAGGTTACCGCAACGAAAGCTGCTATTCGTCACGATGTCGAGTCGAGCTGTTTCTACCCGCTAAAAGCACGAAGTTGGATCTAATTCCCTATTGACGGCCTCGTCCTGTTCACCAGCCTTGACTGAAGAAAGCTACCGTTTCCTACCTCCCCTCAGCCAGGCAAAGAAAACTCATCAGAGGGTCCATTGAAGCGGAGGCCCCAACCTCGAAAATTACTGCGAGAACTATTTAAACTCCACATGCCACCAGACACGGCTCCCACTAATAGCTGTGGCGTTTATACCTGCTCTCTTTGTTCCAACCTCGCCACGAGCTAAATCTCAGTTGTGACACACGGCCTAAGGAGTGCCCCTGCGTTGGACTCCGTCGCTCTCATTACCATCCTACAGCATCATCCTCTTATACAAATATATTTCTTTAGTAGGATTCACCCATCCACTCCTATATCCCCTCTCCATGCCCACGCAATGACTAGCTGGATGAACCTTTGCCGGCGACCTGTCAAAGCCACCAAGACCAGCATCACAACCCCTACGCCCGAGACTCAAACGATTGTACCCCATGGACAAAGATTCTTCTCCTACCTTAGAAGAGGCTATGGAGCTCTTCGTGAATTGAGTACCTGCCAAGCAAGCAAAGATGGGAGATGGAATTGTCCAATGTCATCCTTATCCATAATAGCCTCTAGAGTCATTCTTGCGGCAGGAACCGGTGAATTCTGGGAGATCTTGTCTGATCCTGGTTTTGAAGCGAGATTGATCCACAATAACATCCCTATTAATGATTCTATGGCGGACAGGTGTCGCATTTGCATGATTGCGGGACGCAGAGATCATTTTAAATATTTCCTATCAGAATATTATGACAGAGTCCATCCAGTTTAAACGCCCAGCAGGTATTAAGGCTATTAATGAGGAGATCCTATCCTTTAGACTCGCCTGACATGGGCTGTCTATCAGGGAACTTTTTGATGACTGACTACATTCTAGCGAGCCCTACTGATGATCATTTGCTGTCACCGCAACAGTGAATTTGCAACTCGAAACTATATGGGGCAAGCCTCTACAAACCCCCCCCCCCCCCCCCCCGGGAATAGATGTGCGGAAGCGCGCTTTGGAATGAGGACGGGGATGTCCCTGGATGAAAAGACTAAATCATTCAGTTGATAACGTCTGTCACAATCTCCGGATTTATTCACGAGCAAAAGCTGGCATCCCTCTCAGACAGCCATGAGATTCTTATTCAACAAAAAAGACAGTATTATTTTGCTCCACTATCTCCTTTTTTTCGGATATTCACTGCTGTGCATTGCCATACCATGCATGCAGCGAGATCTTCTTGCTGCATCCCTTGCGAGGGAAACTAGTAAAGGGCTACTGCGAGCTTTTTCGAATCAGTTAATGACAGGGGCCAGTATGGTGTTATAAGTGTGGAGGTGAGCTATGAAGGGCGAAGGGAGAGATGTCTCATCTTCTCCGTATTTAATCATCAGACGCTACTAGGATACATGTCCAGCTAGTGCGAGAGTGATCCGGAATATAATTTCTGCGTACTCAGCTATCTGGAATATTTCAACACGAATCCTGGGCCGAGTTCCCGGCCATATTTCGACCGCCGTTGACATAACAGCTAATCCCAAGTTAACTATGCCGCATCCCATCACTCATCGCAAAACTAACAAGCTATAATAAACCTCATCTCTGGAACCTTTCAATGGTGTTATGTCCCTGCTCTGTGCATTACTTCTTTTTGATGATAAACCCATAGGGGCAACCATCAGTTACACCGGTTGTTAGACAGTTCTCGGCCTGGAACCTACAGCACTTATTACCAACGCATTGAGTGCCGACTCTCTATATCTAATGGGACTTTGTCCTCATACATATTAGATGCACAACTATCTACACTCGCTCTATCCTGTACTCGCTACTTGTCACCTTGGATGACCTAGCTACTGCTTGAAGGGTGTATCCGTAGAGGGCCCCTTCCCCTTGGGGTACCAGATCGGCGTGGGTTCTAGTGCGTATACGGCATGTGATATCGCGGCAGTGATGTTGAGCATGCGCCTGGCCTCCGCTCAACCCTACGTCCTACGTGGATAAAATATCCCCTTGAATACAGTCTATCTCAGAAGCATACACGCAACAGTGCTAATCAATTTTTCAGGCAATGTTGGCTTGAGCGGAAGGGATTGTGGAAGGTTGGTTATTTCGAGAAGGAAAGCAAAGGTTCTCAGATTTTCTGACAGATTACAGAACTGGTCGAACATCCCAAACGCAATTGGAAAACACCATGATTGGTTTTTGGAGACAGAGAACATGGAGGACTGTGAGCATGGACAACCAAAGGATCGCTGAGAACAAAAATGTTGTTTATCATTAGAGGATGAAAGAAACATCTGCATACATGGAAATCGAATGGAGATTGGTTCCCCATGCCCTCAAACGATCAAACCAAGTTAAATCAATATCAATTGTGCTTGATGTCTCGTAAGCCTAATTGAAATCGGCATGCCGTTGTCAACGCTTTAATCAATGTCGGTTATTAGAGGACTATCACTCGCATTGTTCTGATCAACTGAAGCGAAATTATCTTCATGTTCAGTATCATGGATCTTATCCACATCCAATTATCAATACTCCTTCTACTGGGCTATGCAATTGAAAAAGAACGATTATTTTTCATCAAATATCACGAAGAAGATAACCCCGACCAAACAGCTCATCAATGGTGATTGCTTTTAATCGAGATCTTATCTCAACGGTAATTATTAACTCGGCATGTCTATTTGAGAGTACATGATGAAGTGAATCACAGGAATTCGCCACATCTCTGCACAATCCTTTTTTTCCTTTGGAAGGGCAGGCTGAAGGGACGTACGGGACATTAAGGAGTAACTCCCTGGATGCAGAGGCAAGAAATACTACCATCAACAGATATCCCACATCACACGATGACAAACCAATTTCATACCGCCCTACACTGGATGGTGAATCTAATATGTCAAAGACATAACTTGCAAATTTACGAAACACGTCACAATCATTCCTGACAGGGATGATATGGACACCAGTCAGTGGGCTGAAGCACTGCTTAGACACCTATTGCAAGCAGACTGAGCAATTCCCAGATGAATTATCCCTGATTGTGACCCCGTTGCCAAGCCCCATAAGTGGGCGTTGAGGGCGCCAACCGCCGTCATCATGATTCGCATGCGATATAATAATCCCAAAAATAGCCACACCCCTTACATCAACCACCGAGAAATCCCGTTATCTGAGCTTCACAAGTTCACTCATCAACTAATAGATAAAGTGGCCTTGGTATATGTGCATTCTCGTACTGAAGATGCTGACGTTGTCAAGACACTTGATATCCCCTATTTTGATATCCCGTATTACACGAGCAAACTGGAAGCGTCGGTAGGATTCAATTGATTGTTTCAAAATTAAGAACAGGCCAAATCCCTGCCGTTGTGGCAACGTCGGCCCTAGGTTGAGGGCCTGACCTCCCCTTTGTCGACTCTGTTGTCCATTGGAATGGTTCCCTACTCTGCCATTTACCAAGCCCAACACTCCACACCCCTTGGCCATCACAGCGTGAGTCCTAGAGAAAACCTCAGTCTCGAGCTGTAGTCATAGTCACAGCCACAATCGCTTCCCACTACCCCGTCAACATGAGTCTTTATATAGCTCCTCGAGGATCATCGATGAGTACTGTTGTGTGTACTTTCTCTTCCTTTCTGAGTTCTTATCGCCTTTAAGGAGATTATTGTTTACCAAGTGGCGTCCTGAGAAGGCTCGAACTTCCAACCCCTCAATGAACAGAATGGAGAGGCAGGGAACGAGGGGAACGTTGCCTATCACACTAGATGCGACGATCATGGCGACGTTTACATGAGAACTACACCTTATCAAGTATGATGATACAGCATCAAGACTAATGACCCACGCTTAACCACAGCCATGTGAAACACCACATGCAGTCAATAAGTGAGATAATATTCCTATATTTCGTGCAGCGCATGTCAGAGAGCTTTCTCTTCTCTTCACCATCATCATAGCTAGCAGAGCAATGAGGTCATGGTTATTGAGTTGTGGCGGAAGCCCCCTACTCCAACCCCTTTTTGTTCCTTGGAGCTTCGCTTCTGCTCCACCCATTCCCACCCAGTCCTTCCTTCAGATTCCCAAGCATACACCCAAGCTTCCGCTGAGAAGCATGCCATAGTAATCGCCGAGGTCTGGAAGAACGAAGACGGCCGCTACGGGGACCTGAAGCAGCGAATTACCCCTTACTATCGCATTAAAGCAGATGGCCTTCTGGCAATGGGTGGAGCTTCCGCTCCAGGGAACAAGAAGGAGTGGATGTAGGGGGCTTCCAAAAGAAGAAGCCTATCGATTTCCTACAGTTGGTCACGATGGATTCGGCAGCGAACGGTTGTCAACAATTTCCCCGGGCATCCAGGGCGGAAAGCACGGCGCCCGACAGTCAGGCGGAAACAAGACAGACATCCGGGGAGGGTTCCCGCCGTCCGCTCACACAGCCCCTGCGTTCGCCCTTTCCGCGATCACATAGGATTGTTTATATGTATATATAGAGAGAGGGGTTAACGCCTAGCCTTCTAGAAGAGAATCGGACAGTATTTAACTACTTTTGGGCCTACACGTCGCGTACGCAGCAGAATCACTTTGTTGTGTGTTCTTTTTCTTCCTTTCTGAGCTCCTATCACTGCGTAATGGGATTTGAGTTTGTCAGTATCAAGTTACGTAACTACACTCTTTTTGTGAAAAGTTCTTGGATGTAGGATAGCTACGCTAACTGGTTGTTAAGGGGCTGAACAATTCCATACATCAACACCCGGCTCTTGTTGGTTTTCCATTTTATTTTATTTTTATTCTTTTCCTTCCCCATTTCATTTCTGTCCACTTCTCTATTTTCTATTTAAGGACTTTTTTATTTTATTTTAATTTTTTCCCCCTTGTTTTTGGTTGAGGTTTTTTCTCTTCTTCACTTTTTCTTTTTCTTTTTCTTTTTCTTTTTTCTTTTTTCTTTCTTTTTTCTTTTTTTTTCTTTTTTAGTTTTTTTGCCCCTTTCCATCAATCCATGATTTTAGGATAGCATCCTACATTGCCTCCTCCTCCTCTCCTCACATCTGTCGCCCATACGTGTGCCTGTCCTTGAAAAGAAAGAAGAATAAAAGAATAAAAAATAAACAAAAACACATAATTAACAAAGCTACCGCCCTCAACAGCCGAACCCACCGACATTCATCTGGTGTTTGCAGGTCAAAAAGTGTAAACTTGGACAAATTTTAAAACATATCGAGATAGAAATAGAGGAGAAGACAAAATTAATCCACTGACATGTAAAAAAGGCGGGAAAAGAGAAAAGAAAAGAGAGAAAGAAACGCAAAATAAGAGCGGAAAACACTATTTCCCGCCACCGACCAAATATACTCCATTTGTAGCATCATAAAACCGACCCAGCGAAGTAAAGTCAGTCATCAAGCGAACCTCGTAGTACTTCTTCAGCCGCGATCCCCGCCGTCCACATCGCAGAATCATAGTCATCCGCCGTACTCCACCCTTTGCCCAGGCGACCCTTCCTCTTCCCTTTGCCCCACTGACTCCCTCTCCGGCGATCGCCACCAGTAGCATCAGTCGGATCCTCTCCGTCAACAGACCCGTAATCTCCATCACAATCTTCCCCTGCGCTCTGCGCATAAAGTAAACCCCGCTCCAAACGACTCACATATCCCTCAAGCCGTATATCATCCTCCTCTTCAAAATCCTCTCCATTCCCCGCATTCCTGTTCCCATTCCCATTGCCATTAACGAGGGCATTCACATTCATATTCCCATGCCCCCGCCTCCGATGGCCAGCTAACTTATCAGCCCACGCCCACATATTCTCTCGCACCTCGTCATTACTCTCATCGACATCCCAACACTCATTCCTCGCACAAAAGCTAAGAAATGCCCGCCAAGACTCATCCTTCGACACGCCAACAAGAACGTCCGGACTGCCTATGACTATCAACCCTTCCTTTGCCCGCGTCATGGCCATGTTGAACCGGCGCCTTTCGCCAACCAGCCCCAGCCCGAATGACTGGTCCTGCTCTATAAATCGCATCTCGGCGCGTGTGCGCGTCGTGCAGATTATCAGGAAACGCGTTTCTAGACCCTGGAATGCCTCGACGGGCCCAATGTTGACTGAGTGAAGGTTGTGATCGCGGAAGAGGCGGCGGAGGTGGGCTACTTGGGTCAGGAAAGGGGTTATAACGGCGATTTCTTGTTGGGTGATGGGGCGCATTGGCGGTGTTGAGGATGTTGGAGTTACGGTACTAGTGGTATTAGAAGGGTATGTTAGGCTATTGGAATGGTCGAGAAGAGATTGTACGAATTGTAGAGCTTTGAGAGCCTCGCCCTGGTTAAAAAGGCCACTGCCGGCGGGGCTGTGAAGGATTTCTTCCACATCGTCGGGAGAGGTGTTACAGGCGAATAACATTGGCCAGCGATGGGGTGCTTTCCATACTGGCCACGATGGAACCGGTCCATCTGGGTGTGCTGGGGTGGCTGAGGGGATGAGGGTGTCGCTGTAAAACAAAACGGATGGCATAGCAAGTATGGAGGTATGAGACCGGTAGTTGCGGGTAAGATTGGTGAATGCTGGTCGTGGAATTGGAAGCATTTCTTGCGTTAGCTTCTTATACGGTCCGGCATTTCGGCGAGAGAGGGGGTGATCGGCGTAAATAGGGAGGGAAAATAGGCGTTCGAATAAAGAGACTGAGAACGCTGTGTTTGTATTTGAAACTCGAGGTCCGAGCTGGTGCTCATCTCCTGCCATGATGAATAACGGTAAGGTGGACCTTGCGTTGGTCACGTCAACGCTTTCCTTGACACACAATGGCGTTGAGACCACCGTCAGTGGGACACAAACCATAGGCTCAGTGGCTTGCGCTGCTTCGTCCACGATCAAGGCTGTCCAGTGAAGCATATCCCGCGGGTTTGGTTTTATCCCTGGTAAGATAGAACTCAACATCTCGTATCCCAACTTCATTAGATCCTGGTTAGTCAGCCGTGCCCTAACAAGCATATGGGCATCCTGGCAGGTTGTCACCACGACTTTGTAGTTCATCATAATTTTGAACTCGGGTATTGAAAAAAGATCGTTCTCCGAATGAGTGTACGGCAACAGCTGGTCAGGGACTTCTGCAAATGACCTTGACCATCCATTAAGTCTGAACATTTCGTGAGGTTGCAAGTGCTTAGCCAGCCGCATAGCCAGGGTGTCGGCTGCGGGGTTGGATGGCGCACAGAGCAAAATATGAGGTTTTATTTTATCATTTCGACGCAGGAGCTGTAGCGTGCATTCAACCACGGTTTTTGTTTTACCAGACCCTGGTACCCCAGATATCAAAAATGGAATAGTACCAAAATTGCGAGTTATTATAGAATCGACTGCTTTCATCTGCTCGTAATTCAGGTCCTTATCGACCCAGCTGTGTTCGAAAGCTCCTTTGGGGAGCGTCGTTTGCAAAGCAGCATCACTTGGCTCTGGAAAGAGCATATGACGAAGCCAATTTTGCTTGTTTTCAATTGACCCAGCCATCTCCGACTTGACATCTTCGTGTTCCCATGGTCTGCCATCTGTGACGTCAACAACAGCTCTCCAGAGAGGTACAAACAGATCTGGTTGGACAGTAAATTGGATATTGCAGAGTCGAGATGCTGGGAGAAGATGATCGACCCGGATAATGAGCGTTTCCTTCGCCACGGATATGCCCCATACAACAGCGTGATGTTGGTGACCTGAAAAGCCTGGCGCAATGGACCCCGTGAGGTTTGTCTTGTTATGACTCAGCCATTCAGCCCCTTGCTGGGCAAGTTGTGGGAAAGGTACTATCTGTCGAACAAGTACGGTGTCTCCCAGGCCAACTTTTGGGGCGCCATCCTTAAGGCCTGGTACATGGAGACTGTACAGATTCTGTCTGGCATCCGTCAATGTAAGTAAGACGTTGTAGAGACTGTGTCCTGCTAGCTCTTGGGAATAGTTCATCCCTTCCAATAGAAGGCATTCGTCAAAATAATAAAGATAAGAGGATGGCGACAGATTCTTGGTGTGGCGGGAGATTGACACGGGCACGCTCTTGAGCGTTGGTAAATTTTCAACGGGCAATGGCTCCAAAAACGAAGTCCCTGAGAACCGGGCAACATATGCCGCAAAATCGATGCTCTTCAGTTGCGTGCTATACCTATCAACCGCTGGAGATCGGTTAATGGCAATGAGATACGCCGGAACATAGCTACGGGCATACACATCCGGCTTCCAAGTTGTTGAGCGGCCCGCTAGCTGGTTGGTGCTGTCGTACATCGGTCTATGATTTGGCCATGTCGGAAGTTGTGGATTATGAGAGAATTGGTATGATTCATCGACGGAGAATGCTTCCCTTCTTCGTTCAAGATAGTTGAGTTGTTGGCCTTGAAATCCAACGACGGCATTCTGCGACCTTGAATTCAATGCTGTAGCTGTATAGCTATTTGAATAAGTTTGAACCGGGACATCTTGCCGCGAGGAATTACTTGGTGCTATCGAAAGACCCCCATTTGTTTGAATCCTCGGATGACTATGTGAAGGTGGGCTTGTTGTAGCAGCCCCATTCACACCATCCACAGAAACTAGCTGGCCAGAGGGGTCTATAATTGGTATTGCACAGGTTCGAGGTCTCGAGATATGAGAAGCCATTTTCAGGAAATGCTAACGAGGGTTTTCCCTGGGAAACAGAAATCAATCCTCCTTGTATTTCTTAGTGTGTTTAGGCAGGCATACGGAAACATCCCCACAGAATACAAAATATGAATGACTGCTCAGCAAAAAAAATAAAAAATAAAATAAAAGGGAAGGTGGTGAAAACTGTTACTTCGCGAGCTGCGTCACCCAAAATCATCACCTAGTGAACAAACAGTCAAGCACTAAAAGCGTGAAAAGCTAGCAAGGCAGACAGAAGCGCTGCTCTGGTTGCGCTGCCGACGGGTCTTGGGTGTTGCCTCCGAGCAAGGCCATAAAAACTCCATGTCAGGGACAAAGAATTCGGCAGAGACGGTGGAAGTATGATGAAATGATGAAAGGCAAAGGACAACCTGCAGTAGGTTCAGTCCTCCCAGCAGCCACGGGGACCTAGCTACATCGAGGTTATTGCAGAGCTCCGATGCTGCTTTGTGTCGTCTGTTGTGATGTATGTATGTACATGTACATTGTGCAGACATGTAGTTAGTGATGGATGTTTGATGTTGGAAATGTTGGAGGTTCCAGCCGCCCGGGGTCCGCTGTGTCAGCTCTGACTAAGCCGCCTGACACCTGTAGGCTACTGGGGCAAAAGAGCTCAATCACCACCAGCGCCTGCTGGTAGAAGAACCGCGGGACCCCCAACAACACCAACCGCCTCAGTTAAACATTATTAGTGCTACGACAATAGTCAACTTACTACCGAAATGAATTTTTAAATGTTGTATGTATGTATATTTAATGCCTGCATATATACGTGTGCCTCCATATATGATCCCGGAGGGCCGTATACACACTCAGACCGTGGAAGTGTATCGACATATCACCCACCACATATAGTTAAGTATTCAGGATACCACTATTCTTTTCGCAATTAGTTCACGAGACTTGGCCAGTTCGGACTTTCAGTTTCCCTGTTACTCATCAATAATAGAGACATCCTCCTACTCCTAGATTGTTAGCTGGAGTCAAATGCCACTGACTTAGGCAACATGCCAGTTGTGGAGATTACATCTGCTACTCAACAGTGACATAAAAAACTGGGATCCCCGACGCTGATACGATAATGATGCGATGCCCCTGACAAGGCCAGGCCCAGGAAAATTCTGAGATTTTGACGATTTCGGGTTTCGAATTACGCTTTTTTTTTTTTGCTGTGCTCTTTGCTATGTTCTACTTCCCCAATCAGTCCATGTTTTTCACTAGGGAAGAGTTAGGCATGGGACGTTTTACCGTCCATGATACCATTACCTTCTCCTATTAGAATCACTTCATCTTGAAATCCCATTACCCATCAGAAGACTCCGAATCCCGGGCAGAATATAGGCCAACTGCCACCAATTAGCTGGTCAGTCACCAAACTGTTATCCCGTCATATGCCAACAATTATGGTGTTGTGTTCAGCGGTACAAAGACAACCAAAAATTATATCCAGACAAGAAAGGCCAGTTGTGTGTCAACAGACCATGGGATGATAGATAGTATTGATATTATCATTGTCAGCTAGTTTCATCTCTGCCTCCTTTTCCTTTCCCTTCTTCCTTCTCATAATGGTGCAAGCCACCATGAGCATTCCTCCTAAACCCCACGAATGTGGAATATACAGAAGCTCACGCACATCCCTGCACACTGTCTGAGGGTTAATTGCGTTTTAAGCATTATTATCTCTGCATGCCCTCAAGCCTATCAAATTCCGAGGCGGCTAAATTCCGAGGCGGCTAAATAATTTAATTATTTATCCGCGGATCCACATCTAATCTGTTTCGACCATCCTAAACCATAGTGACCAAATATCCATGGATCACCTCCATCCAAATATTCACAGCTCGCCACGGGATTGCCAATATAAGATTGTGGGACAATGTTCTCTACAGCGTATACTAACTACACATACTACATAGCCCTAGATTAGATCTGTTTCGAAAGGAAATTTCCTCTTTCCTACACCTTTCGCACGTCTCCTTTATAGCATCATAGACTTCACACCTCATTGTAATTTACTAGTCTTGACATATCCCGCCACGAGCGAGATGTTAAACCGATCGCAACTCGATGCCGTCAAGGTCATGTGATCAGCCTGCCATTTCAGGTTATGTAAGTTAATCTATCGATCTCTGAAGATTTTAACGACATCAAACTGCTGTTGATTGTTGATTGTTGATTGTCGATGCCAGCAAGGATAGGCCAATGGCTAAGTTGGTAAGTTTGACAGAGGCTTATGCAAATGAAGAGTTATCTTTTTTTATCCTTTTGCTTTTGCTCTCGTTTCAAATGAGCTGTTTGATGTCTATGCACTTTAAACAATGCCAGACAAAATCAGTCACTCAAACTACAATCACTTTATTCAGGAGCTAGCTGTGCTAACATCACGCATAGGGATGTTTTCGACAGCAGTCTGTAGCTGCTTGATATTATATCATCAAGCTAAATTATTATCGTCGTGATGCCTTGTCAGGAACAGCTCAATTCACCACAAATATGTCTGAGCTTGCTATGGTCACTTTCCAGGCTTTGCAAAATCTCTCACTTGAAGATACCTGATGATCATCATAACAAACACCAGCACTCTACCTTTTGGTGTTGTCATCTTGGGAAAATGCTTTAATAGGGAAATCAATGCTTGATTCACTACTTCAGCCATCAAGCATGCCGTATATTTAAGTTCAGATATACAAATATTGCGATGGACGGGCCCCCCTCGGAGCTCCCCTCTCCAATGGTCTGACATCATGTCAGGCCGCCAGTGGCCAGTATCAGGCTAGTCCCCGAGTGGTATATCTGAACATTTGAAGGAAGCTGTCCAAAATATCTTATCTTGCTAATGGACAAGCGGGGACCCATCGAAAGGCCGTAGAACAACCATTTCAGCCCTCCCCTAGTGGAGAGAGGAAAACCGCCGCTTGACGAAGGATATTATGTTCCAATGTTCTCTCTAGTTTGTTGTGCTGTCATACAAATATTAGCACCCATACTCTAAGCTCTTAAGGTTTCTGCCCTTTGCTCGCAAAGATCGTTCTTGATTATAGTTGGGAATATTATATTATTCAGATAACGAACCCGTTTCACTCTTAGAGAGCCTGGGGCTTTCAAACATGTGGGACTTCCCATTCATCCTTGCAATGAGGATAAGAGCGAAAAGTTGAAACCTCTTTCAACTCTCTATCCTTCTCCTATCACCCTCTGCCTGTTTTTATGGCAGGGGGGTTTTCTTTGATCATAGGAAAGTGGCTCTTTCACTTTATCAGATCCCATGGTGTTTGTGTCGGTGCATTTTTTGTTCTGGAGAATGTCTTTATACACAGCATCACTCTCTACGTTTGGCTCCATTATTCACACTCTACACGCTGGCAACACCTCACCGTTCTAGCTCTAATTTGCTGTCCCATCTACTGGCCTGAGGCTTTCTTGCACGGGTCAAAACCTTAGCTAAGGAATAGCAATCTGAAGATTTTGGACAAGCTGCAGGCAGATTCACTCTCGTCCTGCGTCATATTCATCCATTGCTCTCCACGCCCGTCCCGCACGTCAAACCCGATCCCTTCACAACGCTACGTGCGCTGGAAGTTATCAGATTTGATCACCGGAGGACGTGTCTGATCGTGTCTGAAACTCCACGCGCATAAAAGGCCCGGCGCCTCTTCTTCTATCTATTTCTTATTCTCAGCTTCTTTTGGTTTCCACCCAACTCCCCTCTCAAGGTTTTTTTTACATATGTGCACAATTCCAACATTTTCTTTCTATTAGCGTACTAAATAGTTACACCTCGGTCTCCAAACTTCTTTAATATATCTCGCACTTGACCAGCCGCCCCTACTGGTCTCTCTCGAAGAATTTGCCGCGATCAAAGGGTGTTCCCCCTGGGAAGAGATGGCAGCCTCCTTCTCCGAGCCTCTCCAGATAGAAACACGATGTCAGTTTAGCGGGCAAGCATGCTCGACAGAATCAAATCACTATCGTAAAGTGATCTCTCACATCTTCGGTCGCAACAAGAAGTGCACAGTCAATATTCCACAACATGTATGGATTTATTACTGCCGGAAACACTATCAGCGGGCCCGGTACCGGACGGCTGAATGGCCATTCCGCCAGTGCGATCTAGCTATAGAAACCGTCCAGAACATGCGCGCGTGGGGCGGAGTGCAGAATTTCAATCTGCAGCTCCGTCGACGAGAGACCTGGCGTACTGCTAGGCAGATCAACGAGGAAGGCAATGATGGCGAAAAGGCTGAAGGCGATCAGGACGAAGCCATGCTAGATGCAGAAGCCGAAGCTCATGAGCCGGGCGAGCCATCTCCAAGCAGTAAGAGCAGGACCTTTACCCCTATCAATAGACCCCCACGCGTCAAGGACCCAGTGAAAGAAGGGGAGTCAGACTATCATGGCAACGAGGACGAGGGCGAAGACAAGAACCTGGTGGACAGCGTCCCAACAGATGAGGAAATACTACCGCCGAAGAGGAGGAAGAAGAAGAAGAGATCCCCAACGATCATTCCGCATCCGGTCCCAAACTGGCTCCACACTCGAGTCGGTCCCAACAAGACCTTCGACGAGATTCTTTCAGTCCTCCGCGACCTACGCGCCCACTTGACTGAAATAGCACAGCAAAAACAACTTCCCCACTTCCCTGACATTGAAATCCTGCCAAACCTACGCCCACGTTCCGTCACACCCAGCTGCAGCACCCGTGGTGATACTCGTCCTACCCTTCGGCGTCCCCTCCCATTAATTGACTCACCGACTTCAAGAACCGGGCTCATCACATCTGCACCATCTGGGCCCACGCAAGGCCTCACCAGGCGAAGCGCTGCCAGTGAAACCCTTCACCGTCCTACGCGCTCCACGCAAACTGCACCTCCCACCCCACAAGCCGACACAAGCCCCACCATAACCAGAGTCCGGCGCGCTACTGACCCCAGCATCAGATCTCCCGCAGGCCCCGACTCCGCCGCCATGAGCTCTGAGGCCAGCGACAATGATGCAAGTAACCAGTCCCTCAAGTATGCTATTGGCCGCGCGGCTTGTCTTATCAATCCGACCTGTCGTGCCTTGAGGGTTTCCGATCACGGCGCGGTTAAGAAGACGACGAAGAGAAAAATAAACAAGTCTTAATTTTTCGAATATTGTAGGTCGTGTGGAGTGCATTTCCTTGTCTATAGTACGACGTTGTGAGAGAAGGGGGGTATATCAAAGTCAACTGCGAGATGAGATGTTTTGGTTGTGTTTTATTTTCCTTTCTCATTCTTACTTTGTTTTAGTTATTTTTGTATTATGGTTCCTTTATTATTGTTGGCGGTTAACTTAACTATTTTTATTTTACTTTTTTACCTATTTACTATTATGTCTTTCGACTCGTTCGTTCACATATCGGGAATGTGTTTCTTCTCTGCTAGTGCTAGCCCTTTGCGTCATTCATTCTTTTTCCAAAGTCTTTGTTCATTATTAACCTGGTGTAGTGTGGGTGGGGAAGGATGGTCATTTTGTCTTGTCTATCGGATTGCTTTATTTATTTATTTTTTTTTTTTCACCCGTTGTTCTAAAACCGTTTGTCTCTCTTGTTTCCAATTTTCTTTATCTACAATTACCACCCCACAGATGTTTGCGGTGAGGCCGTTTGTTGCACTATATGAGTGGGACTGTTTTATTTATATGGTTAGCGATGTTAATTGTGCTTCTGCGCTTGGTCTTGGTTTATTTGGGGTTATTCTCTTTCATTTCCCCATATCCCTGTTTAATCACATTTTTTTGGTTTCCTACTTTATTTTTCTTCCCGTCGGTTTATTGGATTAAGCCACCAAATCGGGTTCATATATTGTTTGGATTCCACAGTGGGATCATAATTGTTAACTATCATTTGCAGCAGCAGAATCTATGTTATTGGTGGTTTTAATATTCTTCTCTCTAGATCTTTTCCCTTTATACCACCAATCTGCGACAAGCCAGTTTATATCGTCAGTCAAGGGAAAGATTTATGATGGGCTATATAGCTATTTACGAATTCATAGCTATTTCTCGTGCCTGTTATGCTATCTATATTCAATTTGATCTCTCTCCCCGTAGCAGCAGCTATCCTTTCCGGAATTTTCTTTGATTTGAATCTTGGATAGTTAGTTAACTAGATATCGTTTACTAATGAGGCTACATCCCATCCAGTACTGGCGATATCAGAATTTTGACCTCTATTAATTAATTCACATAGACCTGAACGTTTTCACATCGAGCATGGCAGATGAAGCTGTTTTCGGTTTATCTTAGCTCTCAACATTTTCGAGCTCGATATTACCATTCTATCGAGCTCTCTATAGCCCAGTCGCCATCTATATAGCCCTTCATAATCGAAAACATATTCAATCAATGACTGCCTGAGACGGCCGTTCGGCCTTGGTATATTCCATATGTTCCGAAGAAAAAGGAGTTTGAAAACTGACACTAGAACTTTCCTTTCATGAATTCTAGTCTTGCTAGCTACCCGCTCAAGGGATGAAAAACCTTTCATCCTTTACGCAGACGCCCGTGAGAAACTCGGTTTTCCTCCGTAACCTTATTCTTTAGCAAACCCCATCCGCCCCTATCCCAGGTCATGGTTCTAGACGAAAGGCACCTTTCCCGGGACCCAGCGCTCGTGGATAGATATACGGCAAAAAAGACATGATATTTATCACGCCACCAAGGACCCCCCCCGTATAACCTCTAGTTTTTTGTATGTATCAATACGACCACAAATAGAGCTCTATGGCTATGTCCTGACTCGGCTTCCTCGTACAGTATTTCAAGTATGATGATATTCATGAGCCATTAGATGTGAAAGTTGAAGCCAGCGTTAAAAATATCCGCAAATCTCGATATTTGACTCGCCTACTATTCGCCCTGTGCCGGAAAAATAATATCTTATATTCAGAAATAAATAAACAGCGCCCGGGCTGTCTTTTAGGGTTAGGGCTTAATGATTTTTATTTAACCTTCTGTTCCCGCCAAGTCCCCCAACAACAACAACAACGACGGAGGCCATAATTGTCCCGGCCTTTGCTCCCAAATTCACACCAGGAAACCAAAACATGAAAAATAAAATAAACGGCCGCTAAAAAGAAATAGAAGATACTTGAATCTGCCCACACTCGGAATCGAACCGAGGATCTTATCATTACTAGTGATACGCTTTACCACTAAGCCACGCGGGCGTATGTTCTGGTCGATGATTGTTGTAATGTTGCTGGAAATTTGACGTTGCTTCATTTCTCGTTCACGAAAAGGATATATTGCTTATTATACTTTTTTATATTAAATAACCAAAAGAATATTGTTCAATGATGGAATACAGCGAAAACACTATACGAAACTAACCCCTCACCTCCCCCCAAAAACATCCGTCTTCCCCCTCCCCCTCCCATCCCCCCATCCCTCAGGCCTCGCCCGCTGCACACACTCCAACCTGGTCATATCCCCATAATACCTCTCAAGCCCCTCAAACCGCTCCGTAAACACAAAACCGCGATGCACCATGTACGCCAGGATCGGGTAGAGCGCACAATCAGCCAGTGACAGCGTGTGCGTGCCAGCCAGGAATCTCGTCCCCGCCGCGTGCGCGGCGGCGATATGCGTCTCCCAGAGCGCCAGCTCGGCGTGGATGGCTTGGATGAGTAGAGGACGCTGGTTGATTATGAAGTCTTCGAATTTTGCGGAGGCTGAGGGCACTATTGGCCTTGTGGCTAGTGAGGGCGAGGAGGGGCCGTCGGCCTGCTCGGTCTTTTTGTCGGCCCAGTATGCATCTTCCAGCGCGTCGTAGGCCGAGTGTAGATTCTCGGATTCCTGCATGAGACAGAGGACGCGCGCTCGTTTCTGGCGGTGGTCGCGCGGGGGCAGGAGCGGCGGTGCCGATGGGGATGGGGATGGATTGTCATTATTATAACAACCCGCAGAAGTAGCAAGCGCAGTACCGGGGTAGTATTCTTCAAGATACAGCAGAATCGCCAACGATTCACACGTGCGCGTGCGTGCGGGGTCCGTGTCGACGAACACAGGCGCCTTGCCGCGCGGGTTTATGGCGAGAAACGCCGGCGAGCGCGTCGGTTTGGGCGTGCGCATGACGTACATGCGGACGTCGTTTGTTCGGAGCTGTTTATGGTGTAGGGCTATCTGCACGCGCCAGGAGGGGATGCTGCCGTTGACGTAGTAGAAGGTTGGATGCGGGTGGAAATGCGTGCTGGTGATTAACGGCGCGGGTACCGCTGGCGCTGCTGCGTCTGGCTCATTAGGGGTTGTGAGGGTGAAGGTGATGGCAGATAATTTGGCAAGGGCGGCGACGTGGCTTTTCTCTCGTAGATAACCCAGGCAGTCGACGACGACGTGCGTTTTCCAGTGCGTGGCACCGAGTCTGATGCTGTCTGTGACGCTGGCAAGGACGCAGACGTTCGAGAGTAGGCCGGCGAAGTACACCTCGTTGATAGCCCGGGATCGCAGGATCTCCGCTAACCCTGTTTCTTTAAACGCGGAGAACCAGGTCTTTGTTAGGATGAGGTCTCTGTCGGTGTCTATCAGCGGGGTGATGGCCGGGTAGAACTGCGCGGCCTCCGAACCTGGCGGACAGCAGGGTGTCTTTCCGGCGTGTGTGCCAGTAAGGAAATGGGAGTTTTCATGGGCGCTTCTAGTAGCAGTAACGGGTCGGATGGGGAGGTTATCATCTTCATCTCCATCTCCATCTTGATGTCCCCGGTCCGAGGACGAGGAAGCAGCGTCGAGGGCAGGGCTCGTTTCATTCGGGCCCGAGTATTCAGCGCGCACCCATATGACCAGATTATCAGATTGTGCTTGACTTTCGCCCTCCCACACCATACCTTTTATGCATTCATGGGAGCGAAATGCAGGCAGAAGTCTCCTGATGTTCTCTAGGAGGGGTATCTTGGACGAGTCGGGGATGACATAGCGGCCTTTCTCCGCATCGAGGAATTCATTTTGTAGGTCGATGAGGACGAGGGCCTTCATCTTGTCTTGGTTTTTTGGAGTTCCTTTTGCTTTCTTAGTCAAGGGGGATGGGTATATTATTTTTGATGGACAGGTTGCAGTGTGTTTATTCAACGATGTTGGAGACAGGAGCCCGGGCCTGACTGGATTTGACAAAAACGCCTCGTTTCTGGTGTATAGGAGATAATTGTTATTTCACGAAATAACATTTTCATCAAACAAAGATCTTGTAGGCGCCAAACAGAATGACTCGATATGGTCGAACCCTTGACGTGGAGGATGAAGTAGAACAACCCACTTCCTAGTCGGACTCAACTACCTTCATCGAATACGAGGTTGTGAAGAACTTGGGAAAGTTGGAAAGTCAGGATAATAACCAGGACCAACGAAGTGGCTTTGCAGTTGAGAGTAGAGAGAACGGGATGATAATCAGATTTGGCCCTTTGGGGAAAAAGTTAGTTATGGTTTATCCTCTAGTTAGTAGCCATGTACAGTACAAGTACCTGCAAAAATTTAAGCAAAAAAAAGAACAAGAGAGAAAAAGAACCGGATACTGTATATATTAACACAATCATACCAACAACATAAAATAAAAAAAAAATAAAAATAAAAAAATAAAAGGGAAAAACCAAATTCCACACAAATCCATCTTCCCTATCATACATAAATAAATACACCCTCCCCCCCAAAACACTACCAACTATAATACTGCCTCTGCCCATAAACCTTCCGATCCGGCAATGCAACCCTCAACTGCGACCTGCGCTTCCTCTCCTCCTTCGCGTGGCGCTCCTCCCACTCGCGAATCCGCGTATTCTCCTCCTTCAGCACAACCGTCAGGCTCGTATACGGCGGCCTCATGATGTTGACGTTGCCGCGCGCGCGGTAGTCCAGCTCGCGCCCGAACGTGCCGCGGCCCACCCACGCCTGCGCGATGTAGATCGCCGTGCGGTCGGTGATGGTCTTGCGCTGGCCGGTTTTGAGCCTTATGGTAATCGGGCTCGTGGCGGCAGCGGCGGCGGCGGCGGCGGTGGTGGTGGTGGTGGTGTTAGTTCCCGCCGCTCCTGTTTCCCCTTCCGCGTCCGCATCCGCACTGGCTACAGTGGTATCCTTCTGACTCTGACTCTGACTCCTCCCAAGTCCCATCCCGTGCAGCACGATGGCCTCATCCCTTGCCAGCTCCAGATGCAACTTGACGTCCTTGGCCACCTTCTTGGGGCTATAGCGCATCTGCAAGATGGCGTCGTCGATGTTCTTCCCCGCAATCTGCCGCGCAACCATCATCAGCTTCTTGACGCTGGTCTTGAAGAAGTGGCTCTTGCTGAGCGACTCGCGCTCTGTGCGTGCGATTTCTTCTTGCCGCGTTAGTCGGCCCCGTCGCCGTATCGAGCGTATTACCATCTTCCTCTCCCAGCGGGCGCGGCGGTTAGGGAATGGGACGAGCGCACGGAAGAGATTGTCTTGGTCCCGCTCGTGGAGGGGGACTTTGGGCCTACCAGCTACGGCGTTTGTTGCATCCGCATCCGTGTCTTTAGATGTGAGGCGTTGGGGTTTGCGGCCATCTGTGCTTGCGTAGGGGCTGGGCATTACTCCCTCGTCTTCATCGAAGATGGAGCCCGGGACGAGGGAGCCGTGGGTTATTGCTGAGGCGGCGGGCTGGGAGACTTTCAGGTGTTTGTTTTTCGTTTTGGAGGGTTGCGATGAGGATGCGGAGGTGTTGGAGGCGGCTGTGGGGGCCCGCAGGAAAGGGCTTGAGGCGAATGCTCGTCGATATATGGATGTTGGGAGTCGTGGCCCGGCTGTATTATGGTGTCAGTCAGTTTCATGTGAGCAATTCCAATCCCGGGTTGAAAGTGGAATTGGATGGGTTTCAAGCTCACCTGCACGGGACAGCTGCCGGGAGGTAAAGGCAGCACATGCAGCAGCGGCCATTTTTGCCAGCTGTAGCTCTCAATTGACCGGTTTCAGGGTGAGGATATGCTAGTTTATCATCCTCCGTTGCGGTGAAATTCAAGCAAGTCGGAGAAAGTTGACGGTAAAAAGCAGAAGACGCGCTATGCCGCATGCGGACCGGAGTTGAACGCCGAACTCGCCGATGGACGTTATCACGTGTATCAAGTCTTGGCATATATCTTCAGAAATCTACTTCCCGGAATGATCATAAACATGGAAACTCAAGAATAGAAATACTTGTTTAGAGAATATTATTGTATTATATATATATATATACTCTTTTTCATCTGATTTCCATGTTCATTTTCATTTTCATTTTCATTTCATCGCCCTCAACTCTCTCTTCCTCATCAAATGAAAATGAAGCGAACTGACATGGCAGGGACGGGGGATAAATATATGAATGAATAGATGGTATAATCCAAGCAGCAAAGAATTATGTAACATGACAAGAAGGCCACAAAAATATGCAAGGCATGGATGCGGGAATGATATGTAGAGATTATGTGAGAGGGAAGAGATAGCGGTAGAGGTAGAGGTAGAAGCAAAAGTAGAGACAAGGAGAAACGAGGATAGAAGTTAAAGAGGAGGGAGAAATCTTTTTCAATGAAAAGAAAATGTCATCAACAAGGTACAAAATGAGCAGAGAATGCAAGAAATGATCCGCATGGATGGTGCAAAGTGTATAAAATGATTAAATTAGATTAGATTTGGAAAAAAATAAAAATAAAAATAAAAATAAAAATAAAAATAAGAGAGAGGGAGCAACAAAGACAAGTTGAGAACAGAATTTTTTTGTAATAAAAGACATATCATGCATACACGTACATACAATTATGGAGGCCATTTTTTGTTTTGGTGTTTGGGCGTTGGCATTTGGCATTTGGCATTTGACATTGGGGCATTTGATGGTGGGCATTAGAGGGTTAGTTGAGTGAGGTGTGGAAGATGCAGATGGAGATGGAGATAGAAAAACATATGGCAAATATAAAACTTAAAAGGAAAAGGAAATAAAATATAGATCATGCAATAAAAGGGCGGTGTGAGGGGGGAAACGAAGAGAGGCGACGGGCAAGGGGTTTAAAAAAGGTTGCAGATACAATCACGTATGGTGATCTATTCTCTCATTTTTGAGGGGGCATTTCCTTTTTTTTTTTTTTTTTTTTTTTTTTTTTTTTTGCCCTACTTACACCCTTCTTCCCCGGTTTCATGGATGCTGTACTCTCGTTATTGTCCTTGCTGTTGTTCCTGGCCATGCTCCCGTGACTTGGACGACTCCAACAGAGCCCGAAAATCATCATTGCTTTTCTTCGCGGGCGCAGGCTGTTGACCTGTCGCAGCAGCAGTAGCAGCAGTACCAACAGCACCACCACCCCTTTTAACACCCAACCCACCCCTCCGCCCCGATCCTACTCCACCTCCAGGCTGGCCCGGTCGCCGAATAGGCGCAGCGGGCTGCTTCATCATAACCATCTTTTTCTTCCCAGCCGGCCCGGACGCAGGAACTGCAACCGTATCCCTCTCTCCTTTCTTCCCCTTCTTCTCCACCCGCTCCCGCTCCTTGCCCACAAGAATTCTATCCACCTTCCTCTCCGCCGGCATCTTCAACATCTCGCCCACACTACCGACGCGGATTTGTCGCCCGGGAGCGATCTCATACCCGTCTAAGCCTAGCGATGCACGGCCAGCGTCGCTGACGTCGACAAACTCGACGATGGCGCCTTGGTGGTCTGGGCGGAGGATCAGTTTCACGAGTGCACCGTAAGGGGAGACGAGGGTGCGGATGCGAGTGTCGTTGATGGTGTCTGGGATGTTCATCAGGGCGAGGGTGCGGAGGTGTTTGTCGCTGGCATTTCCCGTGGGTTGGTCGGGGGCGTGTGGTACTGTTGAGTAGGAAGGCGAGGCGCCGTTAGGTTCCATGGAAGGAGACTCGGAGCGGCCGCCGACGCGGGATATAATCGCTGTTGCTTGGCGTTTCGCGGGGGTGGGAGTAGAAATGTGGACGTTGAGTGGGCGAGAGCGGAATAGCTGCTCGTGCATAGCGAGGGCAGCTTCGGCGGATTTCTAGCAGATGTGTTAAAATTCGTCCTGCGCTGGTTTTTACCATAGAAGAAGACAAAGAGACCCAAACATACCTTCGTCCTAAAAACCACAAATCCAAACCCCTTGCTCGCCCCATTAGCCTTCCTCGGAATTCGCGCCCCCTCAACTTCTCCATACGCCGTAAATAACTCCACCAAGTCATCTTCCGTCGCCTTCCAGTCGAGATTCGAGACGTGGATTTCGCGACCCTCCTCCATCGGCCCTGTCCTATCCTGCCGTTTCGTAGGGTCCGATATCTTCACGACGAGGGGTAGCTTCGTCGACTCCGCCGAAACCATCGAGTTCCCGGAGACTTCCTGTTGAGTTCCGTTCAACTCTGTCGCTGCATGAGCAGCACTGGCCGTTTGGAATTGGACGTAACAAAAGCGTCTGTGCGTGTTGTATTTAAGCGACGGGAATCGGATATCAACGACTTCGCCGTACTATAAAAATAAACGATTAGTTTCCATCTGTTAAAAGAGAACTGGGGGATAGTAAAAATATAAAAAGCCAAGGTCAAGGTAAAGATGAATCGTTTACCGGAGTGAAAAGATCGCGAACATACGCTTCATCAGCTGTGGGCGGGAAATTCGTGACGAACAGCGTTGTATTCGTTCCGATGTGAACGGAGATCGTTTGATCTTCGAATGTCCGTTGATCTCGCGTCTGTGCGGCCAATGCATCCTCTCGCGTGTCGAACTCGACAGTTGCACTGGGTTGAGTTCCTTGTCGTGACAGCAGCTTTAAAGAATTGATTTTACCGCACTAGTTGAAACAGTCAGTACAAGACCCCTTTTTTCTTGTTTGTTCGATCCAACAAAGCAAATAAATAAAACGGGGGAGCTACAAACTTACATCCCTAAAGAACTGCCTGACTCTCAACTCGGTAACGTCTGACGGTAAGTTCTCCACAATGACAGTAGCATTCTCGCGATCCCTTTTTGGAGGGGGAGTGCCGGCATCAGCACCGAGATCCGCCGCTCTGGGCCTTTTGCTGGCAGACCCATTCACATCCAGTTCCTCAACTGTGCGTTTTCGCTTGCTTCCCTGGGGTGTCGTCTCATTCTCGGCTTCAGGTCTTACTCTGGTTGCCGACGACACTCCTGGCGTTTCAGCTTGAGGAGCAGTAGTGGTTGCCGCTGCTGCTGCCGATTGTTGAGCTGCCGCCTGTAGAGCTTCCTTATCCTGTCTTCTCGTTCGGGCTTTCATCGCCTTTCGAATCTCTATAACGGCTATCTGGAGCTCGTCCGCATCCTCGTAGTGTTCGCAGTGGTCAATGTATGTCAACCTGATCTTGTCCAGCCAGTCCGCGTCCGCTCGTTGGAGAGCTTGTTTTAATACTGCAGTAGCAAGGCTGGGGTTCGGGGTTCTCCGCGAGGCGCTTGCGCTGCCATCTGACTGGGTGAATTTGCTCCAGCAGAGCAGTTCCCATGTATAATACATAATCCAGAACTCGTAGCTGTGTCCGTGGCGGGCGATTAAGCCCTTGAAGGTTTCTCGGGCACTATCCCAGCTTCCACTTTCACTTAGATACCGGATGTAGATACGCTCGAGGCGGAAGAGGGGGTCATTGGGAACTGTGGTATTGTCTTTCTCGCCTAGTTCCTGGATGCTTTCGATTGCAGAGCGGATGCCTACCTCGGCCACATCAAGATCCTCATCTGTCGAGTCAGGTTGGAAAGCTCGTCGACGCAGGTAGCTGCACCATGTGGTGTGCACCTTGATCACTTGCTTGATGCCTCCGGCGTCCAACAGACCAGTCCGCGTCGCCTTGTGCTTGATGTCAGCGATTTGAGTAAACGAGCGTCCCACACGCTCCGCGCTGAGAATGTGTTGCGACCAGAGCGTTCCGGACCATGGACAGTGCCGAGTGGCGCGCTCCAGGGAAGGGAGAGCAGGGAGGTAGTGGCCATGCGGGCTTCCGTCCATTGATTCCTCTACTATGAACATTATATAGTCTTCCCATAAACGAACCTCGATGGGGAAACGTAGCACGGCACGTTGATAGAGAGCGCACACGAGCTCGAAGCTAAAATGGCCCTTTCGCCGGTTCTGGCTCAGTTCCCACTCAAGGTACGACACGAACAAGCTCAATTCCGTAGTACTGTCTCCAGCCTCCGCGGCCCGCCGAAGTTCCACTTCTCGCATCTCGCGAGCATTCCACAAGGCTTTGGCGCGGGCGGCTCTATTCGTCATATCCACCATGGTCTCTTCGTAATAGTTGTTATAATAGGTAGAGATGAAGTTGGAAAATAGTTGGAAGGTGTTATCCCAGGTCATGTGGGGTACCTGAAGCCTATTGACGAACAAATCCCTTACGTGGCCGAGTTTCTCTGGAGACGGCTGCTTGCCCACATCTTGTACGACGAGTTCCAGATAGCGGTCCCAGACCAGGTGACTATCATTTATTCTCCAGTTTGTAGCCTCCGCCGCATTCATCCAGACCTCTACGACTGACTGCCACGTAAATGCCTCCCGAGCCACCATTCTATCTTCCTCTGACCATTGGCGGGAGACGGAGGCGTCATTTGGCTGGGAAACAGAGTTGTAGAGATGCAGCATCCACTCGCCATATATTATCCATAGTTTCGTGCTGCCGTACTCTTCATCTACTGACCGTCGACACAGTTCCATTACACCTATCTGTTCCTCCACCGTACGTGCCAGCACACTTTCGTCCTGTATCCATTCAACCCATAGATCCTCCCCAATCGCGAAGAGGCCATCGAGCTCTTCTCGTGCAGCACGCAGGTCCTGGAGAAAATCGTACTCCTGAGGTTTGCCGCGGGAACCTGGCGACGACGGCGGATAGACATGTTCGACAAACCCTTGGTGGAGTAGACGGATGAACTTAACGCGCGCGTCGTAGGCATGGTGGTTCTGCTGGATATAGGCATATAGCTCTGAGGCCATCTGCTGCATGTCCGGCGTTAGCGAGGAGCTTGAAAAGTCTCTTCTGTTAGCCTCCTTCAACCCTTCTGACACATCAAAATGGGGTCGGGGTGTGGTGTGGTTTCGCGGAATGGGGTTGACGGTAGGGTTGAGGGTTGAAGGGGACATCTGGCTCTCGTGTATTTCCGTGCTGGTATTCCTCCTCATTGGGGGGTTTGCGCGGTGGGGCTGAGGACGCTGCATGGAGGCGAGATCTGCCAGGGCATCTATCCCAGGAGTAGAGGTTTGTCTGGTGGGCTGCAGTTCGCTCGGCGGCGGGGTGCCAGTACCGTTGCCTTGGCTGAGGTCCTGGGGAGACGGATCGCGAAGTTGCGGGTTGTTGAGGACTTGATGGACAAGCGGAGACGAGGTCATGCCCGATCTGCCAGAATTCTGTCGTGATTTGTGATAATTCTGGTGAGGAGAAGCGGAGGCGGAAACGGCTGATACAGGCGAAGGCGTCGGGGCGGATGTGGGGGTGGCGCCAGAGGAGGAGGAGGAAGCAGCAGCAGCAGGATGAGGAGCAGGAGTGGACTTGCCCGAGTGGGAGTCCTGCGGCGATAAAAGCGAAATGATATCCATCCTCCTATCCATCGGCAAGGGGTAGTATAATAGAGAGGATATAGGTGGAAGGCAAACAACCGGGGAAAATAAAATAAAAATAAAGGGAAACCGACGGGATTAAATCGGGTAGATGAAGAGTTTGAACGAAGATATTAAACTGAGCGGCAATTTAGTCGTTGCAGGCGCACTAGTTAGCTTGAATAGCTTCAGTATCACCACCATCAGAACCATCAGACCTCACGGGAAAGAAATGGCGTGGAGTCGTTATCAACGGTAGCTCTGAGGCAAGCGAAAATGACCCGAAAGAACCCCGAATGCGGAGGATAGAAGGCGTGATTAGTTAGGGTCACGAGAAGAGATTGTTGGGAGGGATCTCGATGGGGTGAGAGTGAGGCAGCGATAGAGGGAGGGATAGCGGAAGGCGGACAGCGGAGGACGGCTGGTGGATGAGTGGTTGGGTGGTCGATGGATGGGGGGAGGACGGGATCGAACCGAATCAAGCGCAGCGATGAGCGAGATCGGGGCTGCTGTACAATTCCATTCCTTCGGTTTATTTTTTTTTTGGTATTTCTTTCTTCACTCCGCCAAACACAAACCTTGCCCGGTCAGCAGGGTCCCCTTCTACCAGTTTCAAAGGGAAGAAGAAAAGAAGAAGCAGAAGAATAAAAGAGCAAATAAAAGAGAAGAGAAGAAAGCAAAAAAGGAACTATCTCTTGTTTCTCTCTTTGCGTTATTTACTTTTTGATTTTTTTTTCCCCCCTTTTGCAGGCACGCGCTTAACAGACGAAGTGCTAAAGTAACCCTAGAAAGCAACCCAGGAGCAAGCAAGCAAGTTGAGCAGGTGAGCAAACAAGTAACTAAGCAAGCAAGCAAGCGAGCAAGCAACGAGAGCAGAAGACGGGATGATGAAAGAGGGATGGGGATGTTATTTTTGGGGGCGAGGCGAGGTTAGACGGGGAACGGGTTTCTTGGGTGATCAATAACCAGCTAGGGTAGGGTAGGCTGGCTGCTTGGTACTGGAGCCGGCTACTAGATGAGACGAGGAGGAGGGAGCAATAAACCACAACAAGCTAAAGTAGCCTGAGTAGTTAGTTATAGTTAGTTAGTGTTAGTTAGCCAGCCTGGCCTGGTGTACGGAGTACAGTAGCCTGACAACGATGATGAGTGGGCGGGGCCAGGGGCTGGGAGCCCACACGGGGGCAGCGGTGTTTATAGGTCGGCTACAGCGGGAGAGTGAGAGGTAGCAGTTTGGAGATGCGGAGATGGGGAGAAGGACAGATGTTGCAAGGGTGTCGCAGAGTGAGTAGAAACAGAAGCAGAAGCAGACGTGCAGATACTAGACTAGATACTACTGGAGAGAAGAGAAGAGTAGAGATGAGTTAGAGGTGAGGTGAGGTGAGGTGAGGTTGAGATGGAAGACGTCGTTCGGGCGTCGAGGATTGCGAAAAGGGAGCGAGACGCGGCGAGGATGAGGCTCTTACATAACTAGCTAGTTAACTAACTACGTATCTACAGCCTACAGGTACCTCTCCCGCGGAAAATGTATGCACAGGAACCTTTGCCGACGGCTTCAGTGGAATCCCTGAATTATTACCCAAATGGCCGGGTCCAGATTCCTCTTCTATTCTTCCTATTAGAAAGAGGAATAAAGAGAAATGTACTCTACTATTAATATGTATAGTTATGTATTATTATTTCCTGCAGCAATGTCACACAGAGCAACAGCATGATGATTATTATGATGATTATCTACAAAATTTCCTTTGTATAGAACAGCAGGTTGGTTGGTTGTTGGCTCATAGCCTATGACAAGGATTAAGCTAAAGTAACTTACTACCTAACATACATAACTATCTCTTGAAGCCAAGTTAGCTCGTTGAAGAATTCCATCGCAATCTTTTTTAGATCTCAAATTGTGCTCATAAACTCTTCATCACCATCAAATGTCAAATTCCTGGCTACAGCTGGATCTCAACCTGCTCAAGAGTACTCCATAAGATCTCTCAAGATAATCACTCTCTAATTTGAATCAATTTATGTATAAGCCTTCTTATTTTATTTATTACCCATCAGCAAGTCTGAAACAAAGAGACCCAGACTATAATTGACAATCACCCTGGGCATAAAAAGTGGTCATGATGAGCTGGTTCAAAACTGTTCATTGCTTGCAGGAATTTTCAGTTTTTTCCCTTTTTCCTTTTTGTATCAAGAAAGTTAAATATTTAGTTAATTAAGTTAATAATAATGAAAGGAGAAGAAAAAGAATTCTTGCTTTCAGTTTTTATTTATCTATTTGAAGCTCTCTTTTCTTTCTTCTCTACTTCTTAACTTACTATAGTTAATAGTTAACTAGACTATTTCAGACAAACTTCACACAGCTTTCATCTTCCATGTATGCATGTGCACAGCTCTTCATCTCTTCATGTAGCATCACACCCACCTTCTGCTATTTATTTAAACCTTCTTACTTTCCCTCTCTCCTCAGCTATTCTTTAATTAAGAGTCTAATGTTGCCTGTGGTTTTTACCTTATCATTATCTTATTATAGTACTAACTATAGCTACATGTTTAGACATACATCATAGTGCAGAATAGAAATGAGAGATATGCACAAAACAATGTACTCCGTGTTTGACTCTTACTAATAAATAGCTGAAGATAGAATCTTTCCAGATATCCATTAACATATTCATCTATACTCTGAAGAGACGGGGTCATCTACATACGTACGTACGTACGTACGTACGTAGATACAACAAATAAACTACGCACCCCCTTCAAAGCATTTACATACTATCTCCCCAACAATGCCTAGTTAGCCCTACCAAGGTTACATACGCTCTCTCTGCAGTCGACGCAGGTAGCCGTTGATCACATGCTAAAATTAAACGGGGAGATAAACATGGATATACGCTGGTACATGTACAGATGTACCATGGCATGTATGTATGTATGTACCCCCCGTAGTGTGCACTGAATTTCACTGGCTCAGCTGAAGCCTGAAACCTTGCTTGAGTCCCGATTGTCATTTCCAAACTAACCCCCTCCCCCCAAATCCCCAAATCATCAACCATGGTGGCTGGAAAAAGTAAGAATAAGTTTGGTGGTAACTATAGCGTAGGTTGTGTTTTCTTTGGTAAGGGACCCCGGATCAGTTTCTTCCTCTGGAAGAGCGAGGTGGATGTTATTTGGTGTTGGGTGGTGGCTTGAATCAGCGCGTGATTGCAAAATATTTAAGTTATATAAAATGGATTGAGATATAGCTAACTCATTTTGAAGCACACACACACACACATATATATATATATATATATATCTCACTATCATTGATCCCCGACATGCCATCTGTTATATAACACACGTTCATAGCTTTTGTCGGGAATTATATACCAATCGACAAGAAAAGAAGATGTCAACAAAATGTCTCAGATAACTGAGTAGGGAGAAAGCTTGCTGTGCAACGCCCAACCTTTTTACGATTTCCTGTCAGCTGCCAGCCCGGTTCTGTTTCTTGTCTGAAAAGCTGGCCGGCCAATCAATTGGTGGGGGGGGGGGGGGGGTCGCGGGTGTGTGGTGGACAGGAAACCACCGCCGACCTGCTCAGTGTCGAAAGGTCACTCTCGCTCTCCATTTCCCCATTTGGAGTCTTTCTTTGAGCGAGCAGCTGCCCGTCTGGCCCGTGACTTCAGGAGTGCGTTTGCTGGGTCAATCCCTTCTTCTGTTTTCCAAGGGACTCGCGCTGAAATGGCACGCTACTTACTCCCCTCTATCAAATATATTCCAGCTGCTACCAGTGTGTGCTGTGCTGCAGTGTCTTATGTATGTATTTGCACGGTGATGATAACTTCGTCTGGCCTTTTTTTTTTTTTTTTTTTTCCTTTTTTTTTTCCTTTTTTCTTTTTTGAATCTGTTCAACCATTGCATGTGTAAATCGACTCATGCGAGCATCCACGCGGAGTTTTGAGGAGAGAGTTCCTTTTCTTTTCTTTTTTTTCTCTTCCCCGACTCGTGCGAAGCTCCTAAAACTGTATAGGGGAGGGGAAGGCATATATATTTATATATATGCCCCTTGCCGCTGTCGGTCAAATGGACAACATCTGTTTCCTACACCAAATCAATCCGCTGAACGATTCTCCTGGGAAATGTCAGATAGCTATTGGCTGGCTGGGGTATATAGATAGGGAGGCTCCTTGATACATGTAAAAGCAAGGGCTGCTGCTGCTGCTGGTGGTGGTGGTGGTGATCGTGGTCGGTCACTGACTCATGATCAAAAAGAGATGCTATTTATCATTTATCGGTTCAGAGATATATGGGGCTGGCTGGGGATTTTGGGAGAGAGCTGGTTGAGGTGGTAAGCAGTCTATGGATAAACGAAAAAGTAATAAAAATTGTCTTCACCTTTTCATGGTTCCGTCTTGCGTGCTGGATGTAAGTGGTGGGTGGAGGCTGACTGACTTTAATCACTCCAGGAGGGGTTCTCTTTAAATATTGATCTTCTGAGAAAGAACCAATCAAGCACTGTGATTAGGTCAAAGTGTACATGTGGTTGCCGTGAAAGAAGTTTCAGAATGGAGGAGTGAGACTAGAAGGATAGGGGGATATATTAGGAGAAGAGGAGATTTCGTTGACTATAGCATGATACATAATCAGCCTCATGTTTTTGCTTTCATTTCAGTATAGCGCATATGCATGGATCACGATTTTGTTTCCCGCATAAATGATCTACATTGATTCACTCTGTTAGAGACAAAACTTGCAGTGGTCCAAGTTATCGCCAATTAACGGCGGGCACAAAGTCAGCAGCAGGTTGGTAGGGATATGAATAGCACATCCTCCCCCTCCTCGACTGTAAAATTCATTCGAAATCGAAGAAGACCTCATCAATGTTAGGCATTCACAATATGAGGTGCTGTCGAGCGCCTATCCAATACCCTGAAATCTTAATGGCCAGCAAGACCACCAGCAAGACCACCAGCAAGACCAGCAGCGAGGTGCTGGTGGTGTCTTTCACACTATTCCCAGCACCCTGACGCCCCATACAGCCATATGGAGCCATTCATTTTCCAGCAGATAGCAGCATGAAAATCACCACCAGAAAACTCAGCTATCTTCTCAGCATCATCGTTTTCACGCCAGCCCTGTTGTGAATGGCGAGGACCTGAAGGGAGCTTACATGCCGCCGAGCCGGACTCGGGGCCGGGTCTGCCTGGTCTCATTCATCTTGGACCTGGTGGACAGGTGTATCCTGGATGTTGATTGACCCAAGGGAAGCCATGAAAAGGAATGCGGCTGCGCGGGCGGGCGGGCATCATGTTATTATGTATGGGCTTGCCTGGGTGTAGATGGGGTCGAACACAAACACACAGGGCAGAAAAGAATGTATTCACCCCAGAACATTTCCTGGTGTAGAACATGGGCTCTTCATGGCCAGGGGAATCAGCAAGTTTCACTGTTTGAGATTGGTTGGACTGGGAGTGGGTGTCAATATATGCGCCCTGATCCCATCCAGGCACGGAGCAACGGTATCATAAAAGGGCATTATGAAGGATATCCTCAAGTAGGTGACGGATATCGGCGCAGAGATTCTCTGATACGCATATACACCTGGGGGTAAAATTGCGCGGGGTGAGAGATAAGCAATCACCACACTACACTGCTGCGTCTCCTGACCCTGACTGTATGCATACAGATAGAAGAACAAGCCGGGTAAAAATGCGCAATGGTTCTCGCCTCTAGGTCCAAACGTGCTGAGCTCTATGCTAGGGATTCCCATTGAAGTGACTTGCTTATGAGATTTGGGAATAGAAAAGGACGGGTGTAGTTACCGCTTTCTCTAAAAATAAGACGTAACACCCTCTGAAAAGCTTGCTAGACGGATATTCACGTCCCGCCGCTGTCGGGAATTTCCCACCCGCGATGATTTTGGGATGTGATATCTGCCCCAGAACCACCTCGTGTCAAATGTTGTCTCTGGACCTTCAGACGCCAGGTTGATAACTGCTGTCTAGAGGAGGCAAGATATTGTTACTACCAACCTTCCCTTTTTTTTTTTTTTTCTTTGGTTGTCAGGATAGTTATATATAGGATGAGTCTGTCGCCAAAGTCGAGAGGCTTGGCTCGCCCTGATTGGACACGCTGTTGTCATGTACCAAATACTTCCTCGAGACGGTGACAATGGCGTTGGCCCAGGTACTGCTACATCACGCCCCCCCCCCGGCACAGACCGCAAGCAAGCCTCATCAACCTCCCTCCCAGCAGCGTCATCCCGGCCGGAAACTTCTCAAGGAAATGAATAAAATACGATATCTCCTCCCTGCGAGATCGATCCATCCAACCTCCAGCTGCACTAAACCCCCCTCCGCTAAATAAGTTCGAATGTCCATCTGACCTGTCCACAGAACCCGGAATCTCTCCCCGTTTTCTTCGCAACCCCCAACCACCAACACCACCTTGGCTAGCCTCCATCTATAGCCAACCCCTCATCAACCACACCCCGTATCTCTCTGAATATCAAAACCGTTGCTCCACCGCTTCTCCACCGCTTCTCCTGCACGCAGTCAGTCCTGACTTGTGACCTGCAGACCTGCAATAAGCGGGCTGCAACTTGTCGCATCTCCCTCGCGCGTCTCTCCGTATCCTCTCGAATGCGGCTCCTCCTTCGCCTCCCTTCATAAAAAAGGGTTGTCCGACCGGTTGGCTGGCGGCCCTCTTAGTCTATACTCTAGCTTGCTCTTTCAGCGTTTGATACTGTCAAAGCTCCGTGGGGGAGGGGATAGTCTTTGATAGAAATATCACTGTGTGTTTGTGGTTGTTACCGCTGCTGCTGTTGTTGTTCGAATGATGGACGTCCATCTCGTGCCTGGCGGCGGGCGGCGGAACTATACAGGCTTCGTGACCAAGACCATCGTATATGCTGCGACGCTGCTTGTGTTTTTGACCAGTATGTATTTTGCTCATGCCTACTCTTCACTCGCTGTGTTTTTTCCTTTTTGGATATCAGACTAACAAGAACAACCATCACAGCATTCGCCCTGACGCTGGCGTCAATAGTCCTGCCGCGATGGATCAGCTCTCAGAGAGGAACGGTACGGCTGGCCCTTTTGTTTCCCCTGTCGCTACAAAAGTGAAAAAAAATATGAAAAATAAAAATACTCATTTGACTCTCCCTATGCAGTCTGCCGGCGTCTCCTACGGCCTCCACTATCGCTGTTTCTCCACTACCACCCCCAACACGACAACGACGACCACGACCTGCGTGCGCTTCCCGCAATTCGATGACTGCACCGGCGACGACCGCCAGTTCTGCTCCATGTGGCGCTCCGTCGGGTTCCTCATGTCCTTCGCCGTCGTGCTCGAGGGCATGACATTGATTACCTATATTATCATCTTGGCCGGCGGCAAGCAGATGCGCGAGTCTGGATGGCGGATTCTTTCCATGTTATTGCTTTTGGTTGCCCTGGTGCAGTGCGCCAGTATGGGGTTGGTGGTAGGTTCTATACTTTTCTTTTCTTTCTTTTCTTTTCTTTTCTTTTAATTCTTCAGGAACCCCTATTTGCCTTCATTCGGGATATTTGTAGAAAGTACCTTAACGGTTAACGGTTATAACCCGCTGCTTCACTGTATCATATAACTAACCTGCATACTCTACGTATATACAGTCTTACCTCAACGACAACGACGATCACTTCTACCTTGGCTTCCGCCTCGACGACTCCTTCATCATGTGTACCGTCAGCTGGTGTCTGGCCCTCCTCGCTGCTGCGACCATCATCTTCGCCGCTCGCGTCTTGCCCTCCGAGGGCGGCTACGAATTGATCGCTGAGCAACCTGATAGCTGAGCTGGCTGCTCATAGCCCTCTTCTTTTTTTTTTTTACTTTAATACAAATTACGTGAAATTATCCACAATCATGCTCTCGATATTGCTTTTCACCGCGGCGCTCTGGTTTGAAAGAAATACCCATATATCTGTAGGGCCAGAAGAAGCGGTGGCAGGGGAGGAAGATCTAGCACTTCTCCTCTCCTCACTTAACTCCGTTTAATTTCATATATTTATTGAGACCAATAAACCGCGCGCTTTGCTTCCTTTTTGCTTGTCTGATTGATTTGCCTGATTTGACCTGTTTGGTTTGGTTTGGTGGTTCTGAATTGGTCTATCTCTTTTCTCTATTCTGCCTCTTAGGAGTCTAGTCCCCAGTTCCGTAATATCTTTTGTTTTTATGCTTTTCTCCGGGCCTGCTCACCTGAGCTGAGCCGTGGTGGTTGTCATCGTAGTACGTCCATAATTATTAAACCCAACCCAACCCCACCCCCCCCAATTCTCCTTTTTTTTTTTTTTTTTTTTTTTCGAATTGGGTGTTCGGATGTCCCACCCCGGCATGAAAAGGGTTTCAAATTCACCGTGTTCAGCGCCTTGTTCCGTTCCAGATGATCATTCTATGCCATTCTTCCTAACGTGCACGCAGTTCGCGGCCAATAAAATACCCCGATTTCCTCGATTCTCTATTGCTCAGTAATCTTACGCTCCGTGGTGTGCGTGTGTGGTTGATAATGAACAGGAAGCCCAATGAAGATATATATTCATGTGCGGGGAATATGGAATGTAGTATAATCTCTATTTTATGATTTGTTTCTGTATATGATTGATCGTGTTATACACCTCCCTCGGTCTTGGTTCGGGAGACTAGAAAAGTGAAGACCGAATAACGTAAAATGAAGACGGACGGTGGAAAGGGGGTATCTCAAAATTATAGAAAACTCGACGACAAACCATCCCATCTCGTTTCCATCCCGTTCCATTACATATAATCTCAAATAAATGGATAAATCAGCCAGCCAGCCAATCAATCACCACTCTCAACTGGCAGAAAAAAGGGGAAAAAATATGTCATAAACGACCCTCAATTCCTCAACTCCGTCCGCCCACCCTCCTCCCCCTCCCCTGCCACCAAACCCTCTCTGCACTCCGGCACCTTCCCCGACGGCTCAACAACCTCGCCTCCCCGCGACCCCTCCCTCCTCACAATCCTCACAAGCACCGGAATCACTCCCCCCGTCTCCAGCCTAAACGCCCTATGCCCTACAACCTCCAGCAACGACGTAATCGCCCCCGAGTGCGCCGTTAGCGAAATATACGTGCTGCTCGGGCCGCTGTTGTGCTCGACGATGTCGTTTAGGAGCTGTCGGAGGCGGGCGGTGCGAGCCGAGTTGGACTCGCGCAGGTTTGGGTCCCAGAGGGGGTCGGTGGGGGCGAAGTTGGGTTCGAGGGTGTAGGTGGGATAGGTTTTTGTTATATGGGTTGTTGGAGAGCGGCGGTCGCAGGTGTGCACTCCTAGGGTTTCGCGGAGGAGCTGTTGGGGAGGCGCGTGTGTGTGCGGTTGGTTAGCTTTTGTGTTTTCTTTCTTTCTTTGCTTTTTGCAGAGTGCGATGTTGGGGGAGTAATGCATACCTCTTTCACAACTGGTTTGAATGGCCTGTCTGGCGGGAGTGGTAGGTTGTTAAATGTTAATTTTGCTGTTTGCAGGCATCGATCCAGGGGGCTGGTGTAGTATGACTGTGGAAGGGGTATGTGGTCTTGTATCTGGGCGGCCCATGTGGCGCGGGCATGAAGGGCCTGGGTGATGCCGGTTTCTGTCAGTCGAGCGTCAGACCAGGTTATGCTGCCGTTGCCGTCGAGTTTGGACCAGTAGCACTAGAAGGGCGATTAGTTTGAGAGTGTTGTCGATGTTAAGGGTACATGCACATACATCCCACGCCTCAGTTCCGTAAAGTTCCTCTGCAACGTTATGGTAACCCTCGCCATGCCGGCCCATGTAGAAGAGTTTGAATTCCGTATGCTTGTCTGCGTGGTCGTTTAGAGACTGGAGTTTGTAGGCGAAACGCTCCCATTGCGTCTTCTCATAGTTTGGATCGAAATCCTTATCTGTGTCATAATTTTGGATTATGAGGCCGAATGCACTTGCTGACTATGTTTTATTAGCTACGCAAGGCCCCCCCTCTCCTTTCGGATTCCACTCTGAGGGTAGCAGATGCCGAACATACATAGTCAAAATCTGCCGGATATGTTGTGGGATCATCTTGAAGGAAGTATCCCGTCACGGTGGTATATTCGAGATGTGAGAGAGCTAGTGATTCGCTCATGGCGGCGAAGAGGGCGAACACCACGGTAACGGCGAGAAGGAAGGGGCTGGGCGTGGAAGGTTTAGTCAGTCAGTGCATTAATAACTAGTTAGTTAACCGTTGTCGTAAGCAATGGCTAGCCAGACTATCCATGGATCAGTATATCCCGATAGTGGCCGGGACGGAGAACCCTGGTGGACCCTCAAAAATGATAGCATTCTCAAGTAGAAATCTGGAGCTTCAAGAACTCACATCACAACGTCAACGCGACAGTAACTCTCCCACCTTCTCCTTAACGCTTCTCCCCGTCGTTCTTCGCCGGGTTGTTGCCAGTACGCTTTCAGAAAGCGCAACATATATGCGGCACGACGGGCGACGTTATCGGGTTACCCGCAACCGCAGCCACAACGGCGTGCTCCCTTAGGCCCGTGCTTGTAGGGGATGTCTTGGTTGGCGGGGCCTTGGGGTGGGTTGAGGCTGTCAAGATTAGGGATGGTGACGAGCGCCGGCACCATCGCATAGTGGATTCTTATTACTAGGGGATTCAGTGTCCAAGTAGGCGGGTTGGCATCACGTCAAGGGTTGGACATTGGCAGGACTGTCTTCCAGACCGTGTTCCGTATAATAGAATTAGTAGCAAAGCAGAAGAATGAAGGGGGAGGAGTCGATTAACTGCGAATGATCTTCTGGAGCAGATGGAATTGCCTGATTGGGACAATTTGAGGCCAGCGATGATGACGGGATCTTATTGGCTGAAACAAAATATGACTAAGCATAATATAACACCAAGACTAGCCAATCAGAGCTCCCTCTTTTTTGAACCTCCTCCCAACCTCTTCCTCATACGAACTGTCGAGATGCCAATGACAATGACAATTAAGTTACAATGACAATGACAATGACAATGACAATGACAATGACAATGACAATGACAATGACAATGAAGAGAAGACCAATTCAACTCCCCAAACCATGCAGTGTCGTTGAGCTACATTAGTCGTCACCTAACAATCAATCCTCAACTAGCTCAGCTCTCTTCCCGTGGAGGATCTCACCCCTCTGAGGAGGTAGGACATGCGACTGCATCTCAAATATGAAACTCTTCCATGTTTGGAGTATGTGGCTGCGTAGGTAACCTTGTTTTGCTAGACCCCCCTTGTAGGCAACCCTGTGGTGTTGTCAAGTTCTGGAATCAACATCTAGGCTCCGAATGTCAACTTGTACGACCAGAATGGCTCACATCCGATGGGGAGGCACACCCATGCTTACAATTACTTTGCCTAGGTGAGCAGCGAGAATGAGCATCAGATGAGGGTATCCGACCGTGGTGAGTGTATATACTCTTTTAACTTGATTGATTCAGAGCCCGGGGTCCTCGTTTTGAGGAAATGCTATGCACAGGACCCTACAGAGCATTCCTGCCAAACACCATCTCATTTCTATATCGGGGGAGATGATGCGTATTCATTTACAAGTCTATTGACACTCTTCGTCAAATTGCCCGGTATATATCGAGACTCGGCCATTCTCATGCTGAATTGGCAATGCCTCGATCATATTCATGAAATCTGTCACGTTATTTCGAGCGGTGCGAGTGACGTACCCTAGGTAGCAATCTGCACATATGAGGATGAACAATAGTGCGCACATTCTTCAGGATGTTTCAGATCTCCGTGCGATGCGGTTTGGCTCAGCTTGATGCCAGATCCCATACAACTTTCAGTCGAATATTTATGTCACTCGCAAGGAAGATGCCACGAGGCTGCCTGTTTATTTTATTTTATTTATTTATTTTTTGAAATTACTCAAAATGCAAATTGATCATACAGTCATGAACTAAAGTGGCATACAATTTGAACTCTCAACCGGCCATCGAAAGGAAATAAAAACGAAAATATACCCCAGAATCACAGCGTGTCATACTCATGTCCGCTCTCTCTCGCCTTAGTCGCCCGACTAAACTCACCGGTCTCAACCTCCCGCTCCCCTTCTATCGCGATCGTCTCATTCTTCCGCACGCCCTCTGGATCCTTCATCGCGCGGTCAACAGCTGCATTCACGTTTCCACGAATGTTTTCGCCGAGTCCCTATAGTTTTCGTTTCATTAGCAAAGGTCGGCTAAACAAATAATTACACTCTATTTATCATCATTTTAGTTCTTGACACTTACGTGAACACCCGCAACGGCTGATTTGATGCCGTGGCCTAGACCTGATCCGGTTGTTGTCCCCGCTCTTGTACCCGCTGTTGTTCTCGCTGTTGTGCCCGCTGTTGTGCCCTTGTTAGGAGAATCCGTGGGTGGGTGTTGGGTCGCGGCGTCGGCTGTGTGGGACTGTTCGGATCGTTGATTGAAGGTGCCTGTTTCTTGCCCCACTGAAAGGTCGCTTTGGAATGGTGGCGGGTGGTATGTGTTTTGCGCCATTGTTGTGTGATGAGTTCGGATGTCGAGATGAGGGTTGAGCTGTTTATATTGAAGCACAGCGGAATCGTAACGGGCAATAGGATGGAATCGATGGAATCGAATTTTTTCTCTGCCTATTTATTTGAATGTTGCCTGATAAATCTTAGGCGCTGTTTTTCGCAGAACCTTTTTGAAGAAGCGTGTCTGTGTTGAATGAAATACCAAGAATAACTAATTCTTAAATATGCATATATTATAGTTCTTGACCTCCCTGGTTTTTTCTCTGGGTATGACATCAACCCCCCTATGACATCATACACAAAACATCCACTCAATCGAAGCTCAAGCTCGCAAGTTCTACTTCGCCCACAGACTTCTTCTAGGTAAAACGAGCTTCCCAGCGAAAAGGTTTGTTTGTCGAGGTTCAGATCCCTGGTCTCTTCTTACATCAAGGTGTCGTCAGAATTGCTGTACATGTTAACAAAGTCGTCCATTCCTGCTGAGATAAATATAAGGAGCTATCTATATCTCTTCTCTACATGTAAATAGCTAATCCTGATGCCCTAGTTATTTTTTTTTATTTTTTATTTGGTTTAGTAACAGTTAAGATCTGAATTTCAATCATCAAAATGATCCCAATAACTCGATCTGGCGTCCCTATTCCTTGCAACGTGCTATCCCGCCTCGTCGTGCCAGCACAAAGCATCCCAAGAACAACCGCCCCGCGACCCTTCTTCTGCGGAGTGAGATCGGAGGGAAATAATAATGATATCACTAGGAACTTCTCCGCTTCAGCGCTAGCTAAGAAGGAATCTAAAGTCAAAACGCTTTTGCAGGACAAGCAACATGGGCTTGGATTCGCGAGGTCAAATCCAATTCCTGCAAAGCCGAGGAAGCGGGGTGTCACGGAGATTAGAGGGCCGTATTATTCGGTATGTTCGCTTTTCTTTTTCTTTTTCTCTTTTCCTCGCTCTTCTGCCATTGTTCATTTCATGAGGACAACTATGAGAGGGTAATTGCTGGGTTGAACAAGTCGAATGCTGACGCTCGTGGTCATGTAGGTGATGGGGAAAAGATACCTGGCGGATGTTCTTGAGACGTGGGTATCAGTTTCACTATTATATTCGGTTAGGTTGGCTTGAACTGATCTGACACTACCTCTTGAATAGGATGGGTTACTATGTGGACGGGCTGAAATTTTCAGGAGGTTAATTAATAACTACGGACTTCCAAGTAGTTCTACTTCAAAGGGCACTGTGTTTTGATAACTGACAGGAGACTTTTTGAATTATTGGTAGGCTCCTTTTCGCTCTTTGAAGAGAAGAAACTGAGGGAATTGATCGACCTTGCTCATGAGCATGGTGTTTACGTCTCCACGGTTTGTGTCATCATTCTAAGCATCATCGCAGCACAGGATGCTAACAATCAAGTTGGTAGGGCGGCTGGGCGGAGCACCTCCTCACACACCACGATGCGCCTTCTGTAATGGAAAAATATCTGCAAAAATGCAAAGATCTGGGGTTGGTCTTGAAGAATATTCACTCTAAAATGAATCGGAGAGTAATCCGCCCGTTTCAATTCGGGATGGTGACCTGACAATTTCCGTGAAATAGGTTTGATGTTGTCGAGATTTCTTCTGGATTCCTCTCGATTCCTGCAGACGATTGGCTCCGGCTGGTGGATAAAGTCCACTCGTATGGTCTCAAGGCAAAGCCGGAGCTAGGCATCCAGTTTGGGGCTGGCGGAGGTATGTGTGTTCATTGTCCCCTGTCATATTTACCTCAATAAATTTCGAGACAGACTCAAAACTGACATATTGAAATCAGATACTTCTGTCGCTGAGCTTGAAGCATTCGGCACCAACGATCCTGGAAAATTGATCAATTTAGGCAGACGATTCCTCGACGCTGGAGTCGAGCGGCTAATGATTGAGAGCGAGGGCATCACAGAGAACGTCAGGTCCTGGCGAACGGATGTGGTTTCACAGATCATGAAGGAATTACCACCGGAGCAGGTTATGTTTGAAGGTATGCAATCCCAGAATTCTGACTCTTCGTTTATAAGTTTTGAAAGCCCGCATATCATGAGCTTGCTCTTAGCATACGGGCTGACGGGGGTTTTTTGGGGGCAAACAAAATAGCTGCCGACCCCCGCGTGTTCAATTGGTATATCCGTGAGTTTGGGATCGATGTGAACGTCTTCGTCGACCATTCGCAAATCGTGCAGTTGTCGTGTCTGCGACGTGGGATCTGGGGTATGGCAGACACTTTTGGCAAGGTTGTTTCATACAGACCAGCAGAGTGAACCTGCCTGTACCCAGTTGGTTTTATCCATTGGGGTCTCGTAGTGGTGGTTTTGCAGCCCATTGCGGCTTGTGATAGATCGACATAATCGTAATATAAAAGATATATATATATATATATATATTATTTATTTATTTATTTTTGGCAGTTTTGTAGAAGGTTACTACTACTTTAACGCAAACCATAGCCCACACTCAACTCGACATAACCATCTTGTATCACCAGTCTCGCTCATAGTAATGATATTTATATTCTTTATATTCTCGGATTCCTCCCCTCGATGGACCCTAATCCTAGCTTCACTCTGACCGCACAGAAAACACGACTGTGCTAAAGAGTCATTCTGACATTCAAACTGTGGAAGGTGTAAAGCTTGTGTGATTGAAAGGTTGCTAGCTTGTGGAAAGTTATATGGTGGAAGGATTAGTAAGCCAGATCACGTGACCTGACACCCCCACTCACCAGAGTAACTATACACGATGCTATATACAAAATTCGCCTTCAAATCAAGTACAGGTACAAAAAGTGACTGGAAAATGTGTAGCAATGAAAAACCAGTCATGATATACATCATTTTTTATCCCTCTATCCCTCTATCTTCTTTATATTCTCTTTCCAACGCGTATATTTCAAACGGTTGACCTCTTTAACACGGGCCTTGTAATAATACTTCCATTCCATGGAAGCTTTGGCGCGCGTGAGGTTTTTCAGGATCGGAAGTGCAGCGATCTCGGGATCGGTGGGTAGGTCTTCAAGACTGTCCCCCACTGAAGATTCCCCCACTGTTGATTCCCTCACTATAGTGATATCCCTTGTAGATGTCGGAGGGTCATCAGATTCAACTGTGGGTTCTGGGGAGTTCAGTGTATTCTGCACTAAAAGGGTAGGTATTCTCGCGGAGATATCATAGTCAATCCACCAATTATTAGTGGGTACGAGAAATAATGGACACTCAGGTCGAATTTCCTCATCAATGAATAGATTATCAATTGATGGATCAGGAATCGCCGCAATCTCTTGACGGGCCGCAGTGGGTAGGCCTGGTGTCGCCGAAGGAATCGCCGCAGCCGCTTTACGGGCCGCATTGGGTAGGACCTTCAGGTTGTGCGTTGTAGCTGTTGTAGCTGAGTTAGCCGCAGAATCTATATTCTGCAGGTTCTTTTTATCTTTTGGAGGATCAAGCCGCGAACGGATTTCCTCCATGAGAAGATCAACATCCAATACCACAGCTGTGGATTTGGAATCCTGTATCTCCTCTATCTTCTTCTGAACATAATTCCTCCAATTGTTGGGTAGGACTGAGTAGAAGGTATCAAATATCCACGCATCTGAGGGGGAAGCATCCAACATCTCCAATTTCATGATGGCGGACCGGAACTTATCAAAGAATGTGTGTAGATTGATGACCTGTATGCCACCAAGAGACATGAATTCCAGAACTGCCTCATGATGTAACTGTGTTTTGAGGACAGAGTATTCCTGTTCGATCGCATTCCATAGAGTATAAGCGATCCGATTTTCATCATACTTGGAGAAATGTGGTCTGACACCTGCACCCAAGGAGTTTGAGATGAATGTGTAGAGTCACCAGTTTCTGGCGTCCCAGAATGGTGCCCATTCATCATCTCTTTGTAGAGGGTTCTGAGTCTGTTGTTTCTCTATCATATACCAGCACTGTGCATTAACCAGTTTCGATTTCATGAAGATGCTTCATGTGGTGTAATTGAATGTGCCAGTCAGACTGTTTGGTCTCACAGTATTCTTGACATCTTCCTTGAATTGGGAGATAGCCTTGCCAACACGGCTATTCAGTTCATAAAGGTTGAATTCCAACCTTTCACTGAGATTAGGATTCCATGTGGCTGTTGATGTGGTGACAGAGTGATTGTTGACATTCTGTGATTGATCTGTGAAGGATGAGAATCTCTGTTGACAGAGTTTTTCCAGTTGTAGTTCGAGTTCTAAGACTCTTTGCTTCCCCTTGTCCATCTCAAGCATCATCTTGAGATGCTTCATCTGTTGATCTGATATTGCCTCACCCGAACGGTAGACACCTGGGTGTCCATTATTCTCATCAAGAGAACCAGCATCAAGCTGTCGAGTAGATCGGGGGGCCAGCCTGACCGTGTCAGGATCTGAATTCAAACCAGCTTCGAATCGAGAGGGTGTTTCAACAATGGAGCTTTCAAAGGCTCCAGGAGGATGTCCACCAGTGGAAAGGACGCGAGATCGCGAACGTGTGTGTGGGCGAGATCGTATTGAATCCGCCATCTTGATATTCGTTTATTGGATCCTTGCCAATATCGTTCTCTTTTCTTGCTTTTTTGCAAATGTGGTGCGTTTTCTGCAAGCCTCTTTTTTTTTTAAGCGAGCAGTAGTATTATTGATCATCAAGATCTCAAACGCATCAATACTGATAGAATAAGACGATTTTAACTCCTGATGGGCGTATCGAATGAAGCAGTAGTTCAAATAGATTATATTGACAAGGAATCCCGAATTGGCAGCGATTTTGCGCAAAACGGGTCTCATAACCTGTGGAAGGTGTAAAGCTTGTGTGATTGAAAGGTTGCTAGCTTGTGGAAAGTTATATGGTGGAAGGATTAGTAAGCCAGATCACGTGACCTGACACAAACATCAACTTCTGAAAAGCAGCTTATAATACTTCATTCGGCCTTCAATTTTACTATTAGCAAGCTTTTATATTCGCTTTCTTCGGCTCTCGAAACAAGTATATCTTAAAGGTAGCAAGCAGCCTGCGCAAACCTGCATCTCGCATCGAACCATCCCCAGACAGTCGCATGTAACTTTCCGTCATGGGGACGCTACTACACTGTGTTGATAGAAGAGCATAAATACTGGTTATCTGCTTCCAAAGCGTACCGTTTTTGCAGATGTATATCATGGCATACTGTGTCGTCTGCTTATCATGGTTTGCACGTTCGTCTCCTCTGAATTCAAGGCTGGTTATGACATAACCATTCTAATCTGCGAGGCTTAATTTTCTGCTTTCCTTTTCAGAGAAGGTCATCCTTGATTTTATCACAGAGAAAGAGGAACATGTATGTGAAAATATACGTGGTGCCAATTGGATATCAGAGAGACAACAATCGCCGCGGATTGGTGGCCTCGCACTGGCTGCTGGGACCGACTGGAGTAATGCCCACTATGTTAGATTAGAGGGCACGTTTCATGTGTTTTTGTATTCTGCTCGTTATATCGACTTTCGTCTCCTTGTTTTCTATATTCTTCCGCACCCAATATTTGACCGAGCGCGGGCCGCCGTTGAGTCAGAATAGTAACGCTGGGCGGTGTATATTCACATTTCTATATTCCCAGGTATGAAGTCCAGGCTATATTTGTTTGATGTATATCTTTAGTCCAGAGATTCAATATCATATTATTTAGTTGAATCCCCCTTCGAAACTAACTACTGAGTTGCCCCAGGTAGTCTCTCTCCACCAGATTCGATAGCTTCCATGGGAACATAGCAGCTATATATCCCTGGTCTACCCATATATCAACACCAGTCAAAATAATATGGTGGGTTTGGGCGAGTTCTTCGCTGCCGCCAAGGGGAAGAGAAAAGCGTCCGGAAGGCGTCACAAACCCGGGGGCAGCGATCCAAACCAAGCATGGTCCCTGATACCCGGTATTCCAAACCTGGTTGATCTAACCGCAGGGGTTAAAGATATATGGGAAGGGTATAACAGCGAGAGGAATGGGAGAGTATACCGGGACGAAATGCGGAAAACCGGAGACGCAGTCAGGCAAGGCATCCCCAGCATTCAAACATGCGCACAATCTCTGGCCGTCTTCTTCAAGCGCAAAAACGCGTTCGATCTGTTTTCGGCATTCCTTGACGGGCTGCGAGTCGTCGCTCAGTTCGTTGAGGTTCTTCAGGGACGGTCTGCTCTTGAGGAGATCGGCCGTGACATCCATCGTGAGCTGCAGGCACAGACGGGGTTGAAAGCTCCCAAAACCTTCGCAAAGCAGGTCTATAAAGTTATCAGGCATCAAACCTCGTTGCTTCACGAAGATGGTGTCCCGCATTTCTACTTCCTGTACCACCCAGACACCGACTGGCACGGGTACTTCTTCGACATCGTTTCTCAAAACCCGCTCCCTCCGAACCTCCTGGGCGTATCCGAAAACCTGGACGCCCTCTGCCTGTGGATGATCTTCCTGAGACAGCATCTTGACAGAGACGACAACAGAAGAGCGCGGTTCCATCTCATCATCCCCGCCTATCGACCTATGCTCATCAAGGATCCGCTGATTTTCCCAGACAAGCTATTCCCGCTTACTGTCCAGGGCCTAAAGCACGACTCCAAGGAGTACGTCTGGTTTAACCTACCGACCCTAAACGACACCCACGCCTACTCTCTTGACCTGAAAGATGTCGGGAACATATATCAGCCGCCGAGTAACGGTCAAGACGCTGCGGCAGCGACCACATTTGCCGCCTCCACCGCAGGGTGGATCGGGATAACCCTCTGGGCAACCTCCCTGGCAGCCCCGATCCTCGCCCCCTTTGTCCTTATGGGTTCAGGGGTGAGTGGCATGGTCGGCGCCGTGCAGGCTACCAAGCATGTCCATGAATCCTTTAAACAGAAACTACCCCGAGTGCTGGGACAGCAGCGCATAGATGACGATAACGCGGAGTGTGGTGATGGCAATGGCAACAACAACAACAATAACAATAACGGGAGCAGCGCTGACAGCACGAACCAGCCTGTAAGTGCGGGGGAGTTCACGGTTCAGCCGGGGACTCATATAGTATCCCACAGGCGCCACTACGAGCATGAGAACCGCCGACGGCGCCGTAGACGACACCGGTAGTAAACTCGACTCGTGAGTCGCTTGCGGATGGGGTTGCTCCTATGTCATTTCTTTTCTATACGACATCTATATTTTTTTTTATTTTCGCGACCTTTATTTACAGGGAGGATAGGTGCCAAATGAGCACCTCCCTTTTTATTACTATTTTGTTATTTTTATTTTATAAAGGCTAACTAATTATTCTCCTTACTCTAATAACTATGACCTAGAAGCTAGAAACTACCTGATTATCAAGATCTCCAGCTGGAGTAGGTCGTATAAACAGCCGACATCCGTACCACTTCTTATTATTTCTAACTCTGGTCATACATAATTACAACTTGAGATTGTTCTCAATTTCGTTATCCGCAATCCCCCATGGAAACTTGCTGTACTATGATGTAAAGCGAACGAAGAAGCAATAGATATCTCTAATACTAATTCATCTCTAGAATAGCATATAAAATTTACACTGCCCGTATCAAGAATATAACCAATCTCAAAACAAGGCTTGTCGATCTGTCCAACCTAATCGTATTTTACCCCTTCGTTTAGTATTCATTGTGTTGTTTACTCCCACACTGCTTCTTATATTTAATCCTAGGCCCTCTTGGACGGGTAAAAAGCGGGGAAAAAAAAAAGAATAAGTGGACCATTGGGAATACCAATTCGCCTCAGTGAGGAGACAGAGGAGGGGAAATTCGTGACATGTTAGCTAAGGTGCGAGAGGAAGATGGTGCTAAATACAAGAAGCAACCGAAATGTTAAATAAATGAGGGGTATATAGAGTAAGTAATAAGACGACAAAATACAAAAACTGAAAGGCCGGAAAGCGGATAGTTACCCCGTTGAAGGCGCTGGGGGAAATGATGACGGGGGGAGTAATAAGTAAACATGGACGTAAGAGGGACGAAGAGGCTGCGATGTCATGTCGTTCTGTTTTTGTCCGGCATCTGAAGGGGTGAAAAGAGATGCACACGGAATATCAAAATATTCAGCAAAAGCAACCGCCACCCTCGGGCTTGTGCTTCCTGGTTCCGTCGCAGCTGCTAACATACCACATGTTGACTTCGAAGCCCGAACAAAATTACCGTTTTTCTGACTGTTGGCTCCTGCTTGAGGTAGCTGAATTGGGCTCTATCGGTGCTGGGTAATCGTGATGAGAGCGGAACTGCGTTCTTGCGAGGGATAGGGCCATGAGGGCGTCAGGACAAGCAACTGCGCTGTTCTCAGAGGCGTGTGCCCTGTTGTTTCGTACGTTCTTTGTTGATCTCCCTATTCGGGCTATCGTATCGAAATTGGATGGCATATTCCTGCTTAGTGGGCTGTTGCTCTGCTGGGCTTCTATGTGGCGTCCTAGTCTGGAAATGAGGTGTTCCCTATCGCTTGTCACTGTTGCTTGTTTACCGACTATCGAGGTAGGAGTGGCTGGAATTTTCGCCCCGCACTGCTCCCTGGTAGGGCTTAGATCGCCTTGCACACGTTGGTGGCAAATGCGATTAATTTCGGCCGCCCTGGATAGCTGGTTCGATTTCGAGAGGTTTCGGGTAACATGAGGTAAGAGGATAAAGGCAACGATTGACATGATTGGGGAGACAAATAAGCATCCCCATGCTAGTAATAGTACCGACATGGTGGTGCTCGGTTCTCGCCATTCAGAATGGGAAGTTGATCTGTTTCGAACGGCATGTGGCATCCCCGTTTTTCTAATTGAATGGAATGGTTGCCTGGATTTGGAACAAGGGATAAATAGAGATGAAGATCGCGTAGCTAGCCTTAATATCGTTCTCAATATTAGACGAACGACGCGTAGAGACGCTATGGCCATTGAAGAATCATCGGTTTGGGCGCGGTTTGTAGCCCTACTCTGGCCATCTCTGTAGACGGACTCAACGTCTCCACGTATTGTTGGTGGCTCCGGTACCACATTCAGACGTGAATTCCTCGGTCTGTCTCCAGCCCACGCAGGAGCAGAGACGGCTGCGTCGACGCGCCTGTGGTCAGGGATTCTCCCTCCAGAATGCTCTAGCATAGGCCAAATTGGAGTATCTCCCGCGATGCCGCCGGAGAGATGTGGATTGAAGGACGAGGAAGGCTGTCCAGGACTTGCAATTATATGAATATGCAGATCCTGTACTGGCCCGAAAGACCCAGGCAAACCAACTGCATTCTGTGGACGCGATGGAATCGGGGCCTGAGTTTCTGTCCTTGTCTGCAGCAGGTTTGGCGGATGCGATTGAAGGACATGTCTCGGGTCGCAGTCCGTTGACCCGATCGGTGATTGCCTCTCAATCAATTGCAGTGTTCCACGATTGATAATCGGTTTGTGAACCTGGCGCATAGACCTGGCTTTGGCCATAATTATAAGAGGTGGCGTCGTGGGTTCCTCCGATCCACAACATCCGAGACATTGTGAATCGTCGAATGGCCGGTCTCGTTCTCCGTGGCATTGCCAGGTGATCTTGGGAACGGGGCACCCGTCTAGTGGGGACGAGGATTCCAGCGGCCCGCTTGATGGCCGGACATTGGTGCGACGCCAGCGATCTCCGCTCGAAAGCGGTAGGATAGCGCCTGAACAATGCGGTGAAGGGTTTTGGACATGCTTCATCAGCTTCTTTCGCTTGACGGTGGTGATGGCGGATTCCGTTTTGTCGACACATGTGCACTAAAAATTGAGGCGTTAGTCCAAAATATTATAGGGGAAAGTACGATTGAAGACAAAGTGGAACAGAACATACCCGCTTGCGTTGCTTGCGGTGCCATTCACAAGCACCCTGTCTACGGACAGCGATATATCTCTGGCGCTCTTCGTGGGTCTTTGGGCGATGCTTCCTCGGCAGAGATGTGGTTTCGTTCAGATTCATGTCCAGGACCATCTCGACTCCACCAGTTGCAGGTGGTAGTGTAGTTCTTGAAGGTCCGGCGGATGCTGACCCAGCCCTTGTCATAAACGCGGGGGAGAGTTCCGGGACAGTGCCAGTTGATGAACCGGGGGATCCAGTCACGGAGAAGGAGTTAGTATCGAATGACGAATCGCTTAGGGTGGTCGAGCTATGTTGCCAGACCATTGACTGGGCAGAGGGATTGCAGTCTTCCAGGAATCCAGAGCTAATATCGTTTTGAAGTTGCAGGTACAACTCAATTGAAGCATCTATCTGCTTCGTCCTCTGCGATACAGGTCGAGTATCCTTGGCTGCTCTGGCCAAGGCAAGATCCTTGAGCGTGGATTTAACCCAGTTCAAGCGCTGGGTGGAGTCATCTAAATCGGGGGAGGGTAGAGCGGATTCAGGAAAAGTGGAATCAGGAGAGAACAAGTTGGGCGAGGCATGACCCATTTGCAGAGTATCAAACCAAATGGAGGACGGGTCAGGGAGGGAATTGAAGTCGGTGGAACAGATGTCGTTCAAGGCCGAAGTAGATAGAGGGATGGAAGGCTCGCTAGAGGCAAACAAGTCTGGGTTGAAATTGTCCCAGAGCGAACTATCCAAGGGAAAATGATCGAGTTTAGAGAGATCAATCGACTCGCAGTCGGCTGTGGGGTAGGTATCGAATTGGGGCATGCAAGAGAAGTCATCAAAAGCAACATTGGGGAGGTTTAGGTCCAGAAACTCAGTGTCCTCCTCGACACGAGGGGATTGATAGTGGAAGGAGGTGGTCATTATGCAAAGAATGTGGAAGAGTTAAGAACGTATAGATGTGTATGTATGTATATCTGCCCTAGGAATACAAGAAAAAGGGCTGGAAGTTATGAGGCGGATGAATATACAGGAGAGATATCTCAGGAATAATGTATCTAGAAGTAATCCACCAGACGCTGAGAAATGCGCGTAGGGAAAGGTGTTACCTGCTTCTATAGATAGAAGGGCAACCTTGGAGGGATTGCGCTGGAGAGAGTGGCACCAGATTCAGATCTCTCTCTCTCTCATACAGTCTTTGTCGAGCACACTGATGCCTATAATCTCTCTCCCGTTGCACGAATAGGAGGGAGATCAAGGTTGAACGGATTGGGCAAAACGAGAGGGAGGATGGTACTCTTCCCCGGGGCGAAGAAGAGACGGACGAGGCGAAACAAAAGAGAATAAAAAGGAGAATTAAAAGAAGGGAAGAAAGGGTGAAGAAGAGAAGGTCTGAGTTCTTTAAGGCCACGGCGGGGGGCTGAGGCAGCGCAAGTCGATGGTCGATGCTGATCTTCGGCGGTTGATGATGATGTCGTCGCGCTGGGCTGAGGCTGGCCCGCGGAGAGATTGAGCCGTGTTTAGCGCTGGCTAGCGCGAGTTAGCGCATGCTAGTCCTGATTAGGAGGTGCCAGACACGCCTGTGATTGGCGGCTTCCCAATTGGGTTTCCCCGACTTAGGGTTGCGCTAAACTCGTTACGGTGCCCGCTCTTTATGTAAGCAGCCTGGAGGGGTGTTGACGGGATCTGATTGGCCAATCAGAGCCTGCAACTTCGGAGATGACTCAGGCCTCACCAAGCAATCTGGAACTAAGGGCCTGTTCGGTGCGTCCGTACTTTTTGAACACAATAGTGGATCTCATTAAAAATAGCATATTTATCAATTATTTAGTAGCAAGCCAGTGTTGCATCACCTTGATAATCTTTACTGACAATATTCTTCTGTAGAATGAGATAAAGAAAGAAGAAGCTTATAAAATACATTCTTTTTGAACAGAGTTCAGAGTCTGTTCAAAAAGAATGTGTTTTTATAAGCTTCTTTCTAATCAATATTAGTTAACTGTCTTCACTATGAATACTATTCTACACTATATTGTCTCTAAAAGTGCTATTCTACATCATCACACACTGTTGAAGTTAAATATGGCTTATTCATAAGATCTTGACAAAAGATACAAGTACAGCCGCTCAATCCACTGAACATCTGGTATTTTTCATCTGTACTTTGTAAAAAGCAGCTGTACTATTAGTACAGATGCTCTGCTCACCAAACAGTCATGAGATTGGGGCTGTACTTTTTAAAAAAAGTGGAGATCCGTACAAAAAGAACGAGTACACACGGACGCACCGAACAGGCCCTAAATAAACATCCCGATATCAAAGAGGGACCAAGTAATCCAAGGATATGTGTAACTATTGACTATTGCCTTGATGAAATACTCTGTACAAAGTGAGATGGTGCATGTTCTTATACCTCTGCCTGCCACATTGAAATAACTAATTTAGATTTGTCATGTCATGATGCCAGCCCATCCTCTTTGAATTATCAACAGCCTGTCCGCCGCTTAAATAACTTGATCGCAGGATATATAGTATGACAGTTCCTGAGGAAACAATCCCTAAGGAATTTGGATTTCTAATGTGATTTGGTCAACAAACATTCCTGCCATCTCTGAATGTCCCGAATTTGATAGGTCTATCTATAATCACTTCATTGAGCACCCTGCAACAGCCCTCATGAAAGGAGCACAGGATGGTTGGCTAGAGACAGACGAGTGAGAACGCATTTCACGTCACCTCTCTTTCTTTTCTCAATGTTGACTTTGTTTTCTTCATTTAAACCCCCCGGGTTCCGACCCCTTCCTCCATTCTCTCGCTCAAGGCAAAACGCAGCTGTCAACAGATTACGCAGCCCCTCACAGCGCGCCCGTGAAGCGGTTTCCCTAAGTCATAATAACTTCCATAGGCGTAGAACACACAAGAACCTAAAGTCGCAGTTCGATAGCTACAGTGCAGTGACGTGGTTTTGCTGCCCGGCATTGGCAGAGGGGTGGTGGTGGTGCCACCCGAATGCGGTAGTCCCGCGGTTATCTAAAGAACGGAGGTTCATTTTGGTGGGATCAAGCTCTCTTGTAAAAGGCGTTTATTTCTGCTTCAGCTTGGGAGTTTGGGTGATTCGCCCATACCCACAGATGACTCATTTCGCGGTTATTTGGGAACCTGATGCTGAGATACTGACTCCAGGTTAGCTATGAAGTACGGTTCTAACTGCGACGCATCGTCCAAATGTTGGACCACCCCACTGACGCCCTAGGATCTTGGTATACCTCACACGTGCTTGTCGCTCATGTTGCTCCTTACAATAACATTACCACAATATATATGTGGGCTACTTTCCACCGCCGCGTCTCACCCTCACCACCTACCTTCGTTTCTGAGAGTGGAAACCCGCCAGAAAGGTTCGGGGGGCCGAAGAGAGGGGGCGAGTGACTTACAGTGACAGGAGGGAGATGCACCAGTATGGTTTCCCCAAGGCAGCACCCAGTGGCTTGCGCTGGTTAGGTTTGGGGATTGGTATTTGGGCAGTCTATGGACTGACTGGGTAAAGACGGGATGAGGGCATACCAGCACAGGGCTGGTAGAGTGTGATGCCCTTTTTCCTTGTAGGCGCATGGTCAACCATATATATTTGTGTATTGATGGGAGCCTCCCAACTGCGATGTATACAGTGTTGCAACTGTACGTGTACAGTACAAGCTGGGGTAGGTAGATCATGTCAACGTCTCCAGGCTTCTACATAGCAGCCGCCCGCGAGTTGTCGACCCATTGCAAAAATGCTGCGACAAGTGGTCCCAGACAATGATAATATGCGGAGAGGCAGCTTCTTTTGCATGTCTTCATCATCGCCATATTCAACCATTCAATGACAGCATGTGACGTTGTGAACGCCTCCATGGACAGTTTCTGAACAACTGACTCTCGCCCTAAGCTCTCTCCTTTCTCTCAAGCTCTGACCCTTAGGGTTCTTCTCATTATCGCTCACAACTCCACCGCATGTTGTTGTTGTTGCAGGGCTGATAATGCCAGGTGGACGTGTCACTCTGATCACTCAGTGCAGAAACAAGAGGCATAGCGATTTGTCGTCGAACAACCGTGTAGTTGGCAATTTGACACCCTTGTGAGCCAAAAAAAAAATAAAAAATAAAAAATAAAAAAAAATAAAAAAATAAAAAAATAAAAAATAAAAAATAAAGATTGAAAAGCGGGACCTAATGGCTCGTTTTCTCGTTTTCTCGTTTTCTCGTACATAAATATTAAGTACAGTGGGATGATGCCAGCCGACTGCACCGTTTGGCCAAGCTGCAGAACCACCACAAAGAAACGAACACTGCCCACGCTGCCTTCTGCACAATCTTAATCTTGGGACTCAACCCGTTCAACCTGATCCAAATTGATCTTCTCCGTGGCCTGGGATATGATATGCTCTCTCTCTCCCTCTCTCGCCCCGCTGTTCGAAACGAATGCAAGGGCAAGCCGAGCCCTTCTCCTTTTCCCTCGCTCCCCACCAAATACGGGGACCACCTCGGGGCTGGCACCCGCGTTGCATTGCGACCCCGTATTCATCCCGGGGTGGTTTTCTCGTGAACAGTCCAAGCCGCCCCCTTTCGATGTCTACAGGCGCATTGGCGTGTTGTGTGATGAATAATTGCTGCGCCGCGGAGGGAACGAGTTGACGCTGCAGAATTCTTGCGTTGTCGGCTTGGTTTGGAATGGAGATATACTGTCTCTTTCAAGGTTCACTATTTACAAAAATTTGATAGTCAGAGGAAATAATTATTATAGATAAATGAGCTTTAAACGGCTTGTAAATATAATGAGAATATGTGGTACAGGTGGCAGTATATACGGGATGGTATCGTATCTCTATCGAGAAAACAACAAAATGAAAAGCCAGTAGACAACGGGGCTGGCCCTCAATACACACAAAAGGTGCAAACAAAAATGGATAGGAATAACCAAACGGATATATATAAGTAGGAGGAATGGGAATAATGATTTGGACAAAGAAAAGCAGGAGGAAAGAAAAGAAAAAAAACATTTGCATCTAGCTGCCGCCGCCTCCATATTTGTCTTATCATCCAAATATGCCAGCTTCAGGCACTCCCCTTTCTTCCTTCCTCCACAAACTGCGCAACCATTATATTATTTACCCCTTGACATCGCACTTGATCGCCATCACCGGCACGGCATCCCTCCCGAACCTTACGTCCAAGATCGAGAAAGGGCTGCCCAGTTTCTCCTTGCCCTCGGCGTCCGCGAACAGTTGGCAGCTAACAGAGGAAATGGAAACGCCTTCAGCCCTAGTGACGACGGCTTCGACCACTTCAGATCCGAGCTTTACATCCTCTGTTGGTTGAAAGATAACATTAGTTAGCGTATTTGCCCCTGCTTGCTCTTGGTTTCCGAGCCATGTGTGATTTCTGTGTGTACGGGGGAGGGGAGGGGAGGTGAGGGAGGAGGTGCGCACTTGTTGACACAAGTTTCCCCAGCTGTACTTCTCCTCGTACGAAATTGTAAATGCTGGTGCGGAACTGTACACTTGCCTTCTTGTCTAGCTCGTCCAAAAACGGATCATCTTGATCGTCGTCGTCGCCGTCATCTAGGCCAGCGTCGAAATCGTCGTCGCCATCATCCAGACCAGCTTCAAAATCGTCGTCGCCGCCGCTGGCCAAATCACCGTCTTCGTCGTATTCTCCGTCCTTCAACTCAATTCTCTCGTCCCCGCCACTACCTTCGGTCTGGAAATCATCGTCATCGTCGTCATCATCATCATCGCCCTTGAGGCGATTCAGGCCAGCTCCTTCATCCTTTCCGGCATCGTCGTCATCATCGTAGTCCGCCCCATCATATTCCAAATCATCATCGTCCTCGTCCCCCTGGATGTACTCGTCGTCGTCGTCGTCGCCCTTTAAAGTATCACCACCATCGCCATCGTCCCCTTGGAAATCACCATCGTCGTCCCCCTGGAGGTATTCATCATCATCGTCGTCGTCGTCCTGTAGATCACCGTCCAGGTCACCTCCCTTATCCTTATCGTCGAGGTCGAGGTCATCGTCGTCGTCATCATCGTCGTCGTCATCATCGTCGTCTACACCATCGTCCCTCAACTTCTCGACCGTGTCCTTGCACATAAACGAGCCGATGGGCACAACTTCACCCGCCTCCTGTGAGAAAACGACGCTCTTGCCCCTCCAGAATGGCTCTCCTAGCTCATCACGGCCATTGGGGTCCGAGTATGCTTGACAGTAGACGCCTGGCTCTTCGACCGAAGCGCCGAGTCCGCTAGTTACGGAGCCTGGTTGTACGCGTTAGTGCACTGTACGGTAGTGTAGATAGATATTATATATAGATATAGATGTGCAGACTCCATATATCAAGAACCCTGCGCGGCGCTTCGTTGGAATTAGGACAGAGGTTTCTGACTTACGGTGTGTTCGCTCAAGCCGATCCAGTTGGGCAACGAGATTGACTTGCTTGTCTGGGACGGTGTTCACTTCGATCTGGAAAAACTTTGCCGAAGCAACGGCTGCCCACGAGGCGAGCAGAAAGCCCGTGGTCTTCATTTTGTTTTCACGGAACCCTTCCGTCTATATATATATGCCTCTTATTGGACGAAAAACGTAGAGAACGGGTATAGAGAGGTTACCACGATTATTGATGCGGAACTTTTTTTCCAACGAGAGGCTCCTTTTTTCTCAAAGGGAATGCGCTGAGCAAATAATGATACAGGAGAGGAAGAAGGAAAAAAGAGAAAAAGAGAGAATAATAAATCTGAGCAAAAAAAGAAAATATGTCGGCGTATTAAATCGACGCGGCGGAGGGTGAGAGAGAGGCTGAGGGGGGGAGATCCAAGCCTTAAAGAAGGAACGCCAGCGCGACGTTAAATAGATACGAGGGCTTACAAGGAAGGATGCCCGCCAAAGCCGCACTGCCCTCTTGTCATATCCGACGAGGCATCATTGGCACTCTGGCAGCTGTCCGCGGTTCGCAACTGCTGAGCGGCTTGGGCCAGCGGGGCTGGTCGCAGTAGTCTGCTCCTTGGCTCGTGGGATGCGTCTCAGCTCATACGCTGGCTGGGCTTAGCGTGACCAAGCGCTGGCGTCGCGATCCTCTCAGGAGAAAAATATTATTATTAGCACTTCTGGACGATGCCAATCTCGCGGGGGGCTATATTTAGACAATCACAGGCTCTCAGGCTCACAGGCGACGAGCTGGAGCTCCATCTCGCTCCCTGGCCGGCTTTAAAGACTGCCATTTCGTATGATTCTCTTGCATTTATTATTATTATTATTTCTTTGCGGAAGAAGGGCTGGAATTCTTCTCTATTCACATCTGCTATGACTGGCAGAACAGCGGTGCTTCTGTGCTGTCTTGTTGTAGTTATCTGACAGCGGGTTCGACTTCCTTCAACTCAATCTTCTTCTTATAGAAGAGTAAGCAGCTATTATCGCAGTTTTGGCAGAAAGATACATACAAACTAGCTCCAGGTCCTACATACCTTTGGGAACGGTTAAAAGTCAGCTGTGCTCACATAGTTATTTATCATGCTCAATTATCTCATCACTGCAAAGCTCAGTCAAGTAATTAGTTAAATCTCTCTATATATTATAGAAAAACCAACTTTTCCGACTAAAATGCCCTGTAATGTGACCTCACATGATATCACATGCACCCCATCAAATCCAATGGATATGATGGGATTGAACAAGTCAGCTCTGCAGCCTATACAGCTCTGATATTAATCTTCATTCTTTTCTTTACAGATGTTCTCTACTGTATTTACATTCTTTATACTCTTCTCTACATTCATTACAACCTATACATTCATTAATATACTCTATTTATTATAGAAAAACCAACTTTTCCATGCAAAAAACACTGTAATGTGATATCATATGCATTCTATCAAAAATATTTGAATGCTCTGACTCATACAGCTCAGATCAATCTTCAAATCTTCATTCTTTTTTTCATTCTGCTTCTTTCATACATTCTCTACAGTATTTACATTCTTTATACTCTTCTCTATGTTCATTTTGCCAAATGCTCTGTAACATGATCTCATGTGATGTCATGTGCACTTCTTTGAATTCAGATGGGATTGAACAGCTGGCTCTGCAGCCTGTACAGCTCTGATTAATCTGATAATGATGATGAAGGTGATACAGAGTGGAAGAGAGTGCTAAGGGTGATAGTGGTGGTCGGGGTGATAAGAGGGGGGTAGAGAGGTAGAGATAGAGAGTGGAAGTGGTAGAGGGGGTAGAGGTAGAGAGTGAAAGTGATAGAAGGGCTGCGGGGCGGTAGAGGCGGTGGTGATGGTAAAGGGAGTAGGGGGTGAAAGGGGTGGTAGAGGGGGTAAGGGGGTTGATGCTTGTATTTATTATGATTAGTTCCTCGTATATGTCCCCTCTCCAACGAAACGCACCGCATTTTCAAACATACTTGGCCAGGATTTGTAACGGTCGGTCGCAACCACCTATTCCTCAAGCTCAAGCGGGCCGGGGTGTGAATGGACACGGGCAATAACATTAATTAATAACGATAATGATGATGTTCCCATCCATGGATATGAAGCGGGCGTTGGGTGGTTGATCACGTTATGTCCGCCACGATAATTGAAGCTGGTCTTGGATCTATTCAAGCGCATCTCAACTTCCTAAAATATGCCCACGTTGTCCTAAAGAAAATGTCTACAGATCCTCAGATCCAGTCTGCTGCCACTCCAGTGTGATTCCACCCTGGTCTACGGAGTACATAAATGGAACATCTTTGTGTCAGAAGATGATCCTTCTACTTTAACTGTATTATTGATTGGCAATCAGCTAGTATGAGCCAGCCTTTTGATATGCAGATGAAGTACCGGATTTTACTATGCCTACCGAACCTGGAGGCCTATGCGCCAAAGCTTCTGAAGTTTGCTCTCAATTTTTTGACGCCAAAACTTTCTGAACCTAGGCTGATGGATGAAAACCTTTTTCGACCGTTTCGCTACAGCTACGGGACATGGAAGGACGGCGCTGTGGCTCTTCATCATGAGCTACTTGAAATTTCTCGAAGTTGGAAAAGAGTTAGTTAGGGTTTGCAGGTTCCAGTGCATACCCCCTACCCACACCAAAAGAACTAGCAGATCTTGAGAAGGAGTACAAGCTTTTCGTGGCGGCCCAGGATTTGAAACGCGACCTGTCTCCCTGTTCATTGGTATGTTGAGTGCTATATTGACAAATGACTATGACGAGCCGGTAAAAGACGAAAGGGGTCCTAAGATCAATCTGGCCATTTGACCTTCATACTTAAATCTGACCAAAGAAGTGGAAATGGGTGGAGCTGCTGTACGCAGCGTAGATGCGGTAATATAGGACATAGAGTACCCCAATACCCTAACCGCAATATTTTCTAGTTTTTATTTATATATAATTAATTCAGTTGGGTTGAATAGCATCAAATTCGAATAGTATGCATTAGAGTGGGATCTAGCGCAAGAGCATGTAAATGAGTCTTCTAATACAAGGTTATACAGACTTGTATGTGCAACCGAACATGCCCTGAGGAAATAATGATGCTTTCAACACAGTACATGGAGCTCATCCAGGAAGTCGGAGAGTTGGAATTCACCATAACTTAAGAACATTTTTGTAATGTACACCGGAAATAACCACCTCGAACGCCGACGGATAGATATATATACAGGACCCAGCCTCTGAACCCATCGCCCAGCTCAATTACCAGGCGAACAACAGCACAACAGCAAGCGCCCATTACCACTTCTCTCCCTTCTCACCCATTGATGAAACATTAAGTGTAATGAAAAAAGCAAAAAACTTGGATATAGCCTGAATATGTAGTAGATGTGTGAAAACCAATAAGAATTGACAAGAAACTCAAGAAGGGTAAACAAGAGCCTGAATGCATCATTCACACATGCATGCAACAAAGATCCATCACCCGGGATATTTGGATATTTTTGTTCTTGTTGGGTTTGGATGAGTGTTGTGCCATATAAAAACCACATCGACTCGACAAGACCTCGACAGATAGAACTCATCAATCAATCGCTTATTTTCGTACTTCCTTTTTCATTTTGCCTGGGGTCACCACGTTCCCAGTCACACAGTCGCGCCTAATCCAAGTTTTCAGGATCGTAAGCTAAGCTTTGAACTTCTTGTCCGCCAGAAACCTATTGAAATCGTTAAAAAGAATGCCCTGCCCTAGAGGAACAAAATCGCTACCCTCAATGACATCGACAACCGAACTGCACGATTCGCTTTACACTTTAACATCACATACATCGAACCTTCTCACAGTCTCCACCCCCCCTCCCTTCCCCCGACAACAGATCTAGCCTTTCTTACACCTGGGACATGGACGGGCGGGTGCGTCGGCCAGGACGTGGACCACGCATGTCAACCATCATGCCGCGAATACCGAGCCCAGAGATGACCGTGGATGCCAAGAACGCCGCCCACAGGAACCAAAGGAAGGCAGAAACTGCCTGGGCTTCACGGCAACGCTTTTCTGGGCTCGGGGAGTCCCTGGTTATCGAGTTCCTTGAGGTGTATGTCTGCACACCACAGACAAATTGTCAGCATCGTTAAAACCTTGGAGGTTTCCACTATTTCAACCTTAATTGTTCTGCACGTACCTCGTTGCTACAGGAATGCACACGCAGCTTCGACGGCAGAGCAATAGCACCGCAGAAAATGAAGATGGTGTTCAGTAGATCAACAAGGAACACGACGCTAGGGTGGATCATGAATGCCTCGCTGATCGCGGCAGCAAATAGGTAGAAGAGCGTCAACATTGAAAACGCTGACACAAAGAGGATGTAGTTCACTGTTGACGAGCTGTCGTGAAATGCATCTGATATCATGTTGCCGATAAGTGCCATGATAATCACAGTGAAGATGGCCTAAGTGGGTGAAATGCATCCTATATCAGCTATCATATCTCTTCTCTTCCATTCCCGCCTTCCTTTCGCTCTTCTCATGGGCGGAAGCCAAGAGTGTCTGGTTGGACGTCTGCGATTGCGTACCTCAATGCCCCGAAGGACTAGGTTAACCGTTCTCAGTCCCATTTTGACGGTCCTCGTTGTGCACGCCCTTTAACCAACTATATGGCGAGAATGTATGAGATGTGATGAAAGTAAATTGAAATACCGAATGTTGCAATATTAGGCACTGTATGTCAGATCCAAATAGGGGAGTATAATTGATAACTTCCTGAGATGAATTGCACGATTTAGAATTCAACAGAGAAAAAAAAAAGAAAGAAGCAGCAGGGTGAGAAATATGCAGAAGGGGGGGGGGGGGCAATTCGGCATATTCGGGCTGCGGGGCAGGTTGACCAAATAGCTACGTCATATAACTTTCTTTTCAGCATTCATCAGAAGGTATATACTTGAGGCCACTTTTGACTTTCTCTTTTAAAATTGCTCTTTTTGTCTAGATGTGGCTCGGTACATCTAATGCAGTCTTCTGTTAGGTACCCAGGGTAGAAGTCATACCATGTGGTGCAGGCCTAGATTTTCTGTCAAAGCAAGCCGTGATGGAGCAAAACATTCTGTATCACAATCTCATCTCATCGCAGTTATATTCTGTCGAGCTGTGGCCCAAATCCCACACCACTAGTATATTCAAACAGTTATCGAGGACACATCTACCCGCTCTAGCAAAAGCTACACTCCAAGATTACCACCCCGGAGTCAAAGGGGGAAAGTATGGGCTCATAGCATCCCGTGTTTCATGTGTTGCCTGTGTCAATCAATTCAGATTAGCAAGCTGTCAAACGCCAAAATCAAAGGGGAGGGGTCTTCCACGTCGTTGCCCATGTCAGCAAGGAAAGACAAAACAGACGGGGGATCTATGTACTCATCTAACATCCCTGGCCCGACCACCCAAACAATTTCGCCATTCACAGTCGCTACAATGTTGCCGCGTATCTCGATCCATGGGATTCGAGCATGGGTCGGGAGCTTCCATCGTGGCTCCTGGCTAGCACATGCGCTGAAATAAACTTTTGTACCAGAAGAAATAGCTTCTAATTGACTTGTATTTTACCTAAGTAGCTAGCTACCTAGGTATGTAAGAGGAGATCGGTGATACAAAGATGATGTAATGGCAATGGTAGAAGAGCTTTTGTTCCGGTGACGTCTGTTGCCAAGGAGTCGATGTGAATGCCATCACGTGATTTTTGGATGGAACGTTGGGGCCCCTAATAGAGATGCTGTGGTGTATCCCATGTTTACTTTAACTTCTAGTTATGGACAGGGGGGATTTGCTATGACTGAGATCGAGGGATCATAACTCACCCCCAGGTCTGATTAAATTTTCCATTAATATGAACTAATAAACTGGGAAATGTCTGGACCCGCGGCAAAGAGACAACAGAGAGGGCAACTCAATATACATATATATACATGTATATAGAGTCCCTGCTGAACACCATACAAGTGCATTTTATAAATATATGGCCCTCTTGGAACATAAGAATCCAACAAATGGTTACCACCGGAACCGGGGTCCTATCTAGAAGCTAGTCAGTGAGCGGTACGCAGTAGGAAACGAAGCACAAAACAGAAGCGGGGAAAATCAATAAAGTAGGGATCATCAGAGAGAAGATTAAATATTCGTCCTGGCCCGATGAAAAACAAAGCCCCGTTCCCTCGAATTCATGGCCTTTTCCAGGGACAGAATAAGATGAGAATGAGATGTATGAATTTCCCAAGTGGGCATACGACTAAGGATGACGATATGGTATTTCTCATCATTTGGTCGCTTTTCCTTTCCCCGGCCCCTTTTCTTGTGTGTTTTCTTCCTTTTTGGAGTTGGTGAAATAAACAGAAGGGGGAAATGATTATAACCTACATATAATTCAAACTCCAATATTGATGTAGCCGTATCATTGTAATACCGAACCAGCGGTAGCGGTAGACATAAATAACGTTAAACCTGGTATTTCCATTCCTTTTTGATAATATGCAAACACACTGGATATCCGTACTTTTCTATCGTCGTCTGGTATACATTCTCCGAAAGTTATGGCAAGGCGTTGCAAGTGAATAAACACCAGAAATGGGATATGTTTATTTTTCGACATATGTACGGATGGTGTTGACTGGCCCGGGAAGCATCGGAAATATGCAACACGCCGCCGAAATGATCGTAAAACGAAATTTATTTCATTCTCCTTCCGCTGAAATACCTTGTTGGTTTCCTTTTTTCTGGATGTGTGTCTGTATGTCACATCAATGCGTAGCAATCATATAAAAAAAGAGCAAATGGTATCGAATAACCGAAAATCGCAACATCGTCATCGTCGTCAGCATCATCATCAACATCATCATACATATGGATTTGAGTCTGAGAAAGGGCCTAATGCAAAAAGCAACACCACGACTATAACACCTAAATGACCAAAGGAGGTAGCTAGGGCAAATGTAAGGAAAAATTCCGAAAGAGGAACAAGAAAATGACCCAATTCTTAATTCGCAGCAGCCAACTGCGCAACCAAATCCGATGCAACGTCCAAGAATGGGAAGGGGCTAGTGACTTCTTTCTCCTTATTTCGAATCCGCTTGCTTACCGGCCTCCACTCAGCAGCACCGGCACTACCACTACTACCTCCCCTCTCGTTCTCAACACGGATTACATTCTGGTACCCATCGCATTTGAAGTCGACCATGAAATTGTTCTCTTCCAATTGGTATAGTTGAATATCGATGAATACCCAAACGCCGTGTACAATCCCGCCGGGGTGCTGGAGTAAGGATGAGGACGAGGATCCTAGGGCGGGCGTTGAGGACGCTAGAGCTGCACCACTAGCGTTGCCACTACCGGTTCCGCCAGAAGTTGTGGGGGCAGGGCCTGTCAGGCTTGGGTTATCCACCGAATTACTCCTGCACAGGGCGGCGGTGGCAGCTGCCTTCTCTTCCGGATTTGTTAATAGGTTGATTCGTCGACGGTATTCTTCTAGATCACTGCGGCTGGAATGGCTACTGTTTGATGGACCTGGAGCAAGGACTCCCTCCTTGAGAAGCCGGGCTCTGATGAACCAGAGATCTTTGGGGATGTAGTAGTCTGATGGAAGGTTGGGATATTTGTTCTGCAAGGGTTTTGGTATTTCTGATGACATTTCAGGGGTTGCCGGGGGATCGTTGTCTGCGGTACGGGAAACGGGGATGTTAACTGGGGTTTATTCTAATCAAAACTAATGACTAGTAAAATAACATAAAAGACTTACCAGATTCAGCAGGTTGGATTTCCCAAACGCCACCTTGCGCCTGAATAGCTTTATACAAACACAACATGGCTTCATATGGCTGGTTGCGAGATCGAATACCAAACTGCCACTTACGCGATCTTTTCGGCTGCGAAGAAATCTTCTCGAGCCCTTCGGGCGGCTCCAAGCTAAGCTTTTCCAGATCAACAAGGCTGCGTGAATGGGGCTTGAGTGACCTTGCAGTGGCAGCCTGCTCTTCCGGAGACTTCTCTTTGTGGCTATCCGTCTCGATCTCGGTACAGTCCTGCTGTTGCTGTCGCCCGAGCGATTCCTCCGTCGACTGTTCGTAAGACGGAGCATGTCGCTCCCTCTCCCGTTGGTCCATTATTTGTGTGTGAACGTACGGTAAACTCGTAGGTAGAATGCGTACATGGCTGACGCGCTCCTCTTCGACCTCTGGAATGGTGAACGCTGGCACCGGTGACGGTGTAGATGCTGGAGGGGGGGATGTTGAGAGTTGCCCTCGATGAGCGGGGGGTGCCGCCAGATTTGCATTTTTGGCGCTACGGGTAGAGCCACCAACAGGAATAGGTGAAGCCGAGGATTCTGGGGAAACAGGTGAGGTGACTGGCGATTCGCTAGAGTCGGTAGGGGCTACGAACAAGTCAGTATTAACATGCTCGTAAAAATAAAAATATCAATTGGGATCTGAAAATTAAAAACCTACAGTTCGTCTGCATCATCTCATTTTCCACCATGATGAAGAACGCGTCCTTGATCGCACTTGGTTCCGGGTTCTTCAACGCGTCATATATGTCTTCCCTATCAACACCCATTCTCTGCTCGAGCTTGGTAATCGCCTTCTGTTGAATTTTCTCCTGTACAGCAAGTGGCCGCCCGGGTGCGATCTTGCGGGGGTCAATGGGTCCGTTGGGATTTGCTCCCGAGCTGACCCACTCCTCTGCTGGGGGCTGGAGATATTTCGGCAGATTCTTAAGAAACCAAGGGTCCTGGCGGATCTCTGGGATGGTGATTCTATGAACAGGATGTACCTGTAGCATGGCCCGTATCAATTTGGCAGCACCGGTCGACACGTACGACGGCATATGGAAGTTTCCCGCAGCAATCTTTTTAAATAGGGCGGGAATATAGTCGTCATCAAACGGAAGCTTGCCAACCAGTAGCACATAAAGGATCACGCCACAACTCCATACATCCACCTCTGGACCTGCATAGAGCTTCCCCGATATGACTTCCGGTGCAGCATAGTTGGGGCTCCCACAGCTCGTTTTTAAGAAGTTCCCGTCAGTCATGATATTGCTCAGGCCGAAATCGGCTATCTTGACGTTCCTATCTTTGTCAATGAGCAGATTTTCCGGTTTCAGATCCCGATGAACGATCTTGTGACGATGACAGTATTCGACTGCGCAAATTATCTGTTGGAAAAACTTGCGGGCTTCTTCATCGCTACATCTCCCACGCTTCACCAAGTAGTCGAAAAGTTCTTTTTCCGCATACTCGAGCACCATGACAATATCGGTCTGCGTTGCAATCACGGTGTACCTATACCCCCACAACAAAATAATCTGGTTAGTTCAACAAAATCCTTGGAGCAAGTTGAAATATACCAAAAAGACATCCAAATCTGAGAAGGGAACTACAAAATCACTGTACGTACAGTTTTATAATATGCGGATGCCGTAAGAGCTGTAGATATCGTATCTCCCGATCAATCCTCCCTACCATATCCCTAGAAAGCAGCTTCCGCTTCGGTATGATTTTTAGCGCTACCTGCCTCCCGCTCGCCTGGTGCACTGCCAGCTTGACTTTGCCAAACGAACCCTCGCCCAGTATCTTAACGGTAGTGTACTGGTCCAGTCTTTGCATGTCCCGGGCAGTGTCAGGAGATTGATCGGCGTAGTCTAGACGGGTACGTTTTGGTGGTATAACGGGATGGCCGCGGTTCTTGTGCGACGGGGTGCTATCGCGCTCCCGGGATGGGAGGGATACGGAGAGGTCCTCCTCATCGAGTGCTGCCGCCATGGATGGGGCGATTTAGTAGAGATTGATATTCCGAGTATTTTTCGTATTATATATTTTATATATCTTTCTTTCCCAATATATATATGCGATGCAGGCGTCGTCGGATAGATAGGGCTGCGGAACAATGACGACAGACGGTCTGTGGATTTTGGCTAGCGTGAGCGCTTTGACTTTTATTTTATATCCGTGAGAGTCGAACTAACCCATTGATATCGGGTATGTGTTCTTGCGTCGATATAGGCGGATATATCCCACAGTAGAGGCGGGTGGTCGTGGGCTTCCTTAAGGCTGTGGTGGTGGGCTGGTGATGTCGACAAAGTTTGGAGGGGGAATATTTAATGTGTAGCCACCATTTAGCTGCATGCAGGAAAACTGCGGAGAACACACACCTGCATAGTAGTTTATATAATATCGTGAAAATGATGGAAAGCTAATGTACTAGTACTTAAGAACTGATTATGATTGTCATTAAATAATATATATACTGGTAATATCGATGTTGTATAGTACTGTACAATCGGATTCTCGCAACAGCTACGAAATGAGGCAAAGGGTCTGTCGGTGAAATCTTCTCTAAGGGCGTAGCCAGCGTTGCATTTCCTATATATCCGGTGTAACTATATCAGGACGGCTAAGGAAGAAGAAAATATGTATATATATATATATAAAAAGGTAAGTAAATACATGAAGAACAGGCAACTCAGAGCGCCTGTTCAACACTAGGCAGTCAATCACCCAACCGCCAACCTCCATATACCATGCGCCATATCTAATCTGACGGGTAGAATAATGTACAGGTTAGGAATGGGTCATTTCCTTTTTTGTTGCTCACCCTTTGCCAGCTTTTTGTGCAGCTAACAGAAAAATAATAATGCTAATAATCACATCGAAAAGAAAAAGAATCAACTATGTAAAAGGTCAAAATGGCGCAAAATTTCAAAAGTAGAAACAAAGGAATAGGAGATGTTTGAAATCCAGAACCGTAACGCCAGAACACCATGCTGATTTTGTTGTATGAAGTAGAAAATTATGTTTGAGTGGGCCAAAGCCACGAGGCGATTGAAGGGCAATTGGTTACTCCAATGCTGGATAATGCAGGGTGTCGAGGATATTCCATGTCCGCTGGCGAGATCCCAACTTAACCATCGTCATCGGCATTGTTATGGGAATGGGGTTGCTCGTGATGACCGTGAACGCCGTGCATCCAGACACGCTTCCACGGCCCCTCATGGCCAGCTTCACGATCCTCCCGCATCCCCTCCAGGACACCGACGATTCCGCCATTTCGTAACCGCTCCAAAACCACGTTCATGCCCTGCTTGCTCCTCAGCACAGCATCTCGGGTCCGCTTTACGCCCACGAGTTCAATTGTCCGCTGGATCCCGGCCGTTGACCATGATGCAAGGAGGCCTCGTCTGCTATGAGGATCTTCCTCAGCATGTTCGCCTGCTGAGAAAGAGTCGATCTTCTTGGGACGATTGAGCATCGCTTGCCCTAGGCTTGATCGAAATATAACAGTGGTTTTCACGCTTGTCCTCTCATCCTTTGGCTCATCAATGGACGAGCCTGACCACCACGTCCGGGGTTTGGAGCTGCCGTTTTCCGATGGGGGAGGGAGGCGTCGGTATAGTTGCTTCTCCACAACGCTGAGGATGCCCGTCCACTCCATATTCCGCGATTCCGTCTGCATCCAGCCTTCTTTCAGGTCTACAACGGTAGTCTCAAGGATAAAACTTTGGCCTGAATTCTCACTGCCACCAATTCCCTTGGGCAGCAACTTCAACATGGCCGAGGGAATCTTGGATCTCTTGAGTATCAGCCGGGTAGTATGCAAGCGCTCTGTGATAGGATCGACATAGCGATCAATGACATCGGTCGTCAGGACATGGCGAGAGTAAGGGTTCGGATAACGGAGGAAGTAGGCGAGGGAGACAGCGGGAAAAGAGTAGTCGTAGTTGAAGGTGCTTTCGAAGAACTTCATCGTCAAGGCATTGGCGTCTAGTCTCGCCTATCAGAAGAGATACCGAAGAAGCTTGACGACTGGCGGAAGAGACTCAAACTGCGAACTACGGGAGTTGGATATCGACAACGTCAAGCTGCTTTCTTTTTTCGTTTCTTCGATCTTTGCCCTCCAATTCAATGCCTTTTTTGCCCGCTTTTGGTTGGCCTGGAGCAGGAGGCTTAGTCATCATGCGCTAACTAAGTCTATTACGGTAACTTTGCTGGAAGCTCAGCGTTATTGACCAATAGAAACTCAGAAAAATATTCACCAATCAGAGTAGCAGATGCGTTCTTATTATACCCTAGCGAAACTATGTACGTCCTTATAGGTGAATCGAATGATTCAAGCAGAACACGAGAAAGGACAAAAAAAAGGAAAAGGAAAAGGAAAAGAAAAAAGGAAAATGTGAAACAAAAGAGAGAGAAAAAAGCCCTTGTGTGCCTTAACACATAGTTACCCGGGCGAGGTTTTGCACTTGTGCATATAGGACCCAGGGCCTTCCATATGACTACAAGCGTGGGTGGCGAGGAGGGCTCCTACACTAGTAGAGCACGGATGATATGAGTTTTCCGAGTGCTGACAATCAGCGCTCCATTCCCAATGTCCCCAGGAGCAGTTGTTATACACAACGCTTTTCTGAGAATCTGTCCAGAACACCGGCTTCGTTCTCCGTCAAACACGTCACGCCTTACAGTGGCTAGAGCTTGGATGGGGGGCTAATTGAGATCAGTCGCCAAAAACTGGGCCTCTATTTCAACACAAGCGGTTACTAGATCGACAGAACCTCGAACTATATCAGACGGGATCATGAATGGGTCAAATCCAAGTGAGGAACAGTCTTCATTGAATAGCTCGAGATAAGCAGATCCTGTGTCGTCAAGCACGAGAATGGTATGTATTAATCCAGACCAAGGAAGCCTAACGTTCACATAGATCTAGAAGAAACATGGACGGAATAAGATATCATTTTATTGTACATACATAGGATTACCCCGCAATGAAAGAAGCTCAATTTAACCTACGCTAAGCATATCGGATTGTTCGTATACGCGTGGGTCATTGGGGATTCTCTGAGGATCGCGCGGATGAGTAGACAGAGAAGCAAGTTGGGGAACCGGAGCAGAGACCTAGAAGATAACACACACAAAATTGGTTTCCAATGCCCAATTTGTTTGAAGGCCCAGAAAAAGTAAATTGAAACGTACCGATTCGCCCCAATGCCCTCCGGCCCATGTTCTGCTCTCCATTTTGGCAGCTCCTCCTCTAAATTGACCGGCTCCCGAGTTGGGGCAATTTTCATATGACCGTTATACCAGTAGGATACTGCACCACTAACGACTTTCAGGGTCCCATTTCTGTAGGCTTCCATAACAGCTTTGATATTCGTACGATATAGAGTCGTCCAATCCGCATCGTACAACTCCTTCAGGGTTTCTAGACGATAGTAGGCTATAGGTTGAAGTCCTGGCGGTTCAGAAGGTGGAATACTAACATTATTTGTGAGCTGAGACTCATTTAAGAAGTTTTGGCCTCGCTTCGTAGACATTTAGAGGACTTACGGAGGTCCTGGAGGAGTACGGTTGAGAAAACATAGGGAAGGTAACGCTCCTTCAGACTTTCGACCATGTCAGGCCGCTGTGCCACAGTAAACCTTTCAATTTGCTCCTTCGCAAAGTTGAGTTTCCAATCTCTCCACCTAGCACGAGCATATCAGCTTGATTATTTATACGAAGCTATGAATAGCATAGATGAGATCATGTTTGAAAGGAGAAACAGCTCTCATCAATAGGAAGGCAGGTGGTGAGTTCTACTTCTGATACTCAACAGGATCAAAAAGCGCCTTCATAATGGCTTTCTTGTCCCAGCATGCCCATTCCTCTTCTATTACTAGGATGGCCGAATACGGCTCTGGTGTTTCTTTTGGGATCTCCATGCTTCGCTATCGAAGGGAGTCGAAAGGGTGTCGTAAACAGGTTACATAGTAAGTAGAGAGATGGGTGGCGAAATTATATAGAATGTGATTGGTAAGCCCGTTTAAGTAACAACCTCTATTCCAAGGTTAACCTTTCAGTTATAAGAACCCTGTAATTCTTACAGGCTCATCCATTTATTTCACTTATACAAAATCATTTTTCAACAATCTACTCTATATCTAGAGGCATATTGGGTAGATAAGCTAATTTAACGTCTGCTAGTGCCCGCCGGGTGCTCACGGCCCGTAGCCCTAGTTCGGGCTAGTTCAAGGGTCGCCTCCAGCTACTACCCGACAAACCCTTACGAACATTCAGGAATGTGATCCAGGAGAGGCATGAGATATTGTTTGGTTTGGGAGGTCGTTTTGTTCGTATGGCAGACCACTGCGGTTTCAGTCGTCGTTTGAGCCTTTATCCTCCGCCCAATTGGGTGCGGTCACCGGCCAAACTGCACAGCGAAGCGATGCATATATCCTGCCCAATGGCGCCTAAATGTGCAAATCGACTGGTAAAACTCCAGCTAATGATGGCGTGACACCAATGCAGAGCAGCGCCCGCCTTGTAATTGGCGGCTTCGGGATCAGGCTGGCAGGCAGGCAATGACATGGCTTGTCACTCTGAACCTCATCGATCATGGAGAAAGCAATTCTATCCTTTCGTGAATTACGCTTCTTCGTTGATGAAGATTGTCTTCTATGCGTTGAGGATGCTTTATTATGGAAGCAGTCAGTGCAGTTGCAAATATTGTTGCGCTCGTGGAGGTGACCGCGAAGATTGCCATTGAGTGTCTCACGTATATCAATGCGGTCAGGGCTGCGTCTGCTGATAAACTACTCCTCGAGAAGGAAATCAATTCCTTGCTCGACATTCTCGATGATGCCAAGCAACTTCTGAATGGTCCCAATACCGCGAAGCTATCTTCCTCGCAGAAACTACACAATGCGGTTGTCGACTGCCACTCGCAGCTCTCAGAGCTGGAAGCCAGAGTCAAGCCGAAGAAGCCCCGCAAGATCGCAGGTTTCATCAAATTTCGGTCGTCTTTAAAGTGGCCCTTCGAGAGCAAAGAGTTCGAAAAACGTCTCCAGAACATGGAGCGATGTAGGAATACTATACTTTTAGCATTGCAGATTGATCAAACGTAAGCCACACATCAATTTGAACTGGTTTTTAAGGGATTATTATCTAACAATGAGTGTATACAGAGTTGCTATTCTCAGCATAGTAGAGAATCAAGATAACGCAACACTCTCAACAGTTCTATCGCACCTACCCTCTGCTGAGGGGGCATCTTTCGATTCTCATGCCAACGAGGGTGACCCAAAATGCCACCCTGATACCCGAACGGATATCCTTCAGCAGATTTTTAACTGGGCAACGGATCAACAGTCCCAGGCCATCTTCTGGCTAAATGGGATGGCTGGTACCGGAAAATCTACTATTTCACGAACTGTGGCTCAAACCCTTTCTGGCATGGGCTTTCTAGGTGCCAGCTTCTTTTTCAGAAGGGGCGAAGGCGACCGTGGCCATGCAGCGAAATTTTTCACTACCATTATCGCCCAGATGGTGTCCAAATTGCCGGTGTTGTTAGAACATGTGAAAAAGGCTATTGAAGCAGATCCTGACTTGGTCAAGAAGGCTCTTACCGAGCAATTTGAGAAATTTATTTTGGAGCCTTTGCTTGAGTTGACGGGACGGTTTCCAAAGGCACCACATCTCGTTATTGTGATTGATGCTTTAGATGAATGCGAACGCGAGCAAGATATAAAAGCCATCCTTCACCATTTGGCCAGGACGAAAACTATTCAGTCGATAAACTTGCGGATCTTCGTAACTAGCAGGCCGGAATTACCGATTCGATTGGGTTTTTAAGGCCATGGCAGGAGACATGCATCGTGACGTAGTATTGCATGATATCCCACGCCCCGCCATTGCGCATGATATATCAGTTTTTCTGAAGCATGAACTATCGAAAGTCAAGGACGATCATAACCAATCGCTCAGCACGTCCGACTCCTTTCTACCTCCAGATTGGCCTGGACAACGTCGCCTCAACATCCTCGTGGACATGGCGCTACCGCTCTTCATTTTTGCGGCCACTACGTGTCGATTTGTTGGCGATCCCAGATTCCACCCAGAAAAGCGCCTAGGGTTGGTACTAAAATACCGAACAGCCGCGCAGACATCCAAATTCGACAAAACTTATCTTCCAGTGCTGGACCAGTTACTCACTGGTCTCGATGAAGACGAGAAAGAGGTTATGCTTGCTGAGTTCGAAGAAGTTGTTGGCTCAATTATAATTCTCACAGAGCCTCTGTCCACAAATTCACTGGAAAATCTCCTCGGGCTTGAAAAACCGGAGGTCGACCGAAGACTGAAAATGCTTCACTCGGTCCTGAATGTTCCAAATAACCAAGATTCCCCCGTCCGGTTGTCACATCTTTCATTCCGCGATTTCCTTATCGACACAAAAAAGCGCGGCAAATCCCCGTTCTTTCTCGACGAAATGAACCAACACAAGCGCGTAGCTTCTAGATGCCTTGACTTATTATCTCGGCCTGGGGTTCTGAAAACGAACATTTGCGATATAAAAGTACCTGGCACGTTTAGAGTGGATATTGACAGGAAGACGATAGATATGTGCCTCCCGAATGAAGTAAAGTATGCCTGCCGTCATTGGGTATATCATTTGGAGCAGAGTGGCGATCATATCCGCGATGAGGACCGAGTCGATAAGTTCCTTCAGGAGCGTTTCATTCACTGGCTTGAAGGCCTCGCACTCATGGGGAGGATTTCAGAGGCGATCCCAATGATCAAAACGCTGCTAAATTTAACTGCGGTAAATAAGTAGCCCTGTGTTCAAAAATGTTCGTCGTCCCTCTAACTAACGTTTTAACAATATAGCCCGGTGAGAGCAACGCTCTAGCACTATTCCTCAATGACGCAAGACGTTTCGTTCTGAGAAACAGGCAGATTATACATACTGCACCTCTTCAGGTTTATTCGTCAGCTTTGGCTTTCGCTCCAGAGAGCAGCGTTGTCAAAAAGCAGTTTAAAGATCATGTCCCGTCGTGGATCCGCCGTGTGTCGGGTCTCCTCACTGACTGGGGGGATACCCTGCAGACGCTTGATAGCAACACTGGATATATTGCAAAGATTCTCTTCTCGAGCGATAATAAGTTGCTTGCCGCTGAAACAAACGAGGCAGTCATACTTTGGGACGCTGAAACCGGAGAACAGAGGCAAAAATTCCAACATCCTCCCAGCAGCTACGACTTTGCGTTTGCTTGGAATAGTGATCTCCTCGCCATTGCGGCCCGTTCTTCGATACAGATAATTAAACCGTCTACAGGAATGGTACTCCGGGAGCTACCTGCTCAATCCGAAGAACGTTTCGTAACTGTTCTATTCTCACCGAACGATAAGGTTCTAGCGTCGGCATCTCCCCATATCATACGGCTGTGGGACCCCGATTTAGGAGAGCTTCTACAGACGATTGAGACAGGCGACCCTCCTTGGCATAACCATCTTTGTTTCTCCGGGGATGGTAGTTATCTAGCCTTTACACTAAGAGAACGAGAAATCAAAGTGTGGGACGTACGTGAGAAACGCCTATTGCGCACATTTACCGGACATAAGCACCGGGTGCGCAATTTCTCATTTTCACACAGCGGGGATATTGTCTCAATGTCAGAAGATGTGATAAAAATCTGGAATCCGTCAACCGAGGAAGCATTGCACTCCTTTGAAGACCACGGGGGCTTGGCTACTGTGACCGCATTTTCCGCCAACCGTAAGCTTTTCGCACATTGCTCCCCTAGCTGGATTCTAATCCGAGAGTCATCCAATGGGAAAGTATTGCGCAAATTCACCGCAGAATACCCAAAGTCGATGATGGCATTCGCGGAAAACGACGGGCTCCTTGTTGTGGCATCTGAATCCATCATTATCATTATAGATCTAGGATCTGGCAGTATCAGTCACGTCCTCACAGGCCATAAAGGTATAGTAACAAGCATTGCGCTTTCGGGAGATACTAAACTTCTTGGATCTGCGTCGATGGATTATACTGTTAGACTCTGGGATTTGAACATAACTAAGTCGTCTGGTGACACGGATCCTTTTCCCATACTGTCCATTGCTCTCTCCAAAGATGTTAAGCTCTTGGCCGCCTCACAGTATGATGGAGGAGTTGCGATATGCGATAACCTTGTTAATCTCAAATTATTCATCAACGGAAACTGGTTTAGCCACCTGGTCTTCTCAGAAGATAATAGGTTCTTGACTACCTTTTCTCAAACTGATAAGGCTGTCACCCTAACCGATCTGTCCAATGGCGAAAATGAGCTGCTGCTTGATCTAAGTCACATTGAGGCCCGTTATCCTCGCGCTATGCCCTGTATCTTCTCGGAGGATGGAAAAGCATTTGCTCTGTCTGACTATGACGACAGGATATGCCTTTGCAATCTGGAGAAGAAAACCACCCAGTTCTTGCACAAACCTGGAACTGGGACCCCATGTAAATTTTCAGATGACGGATCTTTGCTCGCTTCCTCAACCCGCCGCTCGGGTTCCCCTTGCGACATAATCGCTCTGCATGATGTCTCCACAGGAAAGCATCTCCGAGACATTGAAACCCGATGCTTAATCAGAAATGGAGCTATTGCGTTCTCGAAAGATAACAAATTGCTGGTCATAAAGGATTCTCATACGGTGGAATTGCTGGATATAGCAACAGGGGCAGAAGTGGGAAAGGTTGAAACCGACACTGGATTCTGGGAAATTGGAGGCTCTCCTGATGATTTTTCAAGCGTTGAAGTTGAATCCGGATTGCTAAACATTCCAAATATCACAACCGTCACGCAACCAGCATCGGAACGACAGCCCGTGTTGAAGCTCTATTTTCAAGACGAATGGGTGATACGCAACGGCGAAAAGTTTCTCTGGGTTCCGCCGGAATACTGCCCAGACAGCCCGGCTCGTATGGTCTGTCGGAATAACACTTTTCTGTGGGGGAACCATCTTGGGGTAGCCACTCTTGTTGAAATTGAGTGTCCGTGAGGATGGTATGGATTACCGGGGGGGGGGGGGAGGGTTGTTCTTATGGGGATTTTTTTCGTTCCATGCCGAGGATTGTATTGTTGATTGTCATTCTGAAATCTGAATTTTGAATATCACACGGGGTTTTGCAACTCGGAGGTACTTTACGGCGTGCCCGTGTGCTCCATCTAAGTATACCATAGAGCATAAAAGGCCGTTGTCAGCAGCACATTGATTTCGAATGACTCCAACCTAGGAGTGGCGCTCGTCAATGATAATCATCTTTCTTAGAGATATAGTTTGTTGTTATGAAATTCACATATATGGAAATGGAGGAAATTGGGAAAGGATATTCAACTCTGCTGCATACTGTGTGACATGACATTATTAACTCACGGGCACAGCCAGTACATCGGGCTAATGAACTGAACAACCCTAACGGTTTTTTAGATGGAGGGGCAGACGTGAAAATAAAATAATTCTAAAGATAATTCGCGGAAGGAACGCAAAAACAAAAAAAATGAGGACCGCGCACATGCAGTGTATGTACAGTACGCTATTACAATATCTCTATCCCATTCAAAGTTTGGACATAGTTACTCGTTTCGATGATATCCTCGGAATTTTGCTCTGCTAACCCCGCTCTATTTTTTGTCCCGTTCAGTACAACGCCTCTATTGCTACTGTAATCACCTGGCTCATCTCAGCCCTTCAGGACACGGTCGTACTTTATATTCCTCACTGTTCCCCCCTGCATGGCTGTTCGAACGTTGCGCTTGAAGCCCTCACGGTTTAGCCGAAGGTCATCAGCGACTTCTTGGATCAAGGGATCTTCGTATGTAGTGTGCATGAAGATATGCTGTTTGTTTGCGTGCTGGTGTTAGTCTGGGAACGCATAGTTTATTTCACTTTCTTCATTGTGGTTCTACATTTCTCCTTGGCTAAAAGGAGGGGAACGCACCAGTAGGCCAAATGCAACCGCTTGGACATCCAGCGCGGCTGTCCACCCTTCTCGCAGTATATTCAGACACACATTCCCTTGCGGATCGATATTCGGGTGGTATATCTTCTGAGTGCACTTTACTCGAGGAGGTGCATACGGGTACTCGTGTTCGGGAATCTCAAAGTCGAACTTAAACGAACCACCCTTGTACACACCCTCGTCAGGCTCGATCAATACGCTAAAATGAAACGGGTCATCACCATCCTTCCACAGAAATTTAATCGGACGTGCAGTCCCTCTGCTGTCTTCCTCCTGTTCTCCGACCCGGATTAGATCTGTGAGCGTGCATCGACGAAGTTCATAGTTAATTTACGCCAGTCGGAAAAGATTTTCGCCTATCACAAAATATTGATGTTGGCAAAACATACCATGTTGAATTCGGGTTTTAGCACCTCCGACTTTATTCTTGACCTGCCCAGCAGCAGCAGCCTCCTCTTGCTGCTTCTTTTTCTGTAGCACAGGGACAGTTAGTTTCTATGTATTCTGTCTCTAAAAAAAATAAAAGCAGAAGCCAGGGAGTATAAGCAGTGAATGATAACGAAGTGCTGGAGGTCCAGGGATATTTGAAAATGGAGTGCCAAAAGGGGAAGGGAGAAGATGATGTCAATAACAACAACGCACAGCCAATTTAACTTACCAAAGACAATATCTTCAACATCTTGCAAAAAGAAAACCCCTGCGCTCCAGGTACACAATCACCAAAACAAAAGCGTTATATGTGCAAAGTATATGCAAAGGATACCACACAACAAGCCTCGCCTGTTGTCTGCCTGATACCCCGTCCTTCTCGTCTCGTATTTTTCCCGTTTCCTACCCTTGCATCCCGTACACACACACACAAAAACAGCGTCCCGTGTGTTTTTCCCCCTGATACTTTTCTGTTACGTTTGCGCCGTAGACCCTTAACAACAAAATGAGAAAAAAAGAGCAGAATCAAAAAAGTCAAAAACTTTTGCTGGATTCCAACCACCGATTCTTCCTCCCGTTAACAAAAGAAACAAGAGACTTTCGTATTCTCCCTCCTAAAGCCGTGTAGCCAGCCGGTTCAGCCGTTTCTGAAAACCACTCAAAAAGAGACGAGACGAAAAAGAGAGAGAACCCGAGATGAGAAAACGGTGTAACCGTCCCCAGACGTGAAAGATTTTTTTCCAGCCCAATTCAGTTGTGTATATCGAATTTTGCCTTGGGCTTGGGTTGGTTATCAGACGAAAGCACGTCGAGTTCGTAAGGTAGGAGGAGGGTAGGAAGAGGGCAGGGAGGTTCGTAATAGGTAGAGCGCTGGGCGGAAGGGGGCGGGTTTCGATCGATTGATATCAGCGGGGAGAGGCTGGTTTATGGTCCAAAAAGAAAAGGGAAAATGAGAGGTCGGAAGCAAATGAAGCGTTTGTGAAGTCAAGGTAACCTAAGCCGGGATCTTCTATGTTATATTATCTTATTACCTGATCCCGCTGAAATAGGAGGTAGAACAGAGAGAGAGGGGGGGGGGAAGGGGGCAAGGGGAAGTGGCGTGTGATTTCAGGGTATGTACACGGGCCAAGTGCTCTGGTGGATTATTTTTGTACTATGCTGTGTCAGAGAAATGAGGGGGGAGAGGGGGCAATGAAAATACTAGACTGTGAGGTTGTTGACGGTTTGAAGATGAGAGAGATTTCAAAGCCAACGAGGACAACAGCACAGGATGGGATGACATGACGATAGTTTGGTTTGGTTTGGGGCAAGACACGTGATGTTGCCTGCCAAAAATTGGTTAAGGCTAAGTTTAGCGGCGGCGCCTGGAAGTGGGCTGGTTATAGGGTTGCTTGGGGTGCTTGGGGTGCTTGGAGGGGTGGAAATCATAGGCTGTCGTGGTGGATAGAACAGCGGCGGCTGTGCAGATTGGTTTTTGATATAGGCAGCAGAAATTGACAGTTTCTTAACCGTTGCAAAAGTGGTTTGTCTCTTTCTTGAAATAAAGGGCTGTAATGCAGGCTCCCGAGCACTTCAATGTGGGTATACATATTCTTTGCTGCAGACATATCAAGCACCATGGCGGGGAACAGAAAGTGAAAATTAAAACATCATAAGGCAGCATTGAAATGAACCTTTTCTTTGTAAAAGCTAAGGGGTCTAAGACCAAGGATTAAATCGGGGCAGGTAAGATGGAAAAGAAGAGGAGAGCAACAGACATAAAAAGTTACGACAAATAACGAAGACACGGGGCTTGCATGAAGTAGGAAAACTATTATTGTTTAGCTTGCAACAGTACCTATATCCTGTACGCAGCGTTGTGTCCTTATTATTCAATCAGATCATCATGAACGCGTTAAAAAGAGCCACAGTAACAACAGAAAGCAAGCGAGCCAACCAATCACGCATTTGCAAATAAGGAAAAGGAAAGAGAAGTAGGGGAGACCAAGGGACAAGAAAAAGAATGATAGAAAAAAATCAGCCGTCATCTAGGATTTAATACATTTACAACAAAAGTTAGGACGGAGCTAGACGTTAAGATCGACGACGAAAACAACAACGGCAGCAGCAGCAGCAGCAGAGTTGGGGGGAATAGAGAGGGACAACAGACATCACATTCCAGAGACTCTCACGCAAATCGGTCAGCACGCAACAAAAAGGGGAAAGAAAGGGAAAGAAAGGGAAAATACATCTTGCCATCAACGAAACATGAGGAAAACGACACAGGGAAAGTAATATGGGAAAATCGAAGGAGAAAATAAAACCAAAAGGGCATGTTCGTAAAAAATCAGGGGGGATGTGGCCAGCTGCCAGATGCCAGCTACCAGTTTCTTTCTTCGCTTTTCATTTTGTCGTTTCCCCTTTCTCTCTCCTTGGCTCTCTCTAGGTTTCGTGCCGCCGAAAAGATAAGCAAAGAAAAAAACAATCCATGATACCCCGCCAAAAAAAAAAAAAAAAAAAAAAAAAAAAAAAAAAAGGTAAGACAAATAAAACTACCGTCTCGCAAAGCAGCACATAATACCCGTCCGGCCAAGGAACCAACAAGCGCCGATGAAGCGGACTAGAGACAGCGCTGCGGTTGCCCACAGGAGAGCCTGGAAGAAATGTGTGGTTCGGTTGGTTGCTCGGGACTAGATTATTGGATGTTATGTTAGCAATGGGCATTCACAGGGGCGAAGGGAATCCGACTGGAGTGGGGTGGATGGGTCAAGCAAGCAAAAAGACAGGAAAGAATATACCGTAAATCCAAACTTATTAACATCCTCACTCGTGATAGCGACTGCAAGAATCCCATTCGAGAACAGCCACGAGGTTACCAACCGTGTCCGGAAACTCTTATACGAATCATCTAGAGACTTGCCCTCCTTCACCTTCGGCTCCACATAGGGCGTCAGCGCGCGCTTCACAGTGCTCTCAAACTGGCTATCAATATCTGCCTGCGGCTTGTCAATCTCCTCAATCACAGCGGCTTTGCCGTCATCTTCCTTTTGCGTCTGTGCAGAAGGGAGTGCGTCGGCTTTGTCGGCGCCTTTTGTTCCCCAGGAAACGTCGTGCCAGTTGCTGAAGGCGTAGACCATCAAGATGTTGATGTAGGAAGACATAATTAGGAGGTAGGCGGGGAAGGACGTGAACATGTGCCAGGGATCGAGGTACATGAAGGAGGCGACAAAGTAGAGACCGAAGGTTGCGGCGAGGGCAATGATGATGATTCCTGGTCCTTCGGAATTGAAGAAGGATTTGAAGAATTCACCAATGCCTTGGTCTGTTGTGAAAGCCAGTGTGCCACCGCTGAAAGCACGGATGACGAGATACATGGATAGGATGATGATGTACACTTGGATGAGGCCGAATAAGACGAAGGAGGTGATGTACGAGTGTTTGGATCTGAAGAAGTAATGGTTAATATATCGTCCGCTGTAATGATAAAGTAGGGAAGTCCACACTCCGAATCTGGGGGCTGCAGAATATGCCGGCGAGGCGTGTAACTCGTCACAATACAACCACCACAGAAATTACCACCGTACATCAACAGTGGGCATGTTCAGTGTGGTTATATTGTCATGAATTGGATGTTTCTGAGCTCCCCTGGTTCCTTTGTTGGGGATCATGGAATTATACGGTTAAAAACTCACCCTTTAGGCCGGTTACCCAACGACAAAATAAACTGTAAGAGTAGGAAGGCCAGATACAAGTATTTCAGAATCGTGTTTACAATTGGAGTAGCCGTGTTGCCGAATGGGAATGCTCTCTGCTGGTTCCCAGATTCTGGAGCGGGAGGACTGCCAACGAGGTCCATGATAACGGAAGTTGTGAGCCAGTAGGAAGCTAGAACATAGCATTAGCGATAATAGTCCAAAAACGAAAAAAAAAGAGCGTGAAAGGGATGAGTTTCTCTCGCGAAATAAGGATAGTAAATAAGACATACCAAGCGCAAACCAAGACATGAAAACCGTACACGTATTATAAATCATCTGAATATGGAAGAAGAACATGCGCAGGAGATTGTGGCCGCTCTTATACATTCTGCCAAAGTGCATGAGCGAGTAGATACTCGCCGCGAACGAGCCGTTGAGCCACCGACGACGCTGACCGATGAATTCCGCAGCTCCCTCAGGCACGTCAGTCTCCCCCTTGGACGATTTGACGTAGGACAAATGCCATTTAGACCCGGCTTTGGCTACAAGTTCGAAACACAGAATCCGATCCTCGGCCAAGAACATGTTCTTCTTGAAAATATTCATGCCCTCGATACCTTTGGGGCCAAGTTGTTTGGAAAGAGTATGGTCACCGTGGAAGTACTGTTCGAGCGGTCTACCCATGATTGCACGGAAGCGGTAAGCGGAGAAGGCACCGGGCAACACGCTGACGTATCCGAAAGAGGATTCCAGCGGTTTATCCAGGATGTTACTGATTTTGTATTCGAAGTTCTGCGCTGCGACGAGGGGGTTGATGAGGTTCTTCCAGCCCTTACCCAACATAGCGTGGATCTCACCGCAGGACCCACCAAGATCTTTGTCGTTGTAAAAAGCTTCCCAAAGTGCAAGTAAGGATTTAGGGCCGGGTTTGGTACCTGCGTCGAGCAGGATACAGATTTCCGGGTTGAGGATTCGGCCAAAAGCATTGAACAGCCATCTGTGAGAGTTGATTTTCTTGCTGTTTTTCTGCTTTAGACAGAACATCATCTGCACGGGGGGAAGCGTCGATGGGCCGTCATCGTGTGGTCGAATCAGTTGTTGGTTTGCGGTGACGGATAGTTGGGTAGTATATTCAAACTGGACTGGTAGTTAGTAAAGTGGCGAGGGCAAAAATTAGACGGTGTGCATATGTACTCACAATATGAGCGATGGTTTCCTTTCCATCAACATCTTTCTTCATCACGCCGTCCTGGTAGACTCCAATGGTGGCGAGCACATCGAGGGTATCTTTGTCGCATGGGTCAATTCCGTCGAAGACCAGACAAACAACGATTTTTTGCCAAGCAGGTCCTCCCTTGTTCCAGAATTCAGACTTCTTAAGATTGACGATGTCACGGATATTTTGCATCACACCGTGCAGGGTGCGCGAAGTAAGCATCTTATCTTCGTTGTAGTAGGTAATAGCGATCAGCAGCTCGGTATGGCGGTTATACATTGCCGGGCGCAGATTGTAGCCATTGTGTAGGGTGAACTCATTGGGATCACACGTAGCAGCGGTGTCTAAGATACCAAATTAGCAAGGCGGCAGCTGTCTAGGGAAGTGGAAAAAAAAAAAAAAAAAAAAAGTGGGAGAAACAAAACTCACATCGCATATGGGTAAATTCCTCGCTACCACCCTCAAGGTCATTTCGGTATTTAGCCTGCACAGCATTCTGAATAGCACTGGGGACGGGATAATCGACACTGAGCACGGAGCCTTGAACCAGCTTAACTTTCCTGGTGGCATAACGGCGCAGGTTACCAGGAGCCTGTCGTTGACGCCAGGCCTCGGTGGAGGAAGTTTCGCTCCGAGTATAGGGGGATGGAACGCGGCCAGGGACACCGAAGCCCGCAGCTGGGTTTTCCATGTGGCCGCCGTATTGATCTTGGGACTGGGGATGGTCGGTTACGTAAGATTCTGTGAGGCTATATCTCGAGGGAGGTCGGACAGGAGAGCCACCGTGCTGATGATGGGGGTCGTCAAAGGGACCGCTGAATGGGCCTTGGTTTTGGTGGAGAAGCGATTGTGAGGCATCGTGTTCAGCGGGGAGATTATATTGCTGGAGGAGCGAGAAAGGGGTTAGTTAGCAAGGTTGTTGTTGTTCCTGCGTTGTATATACAAGTCTGAAACGAGAAGTAAATAGCAGCAGAAGTGACAAGGACAAGGGGGGGTTGATCTCAATGCCGCGAGCACTCCACCACCAAAGTAGCAATACGAATAAGGTGCTTGCTTACATTGCCAGACGGGGGGAGGTCATGTAGCCGATGGCCTTCGCCATAACCCCCTGGGGAGTTCGAGCCTGGATAGGCCATGATGAGGCAGCTGCGGTCACACAGTCAAAACGAGAGGCTGGTGGGCGATGCAGACAGGCAAGGGGGTTATGAGTGTTTGGCTGGGTGGAGAGAACAAGAATGAGAAGAGGAGAAGAGGAGAAGAGTTAAGACGACGAAGATGTCTTTCTTTCTTTTTTTTTTTTTTTTAGGGGGGACGAACGAAGCCAGGCAGGCAAGCTAGCTGGCGGTGGAAGAGGTTAACTAGTTAAGCCAGGGAGATAGACGAGGAGTCGGGCGATGATCGAGCCCAGGAACAACCACCACCAACGATGGGGAAGCAGGAAACGAGAGACGAGGGAAAGCGAGCGCTTCTTCTTATTATTATTATTTCCTGAATGAACCAACAGCAGCAACATCAACGAACGATGACAACAGCAGCAGCAGCAGCAGCAGCAACAACAACAACAACAACAACAGCTGAAGGACGAAAGGAACAAGAAAATGAAGAAAAAGGAAAAAAGAAGATAATAAAGCCAAAAAAGCAAAGGCCTTTGAAACGGAACTTGGAGACGATTTATTTCGAGGCGGGTGTGTACGGTACGGTATGTGTATGTGTATCTGTATCTGTCACTGTGTCTATAGTTACCTGTATGATACCGCGGTACTTCGGGTTGCCTCCGCGCTGTTTTGTCATTCGAAGGCCGGCCTGTGGTTTGATAGGTTAGGTACAGTGTCTGCTAAAAAGTTTGAAACCCTCCGCCCTTTACATAGGCTTAATATAGTTTAGCGTAGTCACTATTTAGTATTGAAAAGCCCTAATTGATCCACCTTGGCATGATTCTTCCTCAAATTCTCATTAATATTTTGTATACTAACTATCGAACCCTAAACTATATTAAGCCTAGCGTAGAAGGGGAGGGTCTCAAACTTTTTAGCGGACACTGTATGTACAGGTAACATACGTACCTGGCCAGAGGAAGATTCCCCGAAAGTTACCGTTTTTGACCCCCAATCATATTACGCGCGGCTGGGCAGGCTGATTCGCGCGGTTTAATACCATACTGTTACCGTACAACGCCAAATACAGCCCAACATCCATCCATCCATACATACATCCGTACATCTGATATTATTACTAATAATGGATGTTGACCGCACCTTGTGGTGATTATTAGTCCGTCCCGTCATGTTTAAGATACGCTCAGTTACGGTTCCAGAAGGTTTGAAGGTATACATGTGTTTTGTGTGCTTGCTCCTTGCTCTACAGCATTCCAACAAGTTCTACTCCGTATAGAAATATATATCTATTACCTCGATATATATATATTTTCGCACTTCCCAGCGCGTTACCCTCTACGCAGTCGTAGTAGTCGACTTCATGATGCCAACTTGCCGGCCTAAACATATATTTACAGGTCGTCTATATGATCCGCTCATGCCCCACCCTCCCGACGTTGTCCCGGCTGGTTGAACTACATCAGTGGCTCGCTCGCTCATGGAGGATCGCACGACATCACCACCTGCATATCCTCAGTTCCTCAGTTCTTCAGTTCTTCAGTTCTTCAGTTCACAACCCTCCGCCTCCGGCCCGCTCAGCTCAGCGCTGAGTGAGTGTGGATTTTCCTAGGGTTGTCTATCATCTATTATTATTATTATTATCGTCCCCTGCTGGTGCACCGCCTCAATAATAATAGTTTGATTATAACGGGGATAAAGTTTCAAGACCCACGGAGAGAGAATCAAAAATAACTTTTCAAGCCACCCTCTCGATCCCACATTCGAAACCTGTCTCAGTCGAGCCCTGGGCAAATCTCAGGGACTCAGGGACGCCAGCTCTCTAATTCGAGAGGTGTTGGCAGGTTGAGAGGGACAAAATCACCACAACACATACATGTAGCGGAGCGCTGCCAAACCAATTTCTAATAAAGCTCTTTTTCTTTGAGTGTTTCAACTTGATTTCGACTGATAGCCCTTTTTACCCACGGCATACGTTTTGCCAGTTAAGCATCCACTTAGCAGGCGAGACGGATTATCGATGCATGGATGGAAAAAGGGTAGCAATGTGATCAGAATAAGATAAACCTCCCATGCATTGCATATGTTGCCTGTGCCGCATTTTCGAGAGATCACCCCAATTGCCCCTAAAATTCCCGGCGGTTGAAATCTAGCTAGTTCTCTTGAGTATGAGAGAGGTGCCTATACATACACGGATAGTTATAGAGACATGAGGTCGTTTATTATTATTAAATCGACAGTTATTAGCGATTGAGCGTTTATCTTTCCAAGCGCGGTACACCGTATAAGCACGTTATTGAACTGAAAAATACCCACTAAACCACAACAGAACAGGTAGCATTGTGCCCTGTGCATTCCATCTGAAACCCGCCAACGGATTACGCTGCGTAGTACGGAGTACAGTACAAGTAGTTTATAGTTCCACCCACCCATCCCGCACAAACCCCCCGAGGGCTCTTGGAGTCTTGGACCAAGGCGGGAAATGAGCTGCAGATCTTGATCCATAGTTACTGTCTGTCTGATCGAAACAGACGCAGAGAGAGCCCAGAGAGGGCATTATATAACCGAGTACATGAGACGCGGGTGGGGTTGCTGTTACAGACCAACTAACGTTGTCCCTCTTCCCTTTATATTAAGGAGCCAAAGGGGGGTCAACACGAGGTTTGATTTTTCTCCTTATTTTTTTATTGTGTATGGAATGGTTATTAGGGGGCATCTTTTATATCCGCCTGGTTTCCATGTCCAGACTTCATTTCAGTGCCTGTGAGCCCGTGAGCTGTCAGGAATGTCTGGGATAATTAATACTGGTAAATTCCTCGTCCCTTGAACTGTCAATTATATTATCGCTCTAGGGGGTTTGGACAGCGAGTATGCAAGGATGCATGTGCTGTAAGTTCCATGTGAACATGCGTGCGAGGGACAATAATGACATGAGGGCAATTTTAGACTGATCTCATCCCCGCAAAACCAGATCCATCGCGGTATGTTGAAGAAGAAGATGAAGAAGAAGAAAAGAGATTTAAAGAATCCTCAGGACAAGATGCCATCGCATCCAACCCAAGCGACAAAGAGATCATTATTGCACGCCGACTTGCTCCCTTTAGCCACCATTGCATTGCCCACCAACCAACACCAACCAACACCGCCCAGCTGCAGTCTGCCGTCCGTCTGCTCGGTGTCTAAATATAGCACTCATCTGGCCAGCCACGATCCACCGGCTGATTGGACTGGACTGGGTTGGTTAGTTACTTCCTTACAGCGTACTAGTGGGCAGCGGTGTATGCCGTAGTTGTCGACTAATAATAATAATAATAATAATAATAATAATAAGCAGCGGACGAAGCAATATACTTGTAAATACCGTATAATACCATATTGCCTGATACAGGTATCTTATTATATATAATACAGCCATGGAATATATAGTATTAGCTCCTCGACACTCGACACAGCATTCAATAATAATAATGACTTCCTAGGCAAACTAACCAACAAATCCTTGAGTAGAACTCTCAAAAACTACTACTTAGCGCCGCCTCAGCTGGCTCGTGGGTTCGTGGGTTCGGTGGAGGCGCATGCTAGTATATGGATTTCTGAAAGGAGAGAAGGGGGGGGTTGCAACTTTTTGCTGATGCTGTGTTGATTGGCATTGGGTTCCTTTGATGGGAGGTGAGATGCTGGTCTAACTATAATACTCCATAATAATAAATACTTGTCTGAATGGTGACTAGCTACACATCTTTACTCAAGTATACGGCGCAGCCTTTTTGTATGTGGTTTACACTCGGGAAGAGCGGTGACTATCTCAGAGAATACTTGATCAACGATGCTCAGAACCCCTCGTCTATGGAGTAACAAGATTGGGCAGAATAATAAGAGGCTCCGTCCCAGAAATTTTATCACTTGTTTCCGCCATTCAGCTGTGGAGAGGCAATAATAATAAATGGCCTGATCTGATCACGGTTGGTTCAAGAGCTGTGGCTGCGCGGGCTGGTAGGGCTGAAGTACGGAGTAGTTAAAATGAGAAGGGGAATGATCCATCCCTCCCGGTGTGAGTGTGGCTGTGCAAGACGATGGTTGTGTCAGGGGAAGCTTGGGAGCTTCTGCAGAGTGAGGCTAAGTATGCAGGCGCGATGGAGATGAAATGAACAAAGGATGTAGCGTACTATTCTAGTCGATTATCCCTATTCTATCCGATTGTCATATTCTTTTCTTCTAAGTCATTCTTATCATTGTATTGTTAAATGCTGGCTTGGTATACGCGTGGGTATCATGGACATCCAACATGCATTCTCTCTCCGCTATCCCTGTCATTCGTGATGGGGAGAGGGGGCCTTGCCCCTCCTCCATCCTCGGGCCATACCTGCAGAATGGTCGAGCTTGCATTCCTCAAAAGCCCTATATGCGGCCTAGAGGCAATGCAACTCTCCGCCCTCGTGCGTGTGGCAATTCTGATAAACAGATAACGTGTTAGCAAGATACAACAGCACCACAGCCATACTGGAAGCTAAAAGGGTTAAATGGGCAACTAAGGCGTAAGGGAAAATCAACCCACCGGTGGTACATGAACGGTTGGCGCTGGGGGCTGCGGAACCGTGGGTGTGGGTGTGTCCTGTGTCGGTTGAGTAGTGGGTGGCATCGTCGTAGTCGTCGATTTTTCCTCTTCCCACTTACCCGGACACCCAAAATGCGGCACGGCGACTTCATGCCCATACACGTCTGCCGCAAAGTACTGCAGCGTATTGCTATCTCGCGTGGCGTAGGTGGAATTATACTTCGCTAGGTGCATCACGTCCTCGTAGGAGCTGGCAAAGTGGTCAACGTAGGACTCGCCGATGGCAGGCATGTGGAACAGCCGATGCAGCATGTCGGTGCCCCAGTAGGTGTTGCGCGGTGAACCGGAGACGGTATACCCGCGCGTGCAGAAGTAATCGAGATATAGCCGTGTGTGGTAGGATAACGCACAGATTACGGTTTCGTCGGTGGCGTTTTCGCCGCGCCAGTGGCCGCCGTATTCTAGATGGGATTAACTGGCCATTTCTCTTGGAAAAATTTTGGGAAGAAGGGGGGTGGGGACAAACTGGGGAAATGCTTGCAATTCCCATCCGGGTCATCGCAGCGGAACAACGTCTTCCACTTTTTCCCACTGACGACCCGCTCTAGGTTCCCGATTACCTCGCTAGTCGGGCCATCGCCGAAGTACTTGCGGTACAGAGCGGAATCTTTGCCATACCAGAGCACATGGTCTCTGGCCCGGGCAGCTAGAGTCATGGCATCCTGTAAACCGCGACGGATCATCCTCCGCTCGGTGGCATTGCAAGAGTTGTGGATGGGATAGTCGTTTCTCGGGCTGTGGTTGCATTGCAGCCAACCTGCGCAAGCATGGCATGGCGGTGCTGGGTTCCAATCTGCATGGGGAACTGCGAGGACAGCTCCCGCATAAACGGACGCAAACACAACAGGTATGGGGAGCCTCATGGTGATGGTCAAGAAGGCCGGGGGGGAATAATAGAATTGTCTTTCGAGGCCCTGAGAATTTTGATACTTGAACTCCGTGGTGAGATGTCGGTTTCCCGGCGGGTATCTCGATGGCTTATATAGCCAGAATTACTAGTCAACAGACCGCCCTGTATGCCCTGTTCATTGCCGTAATTATCCATTGTTTCTTGAATTCTACCTTGAAGAGCTGTTTCTCACAAGGTTCCCTTTCGATATCGCGCTATTGTCTAGTGCTGCACAAAAGCGATAGATATGTTTTGCGATAGCGCTGCTAGGGTGAAGGAGGACCTTGTGGATTCGACGTGGAACAGGTGGAACAGGTGGAACAGGTGGAACAAGTGGAAATCCTGGATGGGCCCTTCAAGGAAGATGTGATTCGCTCAGTAATCAGTCGAAGCGAGTAAAATCGAATTGCAGTGTTAGTTGTCCGAGCGAGATGCCATCCATGCGAACTGAAATGCTGGGCCGGAGCTATAGAGCTCTCATAACATGTCTGCTGTGAGTTACATCGCTAGTTCTGGAACGCAGGGGTTACAATTCGAATTGATAAGATTTCTCCAGCCGATTGTACGCATGGTTGGTAGGGCGCAATCCACGCTGCTCTCTTCTCGAAACGAGGTAGTGAACGTTGTTGATGTCTGTAGCTGATATTGTCTATTGTTGTTTCTCGTCTCTGGATGAAGTCAAAGCATTTAACTAGTTAGTTATTTGAGTCGCTGAGTCAGCAATGACGTCTGACCACCGCAGTCATCTTTGTTTATTTAACAATTATTCGCACCAATTTACTTAACTATCAACTGCGCAAATTACTCAATTGGCCTTTATCAGATGCTGAGAACTAGATTGCTTTCGCTTGGAACTAATACCCCAAAAGAAAGGAAAAAGGAATAGCATTGCCCCCTCAGCAGCACATCCCGCTGTCTTTCCCATCCCCCCTCATCTTCCCCGCCACATCTTGCAATGCAGCCGTCCCAACCAGCCCCCAACTTCCAAATCATCTCGACTCTCCGCTACGATCCAGATCTCCCCAGAACCCCGGATATATCAAACTCCTACCCCTCCCCCAGAACGTCCCCGTACTACCTCCTCAGCTACCACTACGACCGCCTCCTCGCCGCCTCCCTCGACTTTAAATGGCCCGCCGCAATCGCCCTCCTCCAACAACAACCCCGAGAAACAGTCCTTTCCCAGCTTACCCAAAAGTTTAATGAGCATATCAAATCCGACCCAACCCATCCCTGGCGCCTGCGTGTCCTCCTCGATGCCGCCGGCGCCCTCACGGTCGAAGCTGTCCCGATCACCAGCAACGCTCCCCCACCACCGCTCTCAACGCCCAGTAATATATTATTAGTCTTACCAAGCGCAACGGCAGATCTCTCGCGCCTCCTATCCTGCAATGTCATTCATGCGGAAGCAACCCCCGCGGCAAGGGTAGCAATCGAACCGTGGACGGTACGACTTGACACCCAACCAACCCACCCGTCACTCTTCACCCGCCACAAAACCACCGCGCGAGATCACTACACGGCATCGCGCGCGCGCGCGGGAATTACTGCATCGCCGCTTGATAGGACGGAGGTGCTGATATATAACCCTGCCGGTGAGGTGATGGAGGGCAGCATAACAACTGTGTATTTCCGTCGACGGCGAAAACAGGGTCTTGGTCCGGCGGCATCGATCCCTGTGCCTGGGGAGGCGCGTGATATTGGTGACGGTGATAGTAGAGGACCAGCAGACGATTCCTCTTATTACTGGGTCACGCCGCCGCTATCCAGTGGTGGGAATGCGGGGACGTCGAGACGATATGCGCTTGCGGCGGGGATGTGTGTGGAGGAGGTTGTGAGGGTTGAGGAACTGCGGGAGTTGGAGGGCCAGCTGGGGAGGGTGTGGTTGAGTAATGGGGTTAGAGGGTTTATGCCGGCGGTTTTGAGGCTTAACAACAGTTAGTTACGGGTTGTGTGAGTGCTGGTAGGGATAGGTAAGGTAACGCTCCTCTATATCCATTGGAATTGAAGTGGAGAAGACCGAATATTTCCATGGGGGATGCCGCAGCAGCAGCAGTGCCAGCAACAACAAGAAAGAAAATCATCAAGAAACACAGGACAGGGCTCATAGAGTCCATTGACTTGTCGACCCATGTGCGTAGTGCGTATTGGGCAACGAAACATCGACGGATCTGGTGAAATGCGAGGAGATTATGGGCCGGAGACTGAAATACCAGCGGTTATTTGACAGGACGTCGACCAGGTGTGCAATACCATGCATGTATTCGCAGCTATAGCCATCATCTGCTATCTATCTTCACCTGTACTGGATTGGATTGAATTGAATTGAATTGAATTGAACGAGGGGACCAAGTGAACAAATGGGAATCTCCGGATACCGAAGATTACCTCCTTACAGCCAGAGTGAGGTGTTTATTTGGTTGAAGGGAAGGAGAGAAAGGTGGATAATATGGAAAATCCTATATCTATCAATTACATGGACTTTCTTCACTCACATATCTTTGTGGTGCACTGAAAGAATTATGCATACTAAATATCCCTCCCCGCATATTTAAGATAGACTGGGCTGCACGGAGTAGGATGTAAAAGCCGAGAATACCTAATTCCCTCGTAAAATAGATAGAGCTTCCCTTGAACAAAAGCCAACCAGGCCAACAAACAGAAATCTCTTTTTTTTTCGTTATATGTACATAATGCAACACGTAACACAAAGACATACAAAACCCAACAAATAAAAGAGGATAAAAAAGAAAAGGAATAACCACCCGCATCCAATCTTGTTTGCGAATCAAACCGAGCTCCGTATACCGGTTCGCTTTCAGTTTTGTTTTGTTTTTTGGGGTCTAGATAGCTGGGCGAGAAACAGGCGGAGTGGGTAGAGCAAAACTTTTTCAATTCGGAATTCATAGTTATATATACAATGTACAATGTACATGCAAAATGCGGTTGTACCCCGGTTCATCCGGCCCTTTCGCTTCGATTTGATTCGTTCCGAGTGGAATTGGAAAGTGAAATTTGGAATTGGGATGTGGAATTTTATTGAGCGGAGATTCATTCATATTATATCCTCATCCTATCTTGCCTTCCCTTCGTCGTTTTCACTCTTTCATATTTATTGCTTAGTTCAGCAGTCCTTGGGCGCGCTCAGTTTCGAGGCGGGCATAGAGGCGGTCACGGGCCCGGACGCGGGGGAGGTGGTAGCCTGGTTTTCAATTGTGGGTTAGATGATTTGTTCATCATACAGATAAAAAAAAAAAATGGGGGGGGGGGGGGTGGGATATGTTGCTACATACCGTACCAGAATAGGTAGCCGAAGGTGGTTCCGAGGCCTGATTGGAAGGGGAGATGAGTTAGTCTATTCGTTTTGGAGATTGTTGATTGGGACTGAGGGACTCGGAGATGTATTTTGTCTTTGTATATAACCGGGGACGAAATGGCAACGGCTTATATATAATGTCCCTTCCTAGGACCCCACTCCGATTCCCGCTCCAGGACATCTACAGAATAGCCACCGTCGCGAACAACGAAACGAACGAGCGAATCGGGATCAAGACTCACCAAAGGCAGTGCTGAGATCCAGCACGAGGCCCCGACGGAGCATCTTTACATACACTAATTAGCATGATTGGTTTCAATTGAGAGTGAAGAGAGTCGACCGGTGCGGGCGAATTGAACGGGGAAACTTTGGCAAGCAACTTACACCCGTGATGGGTTGGATGGCGGACATTGCTCCGGGATTGGGCGGGATGAGAGGGAGTAAATGTACAGGCCTAGCAGGCTAACGTGGGATGCAGCTGGTGTCCGATACACGGGGGATTGGAGTAGATGTTGTGGTGGTTGTTGTCAATAGCAGGAATATGGGCAAGTGGACTGATGTTGGATTGCTGTGAGAGGGTTCGGATTAACTCGGGAGCCGGGATCACGTGGGAAAACGGGCAGCGCCGTGTTGGATATCGAGAAAAGCTAGTGGAAAAGGGAATTAATGTATGGATTTCCCATTGGAAGGGGGAGATGTGAGTAGCAGAGAAAGTATCACCTACTCAGACATACAAATACATCTATAGTTATAGGAATTCAATTTCCATCTTCATCCTCATTCGAATCCACAACGGCCAGCTCCCTCCACGTGACCTTCTCTCCTGCGCATTCTTTGCGCTCCAACACATTATTGCATCCATGGATAGATTGATAGAGTCAACAGCAATCACGATACAATACACGGTCCTATTATGCATTCTGTTAGCCGATGACAGAGCAGCAGATCTGATGTCAACGTGTATATGATCTTCGATTCTCTCTTCCGGCTCACTGCCCAACAGTACGCCGCCTAGTTCCTAACTCCAAACTCTCATCCTACAGTCGCCCAGCTTACACCCTCACAATGGCCATCCCCCCTGCTACAGCGGCCTCTGCCTCTTCGCTACAAAAACGGCAGCGTCGTGAATACCATCACCGCCTCCAAACACCTATGACACCAGACCTGCCTGATTCTGCCTTCACAGACACCACCGCCGTGGATACATTACTCAAGCTCTCCATTGGTGTGCTCGTCCACGACTGCGGCTTCACTCATGCGGACCCAGTTGCGCTGGATAGTTTTAGGAGTGCGGTTGAGGAGTGTATGTATTTTACATTTATACTTTATATTTACATGCTTCCTTCAGTAACTTAAGGTTGCATCTATATTTGCTGACGATTGTAGACATCCTGCATATCCTCTCTTACACCCGCCAATCCATGTCCTCCTGTCGCCGCATGCAGCCCATCCCCCTCGATTTCGAACATGCTTTCCGAAATACCAATATTCATCTCGACTCTCTGCACAAATACCTAACACCGCCGTCCCCACAACGGGAACAACAAATAATACCACCCCTCCCCACCCCACCCCCCTCCGCCCCCAACCCAGCCACAGACCTCCCCTTCCTCGGCCCAGATCTCAGCGGCACCCAACACCGCCAGCTGAGTACACATATCCCCAAACACTTCCCCAATTTCCCCAGCAAGCACACCTACCAGGAGACGCCGGTGTTTACGACGCGAGAGACAGATCCGAGGAAGATTCGTGAGAAGGCCACAGAGGAGGGCCGCTTGGGGGAGGAGGCGTTGAGGAAGCTGGCGAGGGCTGGGAGGGAGGGATTGCTATTTCGAGATGGGGCGGATGGGAGTGGGGATGGGGATAGCGGGAAGAAGTTGTGGGGGAGCCGGTTGGAGAGTATGGAGAGTATGTTCGAGAAGGCGGTTAAGGGGGTTGTTGGTGGAGGCGGGGCGGGAGGGTTAGGGACTGATGCTGAGTTCTCGTTGTCGTCACCGTTGAAAGTTCCTGAGAATGGGACGCTAGAGTTGAGTCCGATTGTGAATTGCGACAGAGTTTATTGGCGGAAGCAGACGAGGGCGGATGTGCGCAAGGTTGATAAGCGGACGATGCATAATAGTAATAATAAAGGGGCTAGGGGCGCGTTGGTTTAGCAGAGGGATTAGGTGGATTCGTTCTTTTGTTCGCTTTTCGTTTTCTTCCATCTCTAGGTTATCGATGCCAGGAGTTTCGGTTTGGGGGGTTTGGGTTGGGATTTAACATTGGGAATGGCATAGAAATGGCCATTTGCGTGTCTTACAAGGACGATACGGCACATGCATCGTTCATGAATATTTATCATACCATCCGAGTTTATTCGTAATTCGTGGCGTTATTTGTTCTTCTTGTGCTTCTCGCAAACATTTACACGGTCATTGCTTTCCCTCCTCTTTCTTTCCCTTCCCCTTCCTCTCCCACGTTGTAGTCTCAACCGTAAGCCCTCCCGCACATCTGTCACGACCAAAGTCAGCTGGAAATCCTCGTACATAAATAAATATACGAATTATACGAATACGCATATAGTGCCATACGATACGCACCGCCTAAACAACCGAACCACACTCTCGCACTCTATGACACCGCCGCCTGCAGCTCCTTGTGGCGGCCCCTTCTCCGGTGGGTTACAGGAGTACTGCACCATCTCCATCAGAGCGCATTCGGAGAGGTTCACACCGGGCGGCTTTCGGGCGGTTTCCTGGAAGTTTTTTGTGGTTGTTTGGACTGCGGTGGGGAGGGCGGAGGTCGGGAAGGAGTGCGTTAGGGGAGACATTGTGGATTAGATTGGAGTAGATGGATACGTTTGACGGGTGGGAGAGAATAGGAGCGATTGATTGATTGGCATGAGAGTGTAATTAAGGGGTAAGGTGTGTTGCTAGAAGATGAAGCATTAATACTAATAGCAATGAGAAAGGCGTAGGACTATATTTTGCGGAGTTCGGAGAAACTAATCTGGACAACTATTAATATATTTAAATATTGCGTTAACTAAATATTTAAATAACCAATTCCACGAACCAACCCACCCTACCGAAGTTGCAACACCACACACTCACGAGTCACCAGGGCATTGCTGGCGCGTGCATCGCATGGGGGATTACAAGTGAACTGGATACTTGGTGGAGGGGAATGCATGCATGCTGGTGTCTGAACGATGACGAGCGCGAGCACGAATGTAGTCGCTGGTCCTGAACAAGCTCGAGCTCATGGGGAGCGGCTGCTGAGGGAGGTGAGGGAGGAGAATCTGGCGGAGGTATTCTACAACAATATATATATGGAGATATGATATACTATTTATACTAATATGATATATTCAAGCTCCTCCACACCCTCCACCACCTGCACTCCCCACCGCCAACATCTCCCCACTACACACCACTGGGCATAAAACCCCTCGATGACATCCTCCGCAGCTTCCACCCCAAACCATATACATCTGGAGCAACATATACACCCCGCCAGCCCGTCCTCGAAATCACCTCCCCGGCCTCCGCAGACGGCAAAACTCATTTACTGTACTACATCACCGCCCTCGCCGTTCTACCATGTACCTACCAGAACATCGCGCTACGGGGACGTAGTAGTGCTGTCGTATTTCTCGACACAGATTGTCGGTTTGATGCTGCGAGATTGCGCGAAGTTGCGAGGGGGATTGTACTAGAGAGTGCGGTGGAGCAGGGGATATCGTTTCCCGGAGCTGGACACAATTACGGAGGTGGAGGAAAAGAAGGTGACGATGAAGGGATGAATACAATGCTCCACACCGCCCTCTCTCATGTCCATGTCTTTCGCCCACAGTCCTCTGCGTCTCTCTTGGCTACGATACAGAGTATAGAAAGCTATCTTCTGCGTGGCATGGGCACGACATATACAGAGGGGGAGCATAAACATGCATCACATTCCCGCCCGCTCCACGCCATCCTGCTCGATAGCGCAAGCGCGTTTTACTGGCAGGATAGACGTGAGATGGAGGTCCTTAACATCCATGGCGTTCGCGAGGAGAGGGCACGGCGGGCCCGGGACCAGAATGAGAATCAGAACCACAATGATACGGATACAAACTCAACTACACATACACCCACGGCCCAATCCCAGCTCCCACATCAGATCATCCATGCACTCCGCGCCCTGCAACAAACCTTCTCCTGTCCGCTCGTTTTCACGACGTGGGGGTTACTGCGAGCTACCCAGTCCACTCACCACAGCAACAATACGTCTCATGCCCTCCATGCGCAGACCACTACACGTACCCCGCTCTATAAATCTCACCGCCCATCCTTCCGTCCGCACCTGCCCAGGCCATGGCCCTCGTTCCCGACGTGTAGAGTCGTTGTGCAGCGCGAAGTTGTCCGGCCGTTTGCCCCGTTTTTAACGATGGAGGAGATCAAGGGAGAGGCGCGAGAGAGGCAAGATGCTGTGAGGAGAGGGGGAGTGGTGGGGTGGGTGGATGGGCATGGGTTGACTTGGGACAGGGAGAGAAACGCAATGGCGGAGAGGTTGTTTGGTTTTTCACATACGGGAGGGGGAGGCGTTAGGTGGATTGATGAGGATGGAGATGGGGAGGGATAGAACGAGGTGTACTAAATAACCGGTTATGTTATGTATATATGAACTATGAACTATATGGCTATGAAAAGGCCCTCTACGTCTATACTGTCTATGTGCATATACTACTAGTAGTATGTACACAACATCTACATCTCACTCCTCCTTATCCCCGCCCATAAACAACTCCCCAATCCTCTCCACAGTCGTATTACCCCCTGAAAACACAACTCCAACATCCCACCCCTCCTTCCCCTCCCGCGCACACTCCTCAACCACCATCCTCCGAAAACCTTCATCAAACAAACAAACCGCCAACCCCACCACCGCCGACGGCTCCACAACAACCTTCACCCTCTCCAGCACAAGCCGCATCGCAGCCAGAATCTGCCCCTCACTCACCGCATACACACCCCTCACCTTCTCCTTGTCAGAGACAACACTCCACCCCACCTCCCCCACCGGCGTCCGCAGCCCATCCGCAATCGTCAGCGTCTTCACGCTCGTAACTCGCTCCCCCGCCGCCAGCCCGCGCCGGCAGTCGTCGCCACCCTGGAACGACGGCTCCGCCCCAAACACGAGCGTCTTGGGCGTCCGCGTCGAGTAATACGTCGCCACGCCGGAGGTCAAGCCCGCGCCGCCGAGGGGCGTGATCACCGCGTCGAGCACGCCGGGCCTGCCCCTCCCGCCTTCTCCTCCTCCTCCTCCTCCTCCTCCTCCTCCTCTCTCTTTAGGATGCACACTCAACCCCGCATCCGTGTCTACGAGCTCCCGCACCTGCTTCTCCAGCTCGACGGCGACCGTGCCCTGGCCCAAGACGACGTCGGCGTGGTCGTAGGGCGGGATGAGGATGGCGCCCGTCTCGGCGATGACGGTGGCGACGACGGCTTCGCGCTCCTGGCTGGTGGAGCCGGAGAATATCACTTTGGCGCCGTGGGAGCGCGTGCCGGCGATTTTGGACGGGGTGGAGATCGAGGGCATGACGATGTAGGCGGGGATGGAGAGGGTGGAGGCCGCGAGGGCGAGGGCTTGCGCGTGGTTTCCTGAGTGGATACAATTGGTTTAGTTTGGGGGGGGGGGGGGAAGGGAGGGAGGTTTTTGGTCTGGGAGATAGAGACACAGACATACCAGAACTATGCGTAACAACCCCCCGCCGCCTCACCTCCTCCTCCCCCATTACTTGCACAGCCCGCAACAGCGCATGGAACGCGCCCCGCGCCTTAAACGCGCCTATCCGCTGCAGATTCTCGCATTTGAAGAAGAAGTTTATCTTCGGCTGCGCGGGCGGCTGGCCCTCGAACGGCGTGCCGACGAGCGCTTCGGCCGCTTGCGGCGTGGAGGCGATGCGGTTGAGGGTCTTGCTGGTTAGGATTGGGGTTTCGTGGATGTAGGGCTTGACCAGGTCGTGGGCGGCGAGGACGTTGGAGGTGGTGAGCGGGAGCCAGTGGGTTGGGTCGGTCATGTTGATGTTTTTGGTTGTTGGTGTTTTTTGTACGGGGTATTTTCTTGCGGTTCAACAGTGGGGCGGCCTGGACTGGAGGGGAATTACTTTCTGGGGTTGGATTGCGGTGGTGATGTAATAGAGTTGGAGAATGAACGGAATTGAAGGCAAGGTGAAGCTGGTATTTATATCCACATATTCCGTATACATATACAGATCAGTTAAGGGATTGATATCATCGGGAATACGAGAAGGGCGCAAACATTATTCGGAGAATGTAACATGGCAGAAAATATATTGACGTCGTTAGCTATACTAAGCAACACTGGCAGCGCCGGTGTGGGCCATTTATTTCCACAGCCGAGGCTTTGCACACCCACCCGCGTCACCGTCACCGGGCGTAGAAAGGGGAAAACAACACGAGCGATGGCAGAGGAAATGGCGCAAAACAAGAAGGACGGGACACCGAAAAGTGAAAAAGGGAAACTGGAAACACGGGGAATAACGGGGTAGAAAATGGAAGGATTAAGTTTTATTAAGTGCATGCGGCGTCAGGGAAAAAAACATTGGAAGCTTCTCTTTTTTACCCAGTCACTTTTTATCGCAAAGATCAAAACACAAAAATGTAGTCCTGGGGATTAGATAGAAATACACATTTTTTTGGTTCTTGCCCAGACGGGGAAAAAAAAGAAAGAAAAAGAAAAAAAGAAAAAAAACAGACACCCTCTATCCATAAGATCTCTTACAACACTCGTTTTTCTCGTTGTTTATTTCTGGTTCTCAGGTCGGAGGGATCTGCAGATGGATTAGTTAGCTCCATGTAGTTGGGCGTGGAAAATAAAAAAATAAAAATAAAATAAAAAAATTGAAGTAAACCAGAAACACTCACCGGACGGCCTTTCCAGCTCGCCAGATCTCAAGATCCCGAATCTCCTGCATCTCCTTCTCGTACTTCTCCCGATAGTCCGGTTGCGAGTTGTACTCCAAGCTGCGCTGTGTCTCCCGGCCATCCTTAACGCTGTCATACAGCTCATTGAACACGGGCTTGAGGGTGTCCTTGAACTTGCTGCTCCAGTCAATGGCGCCCCGGCGGGCAGTGGTTGAGCACGCGGCATACATCCAGTCCATGCCATTAGCGCCAATGAGTGGGTACAAGCTCTGCGTGGCCTCTTCGACGGTCTCGTTGAAGGCTTCGCTGGGGCTGTGGCCGCGCTCGCGCAGGACCTCGTACTGGGCGAGGAACATGCCGTGGATGCCGCCCATCAGGCAGCCGCGCTCGCCGTAGAGGTCAGAGTAGACTTCCTTCTCGAAGGTGGTCTTGTACAGGTACCCGCTGCCCACGGCAACGCCGAGGGCGACGGCTTTCTCCTCGGCTTTGCCGGTGACGTCCTGGAAGACGGCAATGGAGGAGTTGATGCCGCGGCCCTCGCGGAAGAGGGAGCGGACGGTGCGGCCGGAGCCCTTGGGGGCGACGAGGATTACATCAACGTCTGTGGGGACCTCGACTTTGGTGAGGTCCTTGAAGACGGGGGAGAAACCGTGGGAGAAGTACAGGGTCTGTAGGATTGGGTCAGGTCGGATACACACGCAAAAACTTTCAAAATGGGAAAAAAGAAAACAGCAAGAGTTAATAGGTTAATAGGTTTGTATATACCTTTCCCTTGGTGATGAGGGGCTTGACGGTTGGCCATGTCTCGCTCTGGGCAGCATCGCTGAGTAGGTTCATGACGATGGTGCCACGTTTGATGGCATCGTTGACCTCGAACAGGTTTTTGCCGGGCACCCAGCCGTCAGCAATGGCCTCCTTCCACGAAGTACCGTCCTTTCGTACGCCGACAATCACGTTGAGGCCATTGTCGCGCAGGTTGAGGCCCTGGCCGTGGCCCTGGGAGCCATAGCCAATGAGGGCGAGGGTGTCATCTTTGAAATATTCCTAGAGAGTGGTCAGAAAACGAGTACAACCAACCAATTTGCATGGAATATAATTAATTAATTGTGAGAATTGGGGATAGGAACATACGAGGAGCTTCTCTCTTGGCCAATCAGCACGTTCTGGTAGGACACCGTCAGCATCCCCTCCCCCCGGTTCAGTTGAATACAGACAGAGATATGGGGAAACACACCGTAGACGGTTTCCTTGGTGCCAGCAAAGTCAATTGTCTTGACTCCACGGGTCTGCTGGGCAGAGGGAGCGGCGACAAAAGGAGCTCTGAGAGCGGAAGTAGCGGCAGGACGGGCGGAGGCGGAGACAGCGGCGGAGACAAAGGAGCGACGAGGGATGCTGGAGGCGGTGGACAGGGACCGGGCAACAGGGCCACGGAGGGCCTTAGCAACGGGTCTGGCGGACATTTTGTGTGTGTGTATCTGTCTGTCTGTTGGGAGGGAGGGAGTCAATTGAAATGAAGCAATTGAAGGCAATTGGGAGCGGAGAGGGAGAAGTCGAGGGCAATTGAACGGTGTGGAATGATTTATATGTGTTCGCAACCGGTGAAGAAATGAAGAAATGAAGAAATGAAGAAATGAAGAAAAAGAAAAAGAAAAAAAAGAGCAGAAGCTGAGGTTGAGTCGAAAACTTCCGAATCGGGGAATTCTGCTGGCAAGGCTATTCTGCCGCCGCCAATTGCCTTGTTGGGCTCACCGCCTGGACCGAAACGGCCCGATGTCGGCGCTGTCACATGCTGATGAGTCATCATTTGTGCTTAGTATTATAACTACTTATAATGTCTCTGTCTCTGAGTACAGAGTCCAGACTAATTCTGGGATGGGCTTGTCATGTCTGCCGGCAACATGAATATGTTCTTATTAATTATTATTATTGTACTGTACATGTACACTGTGGATGTTTGCTCAATACATTGCTATTGTTCCCAGTCCAAGCCAGACAAGTGTAAGTGTTAGAGGGAGGAGGAGACTCTCGAGTCTCAATGTCCAATCAACTGTACGTGTTTGATATCCAGCAAACTTAATCTGAGACTATTCCTGCATGTGAGAAAAGAAAAGAAAAGATGAGATGAGAAAAGCAAAATGTGAGCAATAATAATAGACACAGGTCTGCACACGGTCCGCAAACATGGATATATTATATATATGTATATATCTTCGGAGGGCACTCTGTAGGGAGAATCAGGTTGCTGGAATTGAGGGTGAAGAAAGACAGCAATAACAATAATAATAATACTTAATAATACTAATAATAACAGATATAAATATATTCTGCAGAACAAGCTCTTGGTGGATTTGATGCTGCCGCCACTGCCGCCACTGCCGCAGGATGCCTGTTTTTGAGAGGAAACAGGCTGGATATAAATAATTCGATTGAGCGATTTATTTTAGAAATTATAATCTGTATTGTAGCTCTAGTTCTAACTATATAATATGAATAGATAAATAACCCTTCCACTTGTAATCAACATTATGTAGCTTATGATTATTAAGGATTCAGAACCAGCCACTTTTCAGGAATCTTAGAATTTCTCTTTTTTCCTTTGTCTACTGCTATATGATTACTCTTAGTTACTTATTATTAGTCTGCCAAAGCCTGCCTTGTCATCATCGCCAGCTCATTCGCCAAAAGCCCAGAAAGCTCGATTAGAGTTCGCCTGGACTAGTATTTTCTTCTTCTTTTACTCCTACTTGCTGATTATTTGATCTGTGGCCGACGTCAGTCAGTCAGTGGAAGAGCAGATCGAAACCCAGCAGAACCAACAAAGCATTCTCAGATAGATTCCTCCTCCTTTATGTCTTAACCAGTGATGTTGATGTGATTTCTTTGAGATGCCGCTGCTCCAAATCCCCCATCCCAATCCCAACCCCAACCCTAATCTCAATGCCGCCGGAATGGTGATGGACACGCTAATAAGAAATTATTAGCCACCGCGCGAACAGAGCTGACGAAAAAGGAAATTGATGGATGAGAAATAAAAATCATAAAATACGGATACAATAATTAATAAAATCCAACAGGTCAAATCCGAGCAGAAACACAGAGCGTGTTTGTGCGTGCGGTGTCTTTGCCGCCGGAGAAAAAAAAAAGTCGATATTGAAGAGCTAGTTAACTTAATAACTAACTACTTACTACAGAGTAACTACAACTATAAAATAGTTATATTAAATAACTACTACAAGTCGCCGCAGCAAGTTGAGATAAATACTGCCCTTTTCTACTTAAATATCTTATTTATTTATTTATTCACCTCGCAGGCCTTGGTTGTAATTTTTATTATTTTATTTTATTTTCTCCATCTCATCTCTCTCTCCTCCCGCCGCAGTCTCGCATTTCTTTTCTCGTCGCCGTGCAGCTGCTGGCTCCGCTCGCCGGCAACCAGAGTCAGTCCAGGCATATAAATATAAAAATATCGCCCGCTGCCGCCCCCCCAGATATTTTCTTTTTACTTATTTACTTATCTATTCTACAATAATACATAATATTAATAGTTAGCGAATCCCTCCTTAGGGTTAACTAATAAAACTACTTACCGACCATGACTGCGAGCTGATGCCCTGCCCCTCCCTCCCTCCTCTCCTTGGACTCTCATATCATATCCAGAACGTTATACAACCAAGCCGAATAGTATTTGACTATCAAAACCTCCACCCCCCCTCTCCCCCCGGCCCGCCACCACTACCACTACCACACCAAACAAACCTGTTGCAATGTTTCCGACGAGCCTCCTCTCGCAAAGTCTTCCCAATGTCCCCAGCCGAAAGGCGCTGTTGATCCTCGACCTCCAGAACGATTTCGTCAAACCGGACGGGGCCCTATTTGTGCGCAATGTCCCCGAGTTCCTCGATACCATCGCTGGGCTGGCTCAGCGCTTCCGCGAGACTGGCGATGTGGTCTGGGTGCAGACTCAAGTCGAGGAGCGTCGCCCTATCTTCCGTCCTGAGAGTGGCGGAGAGGTGATCGTCGTCGACAAACCGCTTGCCCCCGGCAGTAACAATAGCAGTACCAAGGACAAGAACAATAGTAGCCACCCGGGCGCAGATAACAATACCGGCAGGACGGGTACCAGCTCCAATGGTGGCGCTGAGGGTGGAAGCGGGCATGCCACCTCCGCTAAGCGACGACAGCAGAACGCCAGTGGGGAATCGCGCCGGGAACCGCTCTCTGCCTACTCGGACGATCCAGAGGCGTTTTTATCCCGCCCTTTATTACCCAATGAAGATGGGACTCGGCGCTGCTGCCAGCCGAAGAGCGTCGGCTGTCAATTCCCCGCGCCGATCCTCTCCGCCATCGACCATGACAGAGACACTATCCTCGTGAAGTCTGACTACTCAGCCTTTCAGTCCGAAAGTTTGCTGCTCTCCTTCCGCACCCAGTTTGTTAGAGAGCTCTACATCTGCGGTTCGTTGTCGAACGTTTCTGTCTACGCTACTGCATTGGATGCGGTTTCGCACGGCTTGGACGTTACCCTAATAGAGGACTGTCTTGGGTTCCGCAGCTTTGCGCGCCACGAGGACGCCATGAGACGCATGGCGGATATGATGGGCGCAAACGGCATTACAAGTAAGGAGCTGGCCGAAGAACAGGACTGGGAGGAAGCTGCCGTGCCCACCTCGGAGTGGCCCGAGCAATCGACTGCATCTACTCCTGTTGGTATCGAGGACGATATGGGTGTTCTCGCTGTGAAATCCCCCCCTAAACATCCATCCCCGCCAAACACCACTGGCGAAGACCAGTCGCAATCGGGTGATGTTAGTCTTGTTCGAGGGGAGCGGGAGCCTGAGGGCGACGATTTCGAGGATAATTTCCTTGGACCGGCTCTACGTACCGCTGACATTTCCACTGCCGCTCCTACCACTCGGGACCATAAGAGTAAAGTTAATCGTCCGCGGATGAGAAAACCCCGAAGGACAGCTTCGCGGGATGACACAAATCAACCCGACAGGCCACAGCCACAGAGACAGTCGCTCGACCTCCAGGCGTCGCAAAGTGCTGCAACCCATGGAACCCACCGGTATAAGAAGAACAAGCACAATCAACCAGACCTCCGTGGCCCTGATGATACCATTGGGGAGGGTGACTCCCGTATTATTTACGACCTAGCTATATCTCCCAAGTCTTTCCAGCTGCTACGCGAGGAGGTCAACTGGCAAAAGATGTATCATATGTCAGGCCAGGTCCCACGGTTAGTTGCCGTCCAGGGCGCAGTGCAGCCAGACAATTCGATACCTATCTACCGCCACCCAGCAGACGAGTCCCCGCCCCTCCTGCCTTTCTCCAAAACCGTGAATAACGTGCGCCATGTCGTTGAGAAACACCTTGGCCATCCCCTCAACCATGTTCTTATCCAACTGTACCGAGATGGTCAGGATAGAATATCCGAACATTCTGATAAAACCTTGGATATCGTCCGAGGCTCATATATCTGCAACGTCAGTCTCGGTGCACAGAGAACGATGACTTTACGAACTAAATCATCTGCCGCAAAAGCTGATGCGCAAGCCGAAGATGCGGTAGATGCAGATGCAGCAGAAGGCGGCAACGAAGCTCCTTCTAAAGAAGGCTCAACAACGAGACGCCAAACCCAAAAAGTCCCACTACCCCACAACTCCCTGTTCATTCTCGGCGAGGAAACGAACATGCGCTGGCTCCACGCCATCCGCGCCGATAAACGACCAGACTCGGAAAAGACGCCCGAAGAACTCGCGTATGGCGGCGAGCGTATCTCCCTCACATTCCGCCATATCGGCACTTTCATGAACCCAGAAGCAGACACCATCTGGGGCCAGGGCGCCGTCTCCAAGGCCAAACAAGCAGCCGGCCAGGTCATCCACGGCGACTCCCCTGAAACAGAACGGATGATCAGAGCCTTTGGCCAGGAGAACCAACAGTCCGACTTCGACTGGGAGGCGCATTACGGCCAGGGTTTCGACGTCGTCAACTTCGTCACTACCTCTGCTGGCAAATTACTGCTGAGCGGCGACGACGTCGCCGACCTCCGTGTCCAGATCTGCTTTGCGGAGAATGGCGTGCGGTATGACCTTGCCACTATCGATGAGTTCCCTGCTGCGCTGCGGGGTACGCTCTCGATCCCGCACAAGCGTGAGAACCTCGAGTCGCGCCCGGTGTTCATGGACGTGGACGGCGCTACGTGCTACACGGGCGACGATTGTATACTTCTGCACGTCGCGAAGCAGAAAGGGCTCGTCGATACTGAACGACCACTGCCTTTGAAATCACAGTCGCAGTCGCAGCCCCAGTCACAACTGCGGTCCAAAAGCCCGAGTTCCACTCCGCATCAACAACAGCAGCCACAACAGACACAGACACAGACACAGACACAGACACAGACACAGACACAGACACAGACACAGACACAGGAACAGACACAGACACAGACACAGACACAGCAGAACCAATCCCTCCATTCCAAACTCCGCGAAACAGACGAACTCCTCCGCTCCTGGCGCCGCTTCCAGAAGCTGAAAACCCCGCACGGCGTGCTGCAGCAGATGGACGCGTTCGAAGCCATGCTGTGCGGCAAGTCGTATCTCGCCGGCCAGTTCTTTGACATCGAGGACTGCGCGCTGTGGCCTGTCGTGCGCGATATTATCCGCGAGGTTGGTTATTTGGATGAGACACGCTTCCCGTCATTGATGGTTTATTATCATAGGGTTGGGAAGAGGGGGTGTGTGCGGGCTGCGTTGGAGGAGTTGGCGGGGGCGACGAGGGGGGGGTAGAAGCAGACGGTGGGAATCGGGAGGGGGAGAGGCTATTTGCAAGGTTGAAGTCGTCCTCTGTTTTATGGAATGCCTGGGTTTTTTCTCTTTTCTTCTTTCTTTCTTTCTTTCTTTCTTTCTTTTTTTTTTTTTCCTTACCCTTTTGCGTTATCCTTTCATATCGCATGCTCTTACTCAGTTCACCATGTTTGGGTTTTGCCCATTTTTCTGGCTGATGGTTCATGTTCTAAAACGTCAAATATATTTTTTTATTCTTTTTTTGGCATACTCTCGGCGCATATGAACGTGGGTGGTGAATTTTAACGTTTAATATTTTCTTACGAAATGATGGAAATGATTATCCCCAGTTTTCTCCCTATTTCCTCCTTGTTTTTCCCTACGCTATCAATTCCGACCTAATGATGCTTTTATTCACTATTTTCTATGGGTATCTACATAGCTTGAACCTGTCTCTGATTCATATGATTTATCTTCGAAACCTTTTTTCTTTTTTCTTTTTTCTTATTTTTTTAAAATTTCTGGAACTGTTCTTCTCGGGATATTTATTTACGTGGAGCCAGCTATGCGTCGTTAGTTGAAATAAATAGACAAATCGAAGCCCTCTATATACATGAGGAATATAAGACTGCTCTATACCGCGACTGGCTTCTCTCGGTTAGTATGCACAGGATGGATGCATGTGCATATGTATACCGGCCATGCAGCATGCAGCTGGGATATACCTAGATATATATATATGTGCGCGTATATAGACAAAAATAAAACGCCTTTGTAGGTATTTCCCGAGAGTGAACCTGGCCTGGCCTCAACTCTTACAGTTTCTCAAACGTCGGGACGCGCTTTTCCAGCCCGGAGAGGAGAGCACGCTGAATATCACTCGTCTGTAGTGCGGCGCTGTTCCAAACGCCGGTATATCGGAGGCCTGGTTGAACATACGTATGTTAGTGATTTGTCAGGATAGTCCCCTCAAACCCAGTCTCCCTCCTTCTTCCTCGGCCCCTCAGATTAAGAATGGAAAAGGGAAAAAAATACTAACCATCCTGGACACTATGATCCCGCGACCAATTCAATAACTCCTTTGTCCCCTGCACGGCCACGGGGCTCTTGCTGGCCATCACATGCGCCATCTTCAACCCAGCCTGGACAGCTGCCTCCTTGGACTCAAACACCTCATTCACCAAGCCGACCCGCCGCGCCTCGTCCGCGCCAAAGATCCGCGCCGTCATACACACCTCCTTCACCCACCCGAACGAACCCACGATCTTGCCCAGCCGCGACAACGTCCCGATATCTGCCGCAAGCCCGATGTCCACCTCCTTCACGCAGATCTTCGAGTCCGCGGAGCACAGGCGCACGTCCGCGGCGCAGGCCAGGTCCACGGCTAGCCCGTAGGAGATACCGTGCAGGATGATGATGACGGGCTTCTCGCAGCGCTCGATGGCGGTGATGCAGTCTTGGAAGTCAGCCACGTGGCGGCGCAGTTTGGCGGCGGTGCGGGCTGGGTCGGTGGTGCTTTTGTCAGGGCCGCTGAGGAGGCCCTCGGCCGCAGCTTTTACGTCTAGGCCGGCGGTGAAGGCAGGGCCGGCGCCGGTGAAGATGATGGAGCGGACGGAGGGGGAGACGGAGAGGGTGTCGAAGATCGTGCGCAGTTCTAGCCACATGCTGTGGTGGGTTTGGTTAGTTGGGTGTGATTGACGAAGGGGAGGAGGGGAGGAGGGGAGGAGGGGAGGAGGGGAGGCAAGGCGTACGGCTCGAAGTAGGCGTTCAACTTCTTCGACCGGTTGGTTTCGACGTGGGCAACATATTCTTGCGGAAAGGTGACGTTGAAGTATTTGTATGAGGGTAAGCTAGCAGCCATGGTGAGTTGTGTAGAGGAGTGTATTTCCGCTTCTACAAAGGGGCCTTGCTATGGTCTGCTATGTGAGAGTCGGGCTTGGATTCTCCCTGGTTTGATTCGAGTGGCTATGTGAGGATTGTAATATAGCGTAACGGGTTGGTGGTATATATTATTAACAGGAGTGAGACAACAAGAAGGGAAAAGATCTGGATCTGATGCCAATAATAAATATGGATACGCCGTAGGCTTGGAGCTCCTGGCTAACTACTGTACATCTTATTTTTACACATGCTTGCCGCCGTAGTTCGGATAAGGGATAAGCTGCTGCTGCTGGGTGTGGTTGTTAATTGCTGGCCGCCATGCGATGACCTTTTGAACCCGTTACATTTATCAGCAGGGGTTGGATTTCTTTTGGATCTACATATGGGCTTCAGGTCGCTATCTTATCCTGCTTCCTTTTCCTGTGAAGCAATCGATCGATTCAATTCACATTTATTACTGTACTTCTTTCTTCACAGCTCGGCGCCGAGCTGAAGCTTGTATACAATTAATTGATGGTTAACTAACTAACTGATGAGCCGAGGCATCTTCTTGCCGGATCACGGGACCACGGGATGCCGCGGTTGGCTGGGGTTAGGGCACGGAATAGCCCTAACCCTAATTCTTTTCTTTTGTATTGAAACTGATTCCACTGTACTCCGTAGGTACTGGTTAAAGGAAGGATATCTCCACGTAGTAGGTATTTTATTCAAGATTTACTTTTACCCATATCCTCAGCGGTGTGTATGTCTCTAGATAAACCAAAGTTAACTACCAAACAACAACCTCTTATTTGATTCCTAACATATGGCGTTGCTTGTGGAACCTCCCAGTGCCCATGAAATGTGCCAAAGCTGAGATGGCTTACAAACTGGCCGCGTTCGCTGACCCGCAGAAGTTATTTAAGCTTACTTTCAGCGGCTCTATGATCCAGTTGTGCACTGCCCTCTGAAATGACTCGTTTGTAAATCTTGCTTCTTTACCGTCAAAGGGGCATTCAATACAGCGGCGGACGGCTTCGCTGTAGTCGTATCCAGCTTCATCTTCTACAGCTTCCAACAGGCGTTTAATGGTAAACGTATCGACGAGATCTGGCATCCCAAGGCTCTCCTCGACGTCCTTGTCTGTTCTCAAATCTTTCAAAGACTTTCCAAAGGCGAGTTCGATAAGCACGATGCCTAGAGTGAAGAGTGCTTTATTGCGGATCAAAGGTGGATACTGTGTACGGCTCTGCTGATTCGTGGGTATTTGGCTGGTTTGTGAGAAGGCTGTTGATAAATAGGCCTGTTCTGGCATTGAGGAGAAAGGCTTGACGAAGAAATGGATGTCGTTGGTGCCCCAGGGTTGTTTGAGCCAGGGCGTGTCATCAAATTGAAGAACGCTTGTCGAAACGGCAACGGCTAATTTAAATCGTTCCTTGCGCGTTAAAGGTTTGATTCGCCGAAGTGGTGACGACACTTGGCTGCCTGGCTTTTCCCCCTGCGAACTGGGCGTGTTCGAGAGATATACCTGAATCGCATCATGAAGCGAGATCACTTCCCAGTCAGTATCGGGTGGTTCTAAGTGGAGTTCATGCGGCAGCCCGCAATGTCCCTGGAGATACCCAATGCAGGACCCCTGGGTGGGGCTGGGAGACTTTTCCAAAGTCAAGCTGGAGAGCGTGGCGCAAAGATTTGATATCATTGTAAGCCCCGATGGAGCGTTGGTGGGGGTTAAGGGTGGTGGAGGCGGCTTGCTGGTAGGGGCCGGCAGAGCTAAAGTCGTTGCTGTCGAGAGTAATGATGACGATGAGGACGGGGTCGATGGTGACAGCGATTCTTTCTCTTTCGCGGGTAATGCAAATGTTACTTTTTTCTTTTGCTTCAGCCAAGGCCTAAAAGGTCGGAGAGCATCAGAAATAAAATTATCCTATAGAGCCTGAAGGTGATTGTCACCTACAATTTCTTACTAAGTTTCGCGGAAGATATAAATGATGTTGAGACAGGCCGCTCGGATGGCTTTGATTCCGGCATTTTGACCTGCTGTATATATGCCTGTTGCCACTGCCACCTTGCTGTGACAGTATTTTGGTCTGCCATTGCCTGGAATACTATTCGCAGTCTTATATCAGCCGGAAATGCCATTTCGTTGACCGTTAGCGTTGACAAATGTAAATTTGCAATATGGCCAGGATTGCAGCAACACCCCCAGGCTTGGTTGAGGGCATGATATATATTGATACAATGTTGCCGTATTCGCCCGTAACCCGAAGATGTGGATCGTCTCCTGTTAACTTCTAATCGTTGTCGTTGCTCAAACAAAGCCGCCAGCATGTTATTGTTCTTGCTAATGCGGTCCAGCAGCTCTTCACGTCCGTGCCTTGAAAGCGTGAAGGCGAGTCGGCGAGCGCGTCTAGATTTTGTCCTGGGAGTCTCCTTTCGGGCTATTAGTGAATCTGTTTTCGATGTGTGTGTGTGTGTGTGTGTGTGATTGCGAGATCTCATGCTGAACAACGGCAAAAACGATATCTGAGTTGAATGGACGCTGAGAACTGCCAACCTCTTTTAAAATTCGCTAGCACCGACGCTCGCGGCGGCCAAAGACAAAAAGCAACGAATTTCCCACCTGAAATTGATTGAGAATCCTCTTCATCTCCTCTAGCGCATCTTTCATATCCGATATAGTCGCAATATAGGGCTCGTACGAGCGGCCAAGCAAGTCCCGTAGTGATTCCTGATATTTCAGCCATTCTACACCCGTAGGGTCGACACCGGCAAGCAGTGCTTCTATCTCGGACGTTGAGGCATGTGTGCAGGCACGAAACAGACTGTCGCATGTGTTGAGGAACCGAGTCTGCTCGGTCTCCAGGAGCTGTTTTAAGTGCATCAACTGACTCCGATGTCTGGTCCAGCCTTGAATTGTGTGTACGCCGTGCATGTACCCGTCAGCAAGGTGGATGATGAGTGGAAAAGCCCCGAGAACAACGCCGGCAATCTCGAAACCGCTCATTTTTTTGAGGCTCTGCGCGCTATCTAGTTGCCTCGCTGCGAGTTAACAGTAGGACGTGCCTGGAAAAGACCCTTTTTTTTTTTTTTTAACAAAATGTGGCGGAGTCCCTTTGGGATCAACCTTGCGAGGAGGAATTGAGGAAGAGGATATGTTCAAGAGATTCAGACGACGACTGAGAAGGTTGCGTTAAGCGCCCAGCCTGTTCGCCCAAATCAACGCCGTCTTTCCGCATACCAGCCACGATTGGGTCTCTATGCATCTGAATTAGCTAGCCTGCAGTCGGCTGTGTTGGGTATCGGGCTACAGCTGTTGTTTAAATTCAACAGCGAGACGCA